AAGGAGTGGAGGGTGGAGGAGTGGAGGGTGGAGGAGATGGAAAAAAGGAAGAATCCAGATGGAGTCTGGTCGGGTAAGAAAGGGAGAGTTCGGCGAGACTAGTGTGGGTGTGGGGGAAGAGAATGTAGAAGAGTAAGAGATAGAAAAAAAAAAAATCCAGTTGTATAAAAAGGTTTCTAATCGAAAAAGAAAAACTAAAGAAAAATCAAATCCTATTCCAAAGAGAAAAGAAAAATCAGGATAAATAAAAAAAAACAATGAAAGCCCAATAGTCAGCAGACGCAAAGCAAGCAAGCAGAAGCAAGCAAATCGCCAGACTAACCATAAAAAACGGAATACGCGGAGTGTGGGGGAAGAGAGAGGGAGAGCCCGACTTTCTTTTCTCGCCCAGGGTCGGGGTTCCGGTCCGGCAACACGCGCGTGGGTTGCGCAGGGGACAAAGTCTGGCTACCTCAACTCTCGGGTAGATTAGGAGAGGGGGAAGCTTGACAATAATAGATGGAGAAATTCTGAAGCAGAGAATTCGGGATTTAGAATTAGTGTCAATTTTACATTTACTCAGTACTAGAAGGTGGACTGGCCCCATCCGACAATAATGATGATGACGATGATGGATGATGATGATGAGGCAGAGGAAGAGAGGAAGAAGTCCGGCCGAGGAGAGGAACAGCGTCAAAAGGCAATCCCAAGCAGGCAAGGCGCCATCCGCATTTGCGGAGGCCCGACAAGAGTTAGTCCGGAGCGGGCCTAGTGCGGCCTGAGGATGCAAGGACGCGACCGAGGAAGAGTGTGGAGCAGGATTCCGAGTGCCGAGATGGGAAAAGACTCAAGAGTTATGGGAACAACTGCGCAGAGATGAGGTATAGTTACTCCGGGGCAGTTATTTCAATGAACAATGACTCTTCAGTTGGAAAGTGGAGAGACTATCAAAGAGTGTCTGACTCAGGTTTGCTACCTATCCTAATACAAAAGCCCAACTAGATCTATCGCATTGGTGGCTGAAGAGAAATCAATCATGAGAATTGACTGAACAACAGCATTGAATCAGGGAAGAGTCCCGAGTCGGGTAAATTACCTACCCTCCCTGACAGACTGCGGGTTAGTCACGGCGTTACGCTGGGTAAGTCCTGCGTATGGTAATAATACCACCACGGACTCGGGTGCCAGTAGGCGGCGACAACCGATGCTGCTTCGGTATGTTGGCTGAGCCATGCCGTCTTGTTGCTGCTACTGCTCATCCTCCACAATCCCTCCAAGACCAGGTGATGAGATGTGAGAGGGATCACAAAGATCATCGCGAACAGGACTTATTCTTTCGTCATGGTCATTGACAACAGAACTTAACTGTCACTCTCAGTCCTACCATTCCTGCAGTGACTCTTGGTCTGATCTGGTCTGGTCTGGTCTGGTCTGGTTTGACCTGGTTTGACCTGGTACCGACCGACCGACCGATGATGGACAGACAAGACCAGACAGGGTGCCGGTTAGCAGCAGCCGTGTGTGGAACGTCACTTGACCGCCATCTGGCCCATTCCATTACCTAACAGCCCTGCTCCCGGCTTGTTGTCGTCGATCAATGTCAGTCCCCGAGCAGTCAAATACGGAGTAAAATAGGTCAGGGTTTGAGAGGTGGATGTTGTAATCTCATTAGCATCACATTGAGGGTCCTTCGACGGAGTGTAGGATGGAATATTGAGAAGGGTGCCAAAAACCCCATGAAAACCGTTGCGACAAAGAATCCGGGGATTGCATGACGCGCGAACCCCCAAAAAGACAATACCACCGACCCGGCCGTCACGAACCCCCATCCATCCCTTTAATCATTCCTTCTGTTCCATGTCTACCTACATATCTACGCGACCCGACTCATCCAACCATTCTACTATCCAACCACCCATGATCCGACACACACGGTCAATTCGCATCATTGATGCTGCCACCAACACCACCAGTCACAGCCCGCCCGACTAACCCAGCCACAATACCCCGGAATGCAAGTCTAAACTCAATACCAACCCCAGAACAGCAAGTGACACGGGTCAACCCCCGGCCAAAGCCAACGGGACGGAGGAGGGAAGAACAACAAGGAGGGGCAAAGAGCAACGGCAACTAATCCTCAGCCGACCATCTTTGGTGATGAACCTCGGGTATCGACGCATCTGATGGGGGGCCAAGACGTCCAGGGCTAACTTTGCCAGACGACTCCCTATTTCTCGTTTTCGTGCCCCAGATTCGGACTCCATTGCGGAGAGGATTCTCTTGTCGGGTGTCTCTTTTTCCCCCATGCATCGGATCTCCCCGCGGGGATGAGACCCAGATGAGATCACGATCAGCGCCCTTTGCCAGACGGTCACTAGCCGGACATCTCCTGCAGCAGAGCGTCTCGTTCTTCCCTCCCCGGCTGCTGATACTGCTGCTACTCTCTCTTGGACCGGGCTGGTTGGAGAGAGGTAGATCGTATATGACCCTTGATGGGATTGGTCGCCGCCAGGGATATGGTACCCGATCGACACGGTCTCGGGTGACTCCTACTCGCTGACCTTCAAGCCTCAAAAGGCCTGTGCATCCCGGAGTTGGACTTGGACCCCATTTGGTCATGCACCGTCAGTCCATTCTTTGCTATGTCACCGAGAATATGTTGGACTTCCTCTTTGGGAGAGTAAGCAGCATACAGCGTGCTGTACTGTAGTCACACCTTACTTACCTAGGGAGTTAGTATAGTAGGTGACTACTAAGGGTACAAGTTCTAAGCCGACCGATCGGAGTCAGCCCGGCAAGTCCCCGCGTCCATTTAACCGGTTATCCCGTGGCCGCTGAATCGGGCCACCCGGAGATGCTGATTGGCCTCCACCGCCACCCGAGGCTTCAAGCGAACCGACCCCGCAATCACGGAGAAAGGCTGAAAAGCTGCTTGTTGGAACAATGGAAATTAATCATTAGTCATGCCTCATGCCCTGACTGGGGGAGGAGGGTGGTCTGCAACGGAACACTTAACGCACGAATGCAGGAGAAAAAAAATCCCCCCATAACCCCCAAACTTCCCCCAATCCACCTCCTCCCCCCGGAGGTCGACCGATGTGACGACGAAGAGGCACTAAGACTGAGGAGGGAAGGTCCCTCTGCCACTAAGCCACCACCTACTGATGTTCTTTCTGCTTGCAGTAAGTTCACCCGCCGCCTGTCAAGCCGCTGAGGTGTTGGCTCGGGAACCTGACGACGAGACCTTACCATGGATGGGATGAGGAGACGCAGGTCGGCAAACCAGCAAGCAACAACACTTCTAATGAATCCAATCCCTGGGAAAAGATCTCTCTGTCTTTCGGCAGAGCATCACATGCACCTTGCAATACGGAGGACGAGGAGTAAATTGTTCTTTCTGCAAGTCAGTAACCTGAGGATCATCATCCCGACTTCCTTTCGGTCAGACGGTTGGTTGAATAGTTCCGTCACTACTACCTCTCTCCGAGGTCTCTCTCTTCTTGTCTCAACCAGGGGAGAGAGAAGGAATCATCATGACATACAGCAGTGACCACCACCACCACGCGGGAAATGCGAGATCGCGAAATTACCAAACAAAAAGAAAAAAAAAATAAAAATGAATAAAAATCCCCAACGATCCCATGACCAGGCCCCGAGCCAAAAGCCAGCCAAGCTATGCCCAGCCAACCACCACGCGACGTTCTCTCTCCACTCCGCCCAGTCCTGGAGAGTCTTACAAGTTACAAGTTACTCCAAGACATTCAAGCCCTCTTTCTATCCCGCTTTCGTCATTAGGCATATTTCCCCCGAATCGGCCAGGCCCGCCAGTACAGTCAATCGACTGTCGGCCATTCGCTCGCCTGTGCATGCCACGAGTCGAACTAGTCCGAACCCAGGCTAGCCGCTTTCCCGACGGGAGCTCAACCTCAACCCTCACGGCCTGAGGCACTCTCCCGATTCTTCTCCGGCTGAGTCGGGGAAAAAAAAAGGTGGGGAGTCTCTAATCTGGGCACAACTCTTTTCCGGGGCTGCATTCTATCCATTAATCATCTTCGGTGGCGGATAATCCCACACAGTGATGGCTGAACTGGCAGCTCGTCAAAGTTACTGTACTGCTTACATTGCTGCTAGGCTTACAGGCTACGTGCTCAGGCCTCCGCATCTAGTCGTAGCTATTTCGCACCATCTGATCTTGGAAAACCACACGCACGTGGGTTGCGCCCAACCCTAATCAATTGCGGGTGTCATCTGGGGGACTAGCCCATCCTACTACAATGCAGCATCCGGATAATTGTCTCGGTTGGTTCCTTCACGGCCTCTTCCGTTCGATAGATAATTCTTACCTTTCTTTGCTGTGGCGGAAAGAATGAGAACTACAGGCAGTCTCGACCATTCCCTGTGATTTTCCTCCCAGGTAATTCGTTGAAGCCTTCCGATACGCGTCAACCCCGGGAAAAGCGTAACAACGGTTATAGATTTATCTCTGCCGTCGAGACTACCCTTGAATGCGGTATGCCTGCGCGCCGCTTCTGAGCAAGCAGTCAACACGCCTAGCCGCAGTGAGCTGGACTAGAGCGCATTCATATACCCGATTGTCCCGAACTCAGCCGTGCCAAAGGACCGTTGCATCTCACTTGGCTCAAACTTCCCTTTAGTAACAGCTTGCCATGTGGATAGCTTAGCCTCGGCGATATCCTCTCGCCTATCGGGACTCGCCTGTACTGGCTGGAACGGGGAGGCCAATTGACATCACTACACAGTACATACGCCGTACAGTCGGAATCGTCGGGACTTGATTTCCCGACCAGGATCTCTTTCCAGATATAGCAAGCCGACCACCTTGCACAAGATAGGGGTGATATTGCGAAAGCCCTTCTGGAGTGTGGACACCTTTTTACGCGAGGATGTGTGGCGAATGGATTGCGGAGAGATAGTGATGGAGAAAACTGCCCCCCGGACTCCGGTTATGTCACGTCTCACCGTGTTTCCCCCCACCCCTCTTTTGCCCGTGAAATCGAATCGGTTATACTTGGACTTTCCCTTCCGCCGCCGTAGGCCAGACCGGTCACGGAGGAGGTAGTGGTGGTGGTGCCAACTCGGGGATAAATAAGTCCGTAGGATCGGAATGAAGTGTGTAAACTGAATCGAGGGAGATGAATGGGATTGTCATCCACGGTCTGTACGTAGTTTCGTGACTCTGTTCTGATGTCAAAGATGTTTGCATTGTTATCGCGGAGCATAATGACTTTATGCGGATAACACAGCTGGTACTAGGAGGTAGTGCCATCGCCCATCGCCAAATGGATCGATTGTAGAATTCATTCCCGACACAGCCAGCCCCCGGGATTTTCCGTCCGTCGGGGCCCCCTCTTCCTCGTGGGTTCTATGGGGCCTGGAGACGGAACAGTGTGCCAGAGATCCGATTTGTAGCTTTTATGATGGTTTGTGCTGCGGTGCATCGGCTATTGGTGAGGATTGAGTGACCCGGTTGCCATTGTTGCCTGCGAAGTCGGCTTGAGGTCGCTCATGGCTTACTCAGTACAGTGCTATGATATGCGTCCTCCCAGGACCTGGATTTACTATGGGTAAGCAGGCCACAGAGTTACAAAAGTCTCCATTCTGCTTTTACTTGGTCCGAGATATTTGAATTGAGCAGATGGTAATAAGTCCTGGTTGCTTAGCCTGTAAGTGAAGTGGCTACAACAAGCATTCCATTAGCGGCAGCGGAGGAATAACTGGACATGTTCCATATCAACGCCAGTCCAATCTGATCGATCTTCGCGGCAAAATGGCATAGAGTCAACATTCCATTTCATTTTATCTGCACACGTGTGTAGCAGATGCGCCCCGAATCGTCAGTGACCTGGACATAGGCCGATTGCCGCAGACGTGTAGATAGAAAGCATAGACGCGTGTATTGTAGAGGTTTTCTGAATCATCCCCGGAGAAAAGAAGGTGCCATTGGACCAACCCATCCAAGAGGTGTACTATGATATTGGCAATCGGGGCTATTCTAGAGCCTCGCCTCAATTTTGAGGAAATTTTCAGTTCCGGAGGGTAGGATTGTTTCTCTGTTCCTGCATTAATAGTCTGAGAACAGCTTCAAATTGTTGGGTGCCTGAATCCTGGCAATGTGTTGAGGCGGAAATATATTCCCGAGACCTGGAAGGTTGGCGCCCTTTCTATAACACAATGCTCGTGCCATTCTCACATTACTAGTACTTCAATGTCATCTTTGAGAGGCTCGAGAGGCTGTATTGGACTAAGTCCTTGGGTTCCTGGATCTCTAGCTGATTCTACTTGGGAACTCGCTTGGTGTATGGCACTGCATTAGTGGCTGGTCTATGTCTATCAGCTACACTGATACACCCTTCACTCTGTTATGAATGAAGCTGAAGGAAGACTGTGCCTGTCACTTGCCAGGATCTAGGGAGGATCAGGATGGCTGATCTGCATTAGCATCTAGGATTCTTGCTATTTGAGTTATTTAACAGCAAATTCTCTCATGCTATGAAAGCATAGCAATGCACTTATTCCCCTCCACGGGTTGTTTCGTACGTTTGTCAGTCAGATAAATAACAACCGAAAAGCTTTAATTCATTAATATGCTTGCAAGAAGTCTCCAAACTCGATAGCGCACCTGGCGCTCGATCGAGACATGACCCTTACTTAAGAATCCCCATACTCCCCGACAGAAAAACATGAACTCAAAGCAAGACATCCATCAAACCCCGGAAATTTCATTTCAGCGCCCGCAAACAAGCAACAACTAAACCGATTCATCATCATAAAGCAAAGTACGTCATTGTCGAATCTGCGTCCGCCCAAACGAGAACAATGACCCCCATCCCCGATGCGTTGCGGCTGCGGCTGTTTCAGATACGCCGTCGCCAGGCTTCTCAAACCGACCATCCCTGTGCACGGCGGCTTCTTGCGTCCGCGATCCGGAACGAGTTTCACTTCTCGTCGGCGTGTGTTGTACGTGGCTGACCTGGCTGGTGGGCGTTTTGACAACCGAACCCCTTTCAAGAATGTCCGGGGCGACGCTGTCCGTCGAGTAGAGCGCTTCGCGCATCTGCCAGCGCCGCTTTTTGAAGACGATGAATATAGTTGTGAAGGATACTGCACTTGGTGCTTAGTGGATGCTTGAGCTAGGATATGCTTCTGGATGGGAAGGATGATTTTGCGCTGTGATTGTGGACAGGGTAACATACTTCCGACAACAATGACGAGGGCGACTATCGTGCACAGGATGATCATGCCCTTGGACGAGATGCTTTTCGTGTCCGAGCTTGACGTGTCATCTTTTTGTTGCTGGCCGTCTACCTCTTGGAGCACGCTCTGCGCGAAGGTCGGTGTGTTTAGCACTGTGACAATGATGAGGATTGGCAAGGGTAGTCGCTGTGAGGACATGGTGCTGTGGGTAAGGTGTGTATTGTTATCGACGGATTCGATCTACAAATCGCGCGATGTTGTGTGACTTTGTCCCTGGCTGCGGGTAGAATATAAGAGCAGGAGAGACAAGGGAAGCAGGACAGGACAATATGAAGAAAACCCATTCTGCAGGAATGGCTATGCAGGGCTGGCTATGTTGGGCTTCGGATCCGACTCCTCTGCACGTTCGCCGTCAGGGGCTTCATGGTGTTTCGGGAAGAGGAGTCGGATGCTGGCTATCCTACGCGTTTTGGTCGTGATAGGCTCAAAAACATACAGCTTTGACCTTGGAGAATGGGTATTGGGCCGTCAGCTGCAGCCATTAGGCGAGTAGATTGTGTGTTTCATGGTGTCGGCGCATGAAACCAAGCATCAAATCAGAGATGGAATGTGCGAGGGATGGACGTGCTGTCGGCGCTAGTTTGTGGCCAATCGTTGTTGCCGTTGCGGGGGATCAGGTGGGTTAGGCGCCGTCTACTATCGGAGCATCACAGTATAGATTTAGGTACTCTAATCTTAGATCATGCAGCTTCATGTGCTCGATTGAGAACAGTGTGAATAATTATGATCTTGCAGGAGAGGGTAAAGTAACTTGATACAAGTCTTCACGTTCTGAGGTTACCGAAGCTCACAATGGCTGTGGCTGTAGGCATGGCTTCGCCCACTCCACGCAAAGGAAGCAGCCACATCCCCTTCGGCCTCACCTGGTGTGGTCAGTTTCCCAGAAAGGAAAGCACACTGCAACACGGGCATAGTGTGGACGGCCCATCATCCCACCTTGGAACCCATTTCTATCCTTTCACCCCATCCCATCTACTGTGCATTTCTCTCCTTCACTGCAAGGTCGATCGCCATGTCAGCCAGCATGGTGTCGACCACGGCCTCTGGAGTGCCCCCCAACACGACACTCACGGCAGTCGACACAGACGATACTTACGAGGCCGAGGAGCTACTCCTGCTGCAAATAGCGGCGGCGAACAATGAGCTTCTCTCCCCTCAACTCAAGGCCGTAATGGCGACACAGGACATTCCTTCTTCGAATAACAATTCTGTCGATAGATGTCCTTCGCCGTTGCTCATGGAGCGACCCAGAAGCTCTGGCATCGATCTCACAGCCTTCTCGTTTGCGAAGCCAGCACAAGGCCGCAAGCCCTTCTCCCTCCAATCGGCAGTAAAGCCATCCTCGTCCACAGTCAGGCCGGATGTTACCGCTCAGTGTGAGCACAGGGCGGCTGAGATATCGCCTGAGACAGTCAAAAGTCTGAAAGGGTGAGTGGCGTGCTATCGTGTACACGGTACTATGTTGCTGCATACTAATTCATTCTGAACGAGCGATCAACCCAGGTCTAGCACGCATGAATCCCAGAAGAAACTCCCCTCGAAGGCAGAGCAGAAGCCAACCCGGGCTTCTGTCACGCCTTCTGAGCATGTTCAGAGTGGCTCGAGCCTTGAGAATGCTGTCGTGGCATACGCAGACAATTTTGCTGCTAATAGTGCTGAACATTCTGAACCGTTGGGTGAGTGGCTCCGATAGTATGCATGCAGTATCTCTAACAATCCTTGCAGGGCACAAGGAGAGAACCATTAGCCACTCAAGCCACGATCAGCTTGTCCAGGAGCGGCCAAACAGCAAGGGCGACAAGCATGGCTCTCCATTAGTTGAAGGTCACGGTGCGTCCGACCGTACGCTTTCGGCACACGAGGCACAAGACTCGGTTCTCCAGAATCAGCTCGCGGCTAACATTCAATTGGCCCAATCGCACCCTACCGATCGCGAGATTGAGATGAATAGGGTCTCCAAGCGACGTCGCTCCAGCAAAAGTCAAACCTCACGAAATGTCAGACCATCACTTGTAACGCCAGATGACACTTCTTCACTGTCAGAAGAACATCTTTTTCATTTGCTGATCGGACGCATCAAAGCTCGTGAGGAAAATGAGGCAGCTGCCGTTGAGTCGAAGGGGCAGATGGAGGCTTGCATTTCTGGCTTGACTGAGGAAAATCAGGCACTCAAGAGTCAAATAGAGATCCTCGACAAGGTAATCCGCAAGAAAACGTCAGACTTAGCTATTCACAAGACCCAAATTAGTGCCTGGAAATCGAAACTCTCAAATATAAAGGGCTTTCTCAACCAGCTCGGTTCTGATTTCCACAATCTTCGCGGCGATGCGAACCTGTTCTTGGCGGCAAAGAAATGCGCCCGCAATGAAAGAGCTGAGATTGACAAGAGTATTAGCGAAGCTAAGGCGCAGGCAGCCAGAGCTTTAGAGGCCGCTAGCAAAGGACGAGAACAGTTGTTCCGCTCGGAGAGCCAGGTCGAATTGCTGAAACAGGCTCGGTCTGCAACTGAAGAGAAGACACAATACGTTCAGGGACAGCTTTCCGATGAGAAGAGAAGGTCCAGGCTTCTCGAACAGTACATCCAAGACAGTTCCCGCACGCATGCATTGAAGCTTGGGCAGATCAAGACTGATCAGCTAGCAATCCTCAAGCAGTTCGAGACCGTGTTCCGCACTTTGAGCGTTCAAGAGAAGACCTCTCAGAACGTCATTCAGCAAGCGATAGGGACCGGCGTGGACAAATGTTTCTCAACTCTTGATACTCTCTATGACAGGATCTTGAAAAATGATTCAGGCGCGAAGGATCACATGGATAGTGTCAAGACTGTGATGTCACGGTAAGCGCTCAGGCCATGGCTATTTGACTCTGAGCTAGTTGCTAATTGCCTTACAACAGCATGGAGAGCGAATTGGTCCAGCTACTCCAGTTGACCAAGGAACGACATGAGACGGATGCCAGCTCTCTGGCAAAGCTTAACGAGCAACTTCAAGGCGTCACAACTCAGCTTGCGACTAATGCAAATCTGTTTGAGCGGATCTCCAAAGACACGGATCAACTCGTTCCTTTGAATGAAAACCTCGGACACCTTGTACCTTTGACTGAAACGTTCAAGTGTTCTATCGATATATTGAAGGACAACGAGACGAAACTCCTTGACCAAGTGACGCACCTTCAAGCAGATCTATGCGAGGCGCGAAAAGCCCAGGCTGCCGAAGTCGCAGCGCTTGAGCTTGGACGCCATGGGCTGGAGAAAGCTCAAATGGAAAGCGAAATGCAGAAAGTGCTGAAGGAGTCAGAAGTCATTGCTGAGGGGTTGAGAGCTAAAGATCTCGAGAACAAAGCCTTCCAATACTCCCTGCTCGAAGCGAAATCACAAACTCAAGAAGCAGAATCACGGATCAATCAGCTTGAATCTGAAGTCGCCGTTCTGCAAGATGAAGTAACGAAGAAGGGGACTCAAGTCCGAGAGGAGTTGAGCCGGGCCAGTATCGTCGCTCGCGAGCAGATCAAGGCTAGATACGAGCAGCAACACCGGGACCTTTTGAAAGACAAATGTGACTTAGCACAGTCGGTAGAAGTTCTCAAGAAGCAACTCGATGATGCAAATTCCACTTTAGTGCGATATCTTGTCCGGCCTTTCATGAATGTGAACTGATGAGTGACAGGCCGAGATCACGAGTACACGAGACAAGGAAAAGACCGATCGAGATCACTTGGTAAGTGAACCTCATCATGACTGGCAAGCAAATTTTGATTGGTTTTAGCTCGAATCAAAGGAGAAAGAGATCGAGAAATTGACCTGCCATCAGTTTGAGACCGTTGCTAAGCTAACTGAGCAAGAGGAAGAGCTCAGACGACTCGTTGAACAAGAAGCTTTAGGGCGAGCGCAATATACCTCTCTCCAAGCTCAACATGACGAAATAAACAGGAAGTTCAGAGACCTCGAGGATGATCTTAGCAATACCCGTGGCGAGAAAGACAAAATATTGGCCGAATCGCAACACAAGCTTGATGCACTTCTGCAGGACAACCTGAAGAAGCAGGAAGAATGTGTCAAGACCCAAGAAAGACTCACATCTGCTTTGACAGAGCGAGCGGATCTTGAGAGCCACAAACTGAAGACCAAAGATGAGATCCACGGCCTATTCAAGCGAGTCCAGGAGTCGGAATTGTGGGTGAACAAGTTAAAGGAGCTCTTGGACCGGACAAATCTTGTCATACCCAAAGACACGGAAGAAAGCTGGAGCAACCTCGAGGCGGCTTTGATCTCACTGACTAACAAGGAGGATCATGATAAGCTCGAGCAATTCAGTTCCAAAGCGACAAGGACGGCCACCACCGTACCTGATAGCCAGCCAACCATTTGTTCATCGCCAGCGAGACAGACCAACAAGCTTGATAATAATTGTTCCATGAATTCGACGTGCTTGCTGGATTCAGGCATTGTGCCGTTCTCAAGCATTCAGGATTCTCCTCTTACTGATTGTTTGTTTTCAGGAAACGAAAGCTATGATCTCACGGCTATGCTGATCTTCACTCCAGAGAACGATAGAGTTGAAAGTGATCCGAAAAGTGAAATCAGCAATACCGATAACAAAGGAAGGCAGCGGACAGTCACTTTCGAGACAGATGTCGCAGCGTCTCAAAGTGGAAAACGTAAAATATCTGATGCGGAGACCAGCCACAGGCCAGACCAGGAGAGCTCGGTTGATGGGCTTGATGATAGGTTTATGCCTTCACAGAGGACGTACTCCAAACAGCAACAGCTCCCAGCGGCAAGATCTCAGGCAAAGTCTAAGGGTTCGGCAGCAGGCGCAAGAGAGGTGGCCCAGGATGCGCCTGGAGCCAGCACGCCGCGCTCGACTGTGAACAAGAGGACCAAGGTATCCTTTGACACGATCACGACTACATCGCAGACGAAGACGGTGACGGAGTACTTCGACCGCAAGTCGAGCCCTGAAAAACTAGCCTCTGGCAGCAGCAGACCAACACTGAATGGCAGTCAGACCGAGTCCCAGAAAAGACCCTCTCGAGGGGGTAGAGGCGGCGGTCGCAGGTCAAGAGGTGAGTGAATCCTGATAGGTCGAATGTTTGTTGCTGAAGGATCAAGGCGATCGCTACAATGCCCGATTTTGCCGGGGTAAGTAGTTCTAGTAGGATGTACGCTTTCCGAGTACCCTTGCATGCCGATGATTTGCGATAATCTTGCAAGAGACCTTAAGAGCCCTGAATCAGTTTGTTCTATTCGTTGACTGATGATGGCTGTTCTATATCCTTATGCATCAAGTCTGGTATTGCTGATGGCATTTAACAGTGCAAGTTGGTCATATGTGCTTTCAACTTGAGCTTTTTAACTTTTCAATCATGGAAAATGTGAAGTTGATTTCCTTGCAGGCGAACATTCCATTGAAATGGAATTTGTGATATATTGAACATTGATGGACCCAGACTGTACTGCTCTAAAACGCCAAATGCAATATCAAAAAAGCAGACAGCTCTAACGCATGTGGAGACGTGAAAAATACCCCACAGTTGAGGCCTCGGCTGTTGCGTTGTATAATGTACAAGATCGTATCTTCGAAAGTCGGAGAGGATTCGGCGACCCGCTGCATCGATATATAGACCGTGGTGGTTGCTCCAGAGTCCTTCGCAGACCTAGAGTAGCTAAGCTTATGCCCATGCCAAATTATGTCTCGAAGAATGTTATTGTAACGAAGGCGGAACCACCATTGAGCGATACGCGAGAGGTCGATGGAGAATGACGGGACGGAAGAGAAAAGCCCGTGAAGCCGAACAGAGTTCGTTTTTTATCGGGCCTTTCCACCCTTGGTGGCCTCGAGGAAGAGCACCTGCTTCTTCACGACTGGATCGTACTTCATCATGCTGAGCGGGCGGTGCGTACGGGGCCGGATCATGGTGCGATAGAAGCCGGTCATGGCCATGGAGATGAGACGGACGGTGATGGTACGGGATTTGGCTAGACAATTCAAATTGAGATGATTTAGCTTCGCGTTGATACTCCATTGGAAGGGATTCTGAATCTGGATGAGGGTGGAAGCAGTGCGACAGTTTTTCTTCCAGAAGAGCCCACGCCGGTTGGCCATGCCAGCTGCGGCGGACGAGATGTGATGCACGGGATGATGGTGATGAGTAAAGGTAGGGACTTACCCTTCTTTGCCATTTTGGGCGGTTGTATAGGCTATATGAGCAAGAGTAGGCGTGAATATGCTGCGCGATCGGGGGTACGTGCGGAGGTTGCGGCGGAGGTTTGGGTGAAACTTTGATGGGAACTCTTTGTGATAGTATCACGTGATACAGGCGGTGAACGGAAATTGATCAGTGAGTGGTTTCCTATTGGGGATTAGATCAGGGCGGGAGGCCGGGGAGGTCTGGGTGTTCGCTTCTTCTATGACGAGAGTACGGAGTACTGCCGCAACTAACCATCGCTGCTTCATTACATCTACCCTCTCAAGAATTCCTTTTGTTTATTATGTGTCTCCAGTGACTTGTAGTAGTTTTCATATGATCTACAGTGCTTTCGATCTTCAAGACAAAGATTGGTTTCCATGGGATTGGTACCGCGAGACACGAGATCGCTCGGAGACTATGTACTATGTGCTACACGTGGAATCTGAGTGCGAGACTGTGGAGATGAAGTCTTTGCATGAGCAGCTGAACGCAATTGTCAGATCTCTTTACGCTGCACTCCCTTAAACATCAACTCATTTGTGCTCCAAATGGATGGTCTGATGCCTAATTCTGCTGCGCTCTGGATATATTATCGTCTAGCGGTTGCAATGCGAGAGCTACGCTCTACACACCCTCTGCGCTTATCTTGATTACCGATTCTGCATCTCCATGCCTTCTGATCAGAATTAAGAACTCTCTGTCTCGTGATCATTCTACGCTGTTCGATAAACAGGGAAATCGGGCCGATAGCCAACATCGACACAACGTTCTTCCATCCAGGTTAATCTCCTGCCGTGATCTGCTAGGGCCGACTTTCATCCTTCCCGCATCCACGCCATTATCCGCGTGTGGGCCGCTTATAATGGCTGTCTCGGATGCCTTCGTTCGCCAAGAGCTGCAAAAAACCGGGCGTAGGTGTACTTAATTGTCGCATATATCACCTGCCCCATTTCCCAATAAGCTCGGATTAGTGGCCCATCTTGACGATTGAGGTTGCGGAAATTAGAGGGATGTAAATTGCGGAGGAACAGAGGTCAGTGCTGGTTCAAGTGGACCGGTAAGGTCTACGAAACTCTGTTCCTCACTACACACGGCCCAGCTACCCTCGGAATGACCAAACTCACTAGGAAATCTGCCGACTTGCGGGGGGTTCGAGCGACACCTGCGAGAAATCTGAAAGGAATATGAGTTAAATGAAAGGTGCTTTGGTACCGGTTGGCACATTAGACTTCTCTCTGCATTGTCAGGCGACCGAACCCTATGGGCTATTGGTCCCTGCTATCTTGGAGGTTCATGCGGACGCACCAGCCACACTTAACGGGGCACGGGAAATGTTGATATTTCCACGGGGTTGAGACTAATGAGGTGAGTTCGAGTTGAGTATGGCTATTTATGTTTCAGGTTTTTGATTGGCGCGTGCTGCTCTGCTTATGACTCAACTGGAAGCTTCGGTGGGGTTTCTTGGCTGATATTGGCAATGTTACTTACCATTGGCAGTCGAGGAGTTTCATCTACGGGCTGATCATGGTTGGACTTCTTGTGTGAGTTTGACAAGTACGCAAGGCGATTATATATGATTGTTTGGTTGATTGTCCCAGAGAAGACTTGGGTGGTACTTGTCTTTCGCTTTGGGCAATTGTGGTTATCATTGTTGTGATCGTTGTGGTCCATGCTGGTAAACCCAATCATGGGAAGAACGAAGTTGTCCCGGCCTGAGAGATGAGGAGTTTCGACTGCCGGAACCTAGGAACTAGGGGCGTCAGCGTCTCCATCGAGCGGAGTCAGTTCCAGTCTGGACAGGGAGGGTATGTAAGGCCCATCTGGTGCAACACGGGGCCTGCGGTGAGGCTTGGGCCAGTCTTCAAACCCATAGGTGCCGGGACTAAACACTCTCACCGTTCCGAGGCGGATAGTTCTGCGCCACTGCCGAAGATAGGGCTCCCAGAAATGTCTCTCAGGCTGAGCCGTCGCCGCAGGATTATCGGCCCTCGGTGGGAGTCCCCCCTGCGAAATTTCGAGATCAGCAAATTCGCAGACACATGGATGAAGGCGCTGTGTCCGCACCGGGGCTTCGGACTTCTCGGCTGTGCAAGTGATCGGTCCCCCAGGTCCCTGGCCTCGCATCGCGTGCATACCGGCTATTACACTCGGCGAGATCTCGGTATCTCCATATTCCTCGATGAAGTGCAGGTAGGTTTCGGGATGTGTCTCCCACAGCCTCACGCGGAGTAAGTCGAACCTTGAGATGGTGCGAGGTGGGACTGGGAGCCACCCTCCTGCGCGCAGCCGCTCACAAGCCCGATCTCGCGGACCGGTGTCACCGTTGTAGGAACCGTCATACGAACCCAGTGCCGCGAGTAGTGAGAGCTCCATCGAGTCATCGTGGTCCCGGAGCTCCTGGAGAACTCCCCACTCGAGTACCTGACGCCAGTACTGCTCCCAATGCAAAATGTCGCGGCCTGTCATTCCAGCCGAAGGCGGAAGTAGGGTCCCTCTGACCTCAAGCCGCTGATCTGGCAATGAGCTTTCGTACTCACGTACGCGAGCCTGCTGCTGCTGCGTCATGATACAGTAGATCCTGCGGGGGCCGTCATTGAACTCCGGGTCGTAGCGTCTCTGCGCTCGCAGGGCGCGCAGGTTCTGATTGCGCTCGCAATCGGGGTTCTGGCACGGTGGTTCCATCCATCTGTTGGGCCCGCAGCACCGGCATGAGTCTTCTCCTGGGGCCGCAGACAATCCGAGGCCCGCGAGCATGTTTCGAAAGTCGTTGTAATACTCGCACAGTTGGCAGGTCTCTGGTTGCTCATTGAAGGAGTGAACCTCGCAGGTCAGAGACATCTTGATGATATCAGACTAGCTCTGGAGCTAGAAGATGTTTAGATTATTGGTGTCGGTTGACTGAGATGGAACGTTGTAGGTTCCCTTGCAGGGCAAATGATAGAGGAAGACCCAGATGGTAGTCAGCGTTGTCCTTTTATCCTACCGAACGTCCATGCTGTTACGGCATTCCCCAGCATCATCTCTCATTTGATCAGGAATCTCTTTGTGTTCTATGGAGGTGTTTTTGCGATGATAGGAAGTTGCAAGTTCAGCTGAGACTAACGTTGAGCTGAGAATTTCCTTTCCGTGATACTGAGTCCGGGAGACCATGGAAGAGAACCAAACTTCAGCATCTTGGAGTAGACTTTCATGCTTCCTTGAATGACTCTATCATTTCTCGGTATGCTATGCTATGCTGACAATGAATCTTTAGGACTGCACTTATTGTCTGATGGAAGCCACTGTGTGAGAACTATTCCTTTTTGTAAGGGTGATACAGGAGTATCCTGGCTCCCCCACTACTCAGACAACCACATCCGCTTCTAGAATTCCGCTCGTCCTTGCGTTGTCGAGGTCGCTAATGACTGAAGCATGAAACCGACAAGACCAAGAGACTTCAAGCTCCGCTGGACGAAAGCGAAGCAATTTGCTTAGGTCTCGGCTACAAAGATCCTACTCAGTGCACGGGGAAGAGCTTTGTTCCAGCCCAATGTAGGGCACCGCGCAGGTCTTAACAAAAGCATTCTCATCTTGTATGGATTGACAGTCTCACAAGTTGGAGTCCTATCTGAAAGTCTTGCTTTTTTTTAAACCCTCGAGCCGGCATGCGTCCGCAAATTTGCATAACGATCTCAAAAGGCAGGAATTGCTGGCTATAATTCACGGAAGAAACTTGATAATAGGAGCGAGAATCGAAGATACAAATTACCTCCAGGAGTCTTTAGAGACAACTTTCTTTAGAATGTTCATTTAGGGAGTCTCCCATTCCTTCCATATCTTTGGCTCTAGATAATAAATGAATGCCCCCAAAGAGGAATTAATAGTGGGATCTAAGAGCCATTCGGTTTATGGATACCGACTACTAAAGTATCAAAGTTCATTTCTAGCTCTTCTCCCACTAAACAATCGGATGCCCTGGCGAAGTCGACGAGGATTCATGTAAGGCTAGTGATAAGTGATTACACGGAAAAAAAGCTCTATGATCATCGTTGGCTTAAATTGAGCCTCTGTGGGTATATATTTATTCTATCTTGAGAAGCTGGTACAGATAGCGACAGGTTTCTATCCGAAAATCAATAATTAACCACCAGAGGACGTGCTGGATGACGCTGAAGCTGATTCCACTTAAGTCTTGCATTGAGGAATGGACCTGACCTCTATTGTTGCTTCAAGAAAACCTCGGGGTTCTCCCTCTGGATCATGGCTCGCTAGCAATGAACGTCCACCATGTCCAGCACCGGATTGTGTTTTTTGATATCACAAAATAGGAACACGGCCGCCATAAGCAAGGTACTGAAGAGGACCGTAGAGGACGTTATACCTAACCGCGTTGTTTTAGAAAATAACCTCAATCTTTTTCTCTCTCTGGATTAAGGCTCGAGCCATGACCGTTCTCCGCCAATTCCAGCATCTATTCGAGTTTTTCAATATCGCTGTGCGGGAAACTGATACATGGTCCACCATAAGCCAGGTACAAGCCCTTGAACTTTTTGCTTGAGTCTTTTAAGTGCATAACTGGTTTCCTGACTCATAAATCAACCGATAGAGATGAGCAGAATTGCAATCTATCAGCTGAAGGGGTCACTGATCACGCAATATAGATCCTTTACACTTTTGCAATTGTCACGAATATTCTTCTTGGAGTGTGGAGTGGAGGTAATTTGAGTTGGTACAGAGCGCAGATTATTCACTGTAGTCTATTCCATGCGGTCTCGCGGTCTGCTGCCTTTCTCGACCCACTTTACTATGAGTATTGTCGCTTATCGGTTTCCAATGAGGTAGATCCCTTGATGCAACGACCAATTTGCGGTCGCTATCTTGAGGACTGAGCTTGTAAACCCCCGTCCGATGACTAGCGGAAATTCGTCGAAGTAGAAGCCCCGTGCCTATTTCTCCATAATGGGGCTGAAGACAGTTGCTACTGGTAAATAGAGGTTTTGTCGCTCCGCTTATAGGCTGTACGCTCGGACACTGGTCTCTGTCGCATTTTTGAGGATCATGTTTGATTGTGCGGCAATTGGACTTGTGGATTCACATTGTCCTATCAATAGAGGTAGGCGGTTGCACTCGGTTGTGCCGACTGGAAATACTGCATACAAGGTATATGCGAAGTAAAATTGAAGCACTTCTTTAGGTATACAGCTGAATCAAGACTTTTGTCAGCTCTCGATCCAGGATCCTCAGAGCGTGCGCAAGGGCAACTCTTGAATGTGAGCGGGGAGCATACAGATGAGTCAACGGTCCGACACTGGCAACCCCGTAGGTAGAGTCCCTCTGCCTGGCGGTATTCTTCGATTACTCATCCTAGGCATGAAGAGTATTATCACTCGATCGTTGTTCGTACTGCGTGAGTGTATACTCTGCAATATCACTTGACCGTCCATACAAGGGCGAAACATATGTTATCCCAAATGCAGATAATAATACCCAGTTTTCGCGGTGATCATATCTTGTCTTCGAGACAAGATAAAAATGGCTTTAACGAGGTAGCATTGTTTCATGCCATAGAAGCCTGGTGACATGTTCGATCTCCTGCCTCAAAATAATGGTCTTAGCAATGGTGCGGATTGATGCACCCCACTTGTCGAAGGGGTGGAGTATCGTTCGGCCCTCAAGGAGTTTTCATGACGCGCCTTCAGTGTGCCAATGCACACCTCATGTAATTTATGGGATGCTTTGAAGCAGGTTTCGCTTAGCCTCGCGTAGTCGTTACATCAAAGGGGACTCTGATCTCAGCATTCTAGGCGAGCCAGATCCCGATTCTGGTGTTTGTCGATGGATAAGCTTTAAGCCGACCGGTACTGTGTGTACAAGCCGCTTTAGTCCTCAACTTCGATTTTCGGAAACCTCCGTCTGTTGTTTTCTAGAGCCCGACTGGGCAGTATAGATCACTGCCCCTATTATCCTACGGCTAATCATATGATAGGGAACGTTCAATGCTCCCTCTGTGGGATTGGCATTCATGATAGCGCAGATCGGACAGACGCTCGGCTCACACCGGGCAGCCATACGCACACAGTAAAGAATCCCACGTATGCCATTCAAAAGGCACATGGCACCGTGAAGTGTTCGCCACAACCGACAGCGTATTAGGCTGCAACTCCATTCTCTAGGTCTTCAGGATTGACCTCACCGTACGTCTCGCAACTGAGCCTCACCATTTCCAGCGAAAAAGAGTCCAGGGTAGGTTGTCCGAGCATGCAGGTGGTCTGCCTTCTGCGGATATAGGATACGCCCAGCGGGGGCATCTTGAATTCTTGCATCACGGTGAGAATTCTTAGATCCTCGGTCTTTCTGGGTTCAGTCTTTCGGAAGGGCTGCCCCCACTCCTCAAGTCGAGTCTCAGCTTCTCCAGGTTTTTTTCCAGGTCTCCACGTCCTTTCTGACAGATGACCACACGACTCAAATCTCATATCGCAATACCCAACTAGATAAAGACATCATTCCTCTCGTTGAGAAGATCATGAATCGCTTTTGCAGCAATGCTCGTGTCTTTAGCCGAGCCCAGACATTCCGGCCATAGTGCCCACGCAGGGGTGGCAGGTAGGAAGGGGACGGATACCAACGCGGCGAGTGGTGCGTCAAGAGGATATTTTCACGGTGATTAAGAACGAAACAAGTTCCATCGGACGTTCTTGCTGGTTATCTCTAGATGGGGATATTGTTGCTGCCGACGTAGCATGGCAGCTCCCATCCAACGTGTTGGGAGAGAGGATTTGGATGGGGAAATAGAGGTGTGGGAAAGAAAAAGAGAAGAAGACAAAGCGAGAAGGATGTATCGGAGAAGAATGAACGGATTGGGGGGTGAAACAATGAATGCGGGGAAATTGTGCGGGGGTGAAGCATTGACTTACTAATAATGTAGTTAGTCTAATGGTGGCTACTGTTTCCGCTCGGCTTCAACTTCATCAACTTCGTCAACTTCACCACCAGCCAACTATTCCCTCTTCCACTTCACTCTCCGCCAATGTCTCCCACAACGAGACGCAGAAGGCGCCTCGTCACAGGCTGGTATTCACTCTATCTTCTCTCCCATTGAATGGGACATCTCCAAATCCCTAATCCCATATGGCTAACCAGTGATGGCAGCCATAGATGCAGGGGTAAGCAGTTCCAAGCCTCGATTGTTGTTCATATTGGCTTATGACGTCTCTGTTGTAGTTCGACATTTGAAATGTGAGTATATGCCCCAACTGAGCAGAAACCCTTATCTAACCCTTGCATCAGGTGACAACAACACCCATTCCTGCGCCCATTGCCAACGAGCGGGGCTCGACTGTGTAAGAGGATTCAACGTCCGATTCCGCGAGGGTCTAGATCTCTCCACAGACAGTGCCAATGCTTTTGCCGAGCAGAAGTTGTGGCCAGGTCTCATGGGTCCTGGTATGTCCCCCACTCTCCCTGAGAGACTCAATTCTGAGATGCGATAGTGGAGTTCCTAGATGAGACTGATGCCATTCAACAACTATACGAGGTTGGCCAGTCACCACAGTTTCTAGATGATAATCGTGGCTTTGGATATTCTCCGAGTCACCTTTCTACTAGTTCACTCACTGAGAACCAAAGCCCGATCCATGCTGCTTGGTCCACGCAAGGTGAGAATTGCGATGTCAGTGCAAGTGTAGTCGTGCGCACTTACGACCATGACATGATAACTAGGGGAGGTACTTTAGATGACCTGTCAACCATCGGTCCTCCCATAGATCCAAGCGCAAGCTTGTCAACCACCACTCAAGTTGACGCACACAGAACTTCGTTCAATGCGAGAGAAGCTAGTTTGATGCGCAATTTTGTCGAGAATATGGCACTGTGGGTGGGTACCACGATAGACTGCAAATTCTCCGGGGATTGCTAAGATTCTTTCTATTCGTACAGGCAGATATCACCGACCCAGCTCGTCATTTCGAGATAGATGTTCCAGTCAGAGCTGTTCAGGAGCCCGCTCTGCGCTCAGCGATCTTCGCCTTCTCTTCTCGACATATTGACAGACAAAGCAAGGGAGGCACAGCTGAGGCGTTGCAATACCACAACCACTGCCTGCAACTCTTAATCCCGGCATTGTCTGGTTCGAAAGAAGACATAAACGATGTTGTTCTTGCTACGATTGCGATTCTTCGACAGCTCGAGGAGATGGAACGTATGTTACAAACCTCGAAACTATTTTGTGGCTCGCTAAAGTTTTTCAGCCGACGACAATCAGTTCCATTTGACTGGGACAGCGCGCATACTGAACACAATATCTTCCTTCGGGTCTTCCGGGGGATTGGGAGAGGCGGCGGCATGGTTGTGTCTGCGTGAGGATATATACATCTCGCTGATCTCGCAGAAGCCGCTCCGGACGAACCTCGACAGTTTCCATGGGTCCGACGTCTTCTCGAGGAACGATGACTTTGCTTGGGCGAGTCGAATGGTCTTTCTACTGGCCAAAGTTTTAAGTTGTGCCTTTGATCCCTGTGGTCATCAGACATCTCGGGATCCAAGCGCTCTGCAGACTATGGCACGAGAGGTGGAAGAATGGAATAGTTCGAAACCTGCTTCTTTCGCCGCCGTGCGCTCTGTACCCCGCGGTGAAAGTGCACATCGACGATTTCCCGAGATTTGGATGTTGCTACCAGTTCACGGTAAGTGCTCACAAAACCGTCTCGGCGATGAAGATTAACCACCCTATACGGGTATTCAGTTGTCGGGATTCAATACTACCACATCGCGAAGATCATTCTAGCTTTTGCCACTTGCCCCAGTCCTGCACTCGCTTCTCAAAACTTCAAGCTATCCAGAGATATTGAGGTTTGTCGATCTCTCAACATCTGTTATTAGAAATCTTGCTCACAACGGTTGGGCAGAAAACTGTCCGACGCCACCTTCTTATGGTCCTTGGTTTGGCCAAGTCCAACCCTAAAGCCGAAAATACCCTTTTTACTGCGCGTCACAGTCTTGTGGCATGTGAGCATCCCAGAAGACGCTAGTGAAGTAACTTGTTATACTGATATTTGCGTACACAGGGGGGTGGGTCATTCGCCGTAAAGAGGACCAGGAAGCTGCCGAGGCTCTTCTAAGCGAGATGGAAGCCAGAACTGGCTGGGATGTCAGACAGTCAATCCGCGCTTTAAGGGAGCAATGGGCTGACTCTGACTCTGACTGGTAACACGATACTTCAATAGTTTACCTCGTCAAGCGAGATGGACGCAGATAGGAGAGCGCATGCGCTCAATGTTTGTTTCCCCCAATCTCTGCGGTCTCCTTGCGCTTTGATAGCCCAAGGAAATGCGGTCACGAGGTCTCCAAGACACGAAGATCAACACGGTCGATCATTGCAACCCTAAAAGAAGGACTGTTCCTACTCATTCTCATTGGCTCAGAGCGTATGCAAGACATGCTAGTTGCCGCTTACGAGAATAGTCCGAAGCTTATTGAGCCGCCGCGCCTATGGAAAAATCGCCATGACGTCTCATCAATCTGAGGGGAAAAGCTCCGTGAAGATTAGGACCAGACATGGCTGGTTCTCGCGTAACTTATAAATGTCTCCGAATGACATCTAATTCTACTCCCCGGACTCACGCTTTTGATTTTCACAGACACCTTGATACCTTACCAACCAACTCTCATGCAAGACGCATTCTTCTCATTCCAGGGTCCTGTTCTAGCGGTGAAGGGTGCTATGACAGCAACTCATGAAATCATCCTATGATTACGGACCCGACGCGCCATAAACCTTACATGCTTCTCAGGCCTATAACGAGTCATATCATCTGCAGACACAAGTATTGAACAACCACCTCGATTGATCCGATAGAGTTTGAGCGAGCATAAGATTGGACCCTGCTTCTTGACTGCCAATTTCCGATTCACAAACCGGATGCCAGGTCGATGACGTCTCATCCACGTGTTACCACAAAAAACTGCCACTTTATATCTGAAACGCCTGAGATCCCAACCAAGCACCTGGCCCTCTCACAACCTCCATTACAGTCCTGCGATCGCTTCCGTCCGACAGCACTACACGCTCAACCGGCTCTAATGGCTTGCATTATCAGTTCGAGCAGCAACCCATGCATGTGAAAACATCTTTGTTCGAAAGGACATATCAGTTGTTCGGAGAAATAACTCCTCACCGAAATTGCTTGAATCAGCGACCGAACCAAACCAACTCCCTTGGCCCGTCTCACCGGTGAGACCACATCAGACTCCAGCGACAGCCCAATGCCATTCTTCCGCAAGCGAAGAGAAGGATCCCTGGCTCCATCCTGGCTGCCTGAATCCAAGGACCACAAGCCTTCCAAGACGGGCAGCCACCCGCTGCGCGCGCTTCTCGTCGGCAAGAAGTCCAAGCAGCCCGCAGCCAATCCTCGTCCCCGTGCCACCCCTCCAGCGCTACCCAACAACAGCGACAACACAAATATAGAACATCCGACCACCACCGCCAGCACCCAGACGCCAGTCTCAAACACTATCTCATTCTTCGACCCCAAGACACAAACCTCAGTCTCGTGGCACAACATCGACCCTCCAACCGACCTACTCGTCTCGTTGGATGAGATAGTTCTCGTCCCCGAACACCCCAGATCCTACGCACCCGAGATGATTGAGCATCCCAGCAGCAGAACCTCACCCCCAAGTCCGACGGCTGCTACACTTCTCCCCGGCTACAACGACGTCAGCGGCTCCGTCATTGTGGACTGGAACGGATACCCGCATTTCCTCTCGCCGCAGGAGGAACACGACCGGCAGCTGCAGCTGGAGCAAGCAGTGCAGGAGAGGATGCTGGGCTTGCCGAGGCGGACGGATTTTGCGTGGGAGCGGCCCGGCCATGTTCGTCAGCAATCTCAGCAGACGTTGCCGAGATATACACCGGCCGGGGCGAAGTCGGGGTCGCGGTCCTCGATTCAGAGCGCGAGTAGTGGGGGTTCTTGTCGGAGGTGATGTTGGGTGGCTTTCGGGGAGGGAAATTAGGAGACGTTTCGAAGCAGCAGTTTGGTGTGGTTTGAGACCATGTGCGGGTGTTTGACATTCCTGGGTGTTAGTGCCATTGGCGCTGGAGGCTTGTAGATGGGCACTTGCTGACTCGATATTTTGGTGTGGATCACCAGAAGTGAGATTTTACGATTGATGAATTATGCTATGCGTGGACAGCCAGACACGGCGAGGCTTGGATCATGAGAACGACAATGACGACGACAACGAGAATAATGATGATGTTAGATAGATGGATATATGCTAAACGGAGGCTTTTGTTCTGTCAACTCAACGTGATGCAATATATACACCTTTTATCACCTCCCTCTATAGTCCCACACGTAACATATTGAAAGCTACACTATGCCACCCACCTCAGCTAATTCCGAAAGAGCCTCAATCCACCCTCCTCGCGATCAACATCACTATCTTCCGCCCCCTCATTCTCACTCTCATCCTCCTCGCGCAGCAACCCACTTGCCGTATTCCCCAGCAGCGAGGCGAAGAATTCCTCGCGGGCATGGCGGGTCCACGAGCCGCGGTCCTCGGGTGCCATAAAGTTCTGGAGCTTCTCATGGACCTCGAACTTCATCTTGCGGCCCTTGGAGGCGCGTGTGTCGACGTCGCGTTTGACCTTGTCCTTGCGCATGCCGGTGACGGGGTGCACAGCGGACAGCCGCGAGGGCAGCTGCAGGTGCAGGGTATCGATGCCGTTGGTGATGGCGTCGGAGGAGGACATGCGCTGCTCGACCAGCTCGCGGAGCAGGGACTGGTAGAAGACTGTGTCGTCGTAGAGCGGTTCGTTCTCCGTTGTTGCTGGCTTGCTCCCATCACCCGTTGTGCTATCACCCGTGCGCGCGCGTTTCACAGCCCGGACACTAGCCGTCTCAGTGGCAACCTGCGCGTCCAGCACGGTCGAGATCTTCTGCGAGGCCGCCGCGCCGCCGGACGAGGCTAGGAGCTTGCCGCGCGCGTTGGCGGTGGAGGCGGCGGTGGCGCCCCGGACTTTCTGGGACCATTTGTCGAGCACGGCGCGGCGATGCGCCATTGATTCCGCTTCTAGGGCGGTCATGCGTGTCCAGAGCGAGGCGGAGGTGGTCGCGGGCGTGGCGGGAGCGGGCCGCTTGCGTTTCTTGCTGTCGTCCTGGGCGTGGTGCGCGTCGGCGAGCGCGAGCCGGAGGTCCTCGAGCGTGGACCACAGCGCGAGAGCGGCGGATTCGGCGGATTTGATGGCTTCGCCGTCCGAACTGGAAGTGTCTGCGTCTGCATCGGCGGCGGCGGTGGTAGTGGTGGTGTCATCGGTGGTTTGCTGCTGGGTGAGCTGGTTGATGGCGGTGAGACCCTTCTGCAGCTTGATGCGTGTGTTGAGCAGGGCGTCGAAAGTGGCGCGCTGCTGCTTGACGGCTTTGCCCTTGGCGGCGTCGGCCTTGGCGGCTTGCGAGATGGTTGCCGCGATGGTCTTTTGGTCCGAGGCCATGAGTTTGCGGAGTTGCTCGCGGTCGTCGGATTTCGCGGGGGCGGAGGATTCGGAGGCGTCGGAGTCGTCTTCGTCGGAGGGGAAGTCGTCCTCGTCTTCATCCTCGTCCTCCTCGTCCTCATCTTCTGACCCATCCAGCTCGTCCGATCCGTCGGTGTCCATCTCGTCAAAGTCGACCTCCTTTCTGGCCTTCTTTCCGGTGGTCGTTGACCGGCGGGGTTCCGCCTCGCTGTCACTCTCGGAGATGTCTTCGTCGTCTTCATCGCTGCCTAGCTCCTCCTCCTCCTCATCCTCCTCATCGTCCTCCTCACCACTAGACAATCCCTGGAACGGATCATCATCACTCTCCGCCTCGAGCGCCTCCCTGCTAACCTTGGAACCAGCGTACTGTTTCCCCAGGGCAATCGGATCCTGTTTGCGCAGCTTTCCTTTGCTGGTCGACATTAGTGATCCACTTTTCCACGCAAAGAACCCATCGCAACACAACCACGCAGACAGTAAAAGAAAACCTACCCGACAGCCTGATAATGCTCTCGCCCGGCATCAGCATCCATATCCTTGCCCCCTTCCTCATCGCTACTCTGCACCCCGCGATCGAGATCCTCGGGATCGAAATCTGCGACGGCGGGAATAATTAGCTCCAACTCAAGTTTCCGAGCGACCGACCACTAAAACCGACCCCCAAGATGGAAAGAAAGGGGGAGAGAAACAAACCTTTAGGAGTAGGATCCTCCAGCTCAGCGAGCTGTTCAGCCAGCGACTTAGGCGCCATTTTGCTTGTGTGTTCTGTGAGGTAAAAGCAAATGCGATCCCAACAGGTGAAGCTGAATTTGCGTTCCGGGCGCGAACAACTTTTTTTTTTCGGGGCGGGTTGTTCTGCCTGCAAAATTGGGCGGAGGCGGTGACGGCTAAACTAGCCTGATACAGCAATGGTGAGCTTATAACGGGGGTGTTTCTCCGGCTGTGAGGATGAAAGTTTGGCAGTATGTTCCTCCTTCATGCATCAATATGCGATCCTCACCGCCAACAACGTCTTGCAAGCTGAAGCTTCAGCAACTATCCTCCTGACTATGATGCTGTTTAAACGGCTCTTCTCGACGGCGCGGGTGCTGCAGCATGATAACCCTTTGGTATCCCCCCCGTTCTTATCGGTTGGTGAATGATGCAGCTGACACTGGGATGTAGGGCCTCCCTCGCTCCGGAACCCCGCCGTCTTTCCCTCGCCGGCGCGGCCTGCCCGAGAAGCGCAAGATCCGGGACGTGAAGAAAGTGATAGCGGTCTCGTCGGCGAAGGGAGGGGTGGGGAAGTCCACGATAGCCGGTACGCTCGTCTCCCTCGCTATATACTTGTAATCAAGTCAATGACAGATAGGAACTGATGTATGTGGCAATGTGATGTGCAGTGAATCTCGCCCTCGCATTCGCGCGCCGCGGCATCCGCACCGGCATCCTGGACACAGACATCTTCGGGCCCTCGATCCCGACACTGCTGAATCTGAGTGGGGAGCCGCGGTTGGATGAGAGTGTGTCTGCCCCCAATTTACTGAAAACCTCATCCACTAACTCTACAATTCCTTGGATAGATAACTGCCTCATTCCCCTAACCAACTACGGCCTCAAATCCATGTCAATGGGTTACCTTCTCCCCAGCGCCCAGCAAACCCAATCAGACCACCCCGACCACCCCGACCAACCAATCCCCATGGACCCTACCCCCATCTCCTGGCGCGGGCTGATGGTCACCAAAGCCATGCACCAACTCCTCCACAGCGTCAGCTGGGGCCCCCTCGATGTCCTCTTCCTCGACCTCCCGCCCGGCACCGGCGACGTGCAGCTCACGATCAACCAAGAGATTGTGCTCGACGGAGCGGTAATCGTGACCACGCCGCAGGATATCGCGCTGCGGGACGCGGTGCGCGGCATCGGGATGTTCCAGCGCATGAACGTGCCTGTGCTGGGCATGGTGCGCAATATGGCGTATTTCAATTGTCCGAGTTGCGGGACCTCCACCGAGATCTTCGGGCATGGGCATAAGCATCTGCAAGGTAGGGAGGAGGAGTGGGGGGTGCAGGCGGAGTGTCGGCGCCTCGGGGTGGAGTTCTTGGGGGATGTGCCGTTGGACGCGGCTGTTTGTCGCGATGCGGATCGCGGGGTGCCGACTGTGGTTGCCGAGGAGGGCACCCCCGAGAGTAAGAGGAGGGAGGCGTTTGTGGGGATTGCGGAGGAGGTGGCGAGGAGGGTCGGGGTTCAGTGGTAGAGGGTCTACTTATATATGGGAGGGCGAGGGGAGGGAAGAAGGAGTGTGTATGATATGTATGTGTATATAATATACCCTGGAGCTGTATACTTATAAGTGCTTTCCAATGAATCGTGCGTAATGCAATTTACATATTAAAATGTGCAAGTATCAACAATGATCAAGACAAGGATGCACCAAGCTGGGTATAACACCACCACCACCACCACCACCACCATAACGCAACACCACTCTAGTATGTACATGACATGAAAACCATACAGGCATTAATGAACATACTCATCGGCCGTCTTGAAGTACTCCCGTTCTGGCATCTCCGGCCGCGGCGTCGACTCATTTCCCACCCCCGGGGTCACCTGCCCCTCACTGGGCAGCGCCTCGAACGAGCGGTACGCAGACTCGTTATCGCTAAGCGCACCGCCCAGCACACCCCGGGCATTGAGCACCGCCCGTGTGCTCGCCGCGTCCACCCCGTTCGTCGTCACCCCCAAAGACTTCTCGTCGCCGCCGATCGTGCTCGCCGTGTCGTCCGGCGGCTCCGTCGTCAGCGCGCTGCGGATGGTGCCGGACCCGGCGTTTGAGGAGGGCCGGTGCCGCAGGCGCGCCGCCCAGCTGGGATCGGCCATCGCACCGGCTTCGTGGAAGAGCGCGCGGGTGCTCGCGTTCTCCTCCTCGAGGTTCTTGCCCTCGTAGCCCGGCAGGACGAGCAAGGGAGTGAAACTCTCGAGGGAGGGCGCTTGCGTATGCGCGTTCGTCGATGAGTTGCCGTCATCACCATCCTCGGACATACGTTTCGGTCCTGAGGTGCCGACTCCGTTGGGCTGCGCCCCCGGGCTGGAAAAGTCCTGCACCGCGGCGCCGGTCACGGCCGCGGCGCGCTGCGTGGCGGCGGCGTTCTCGCCTGTCTGCTGCGCGGCCTCGGCCTTCATCGAGGCGCCCGCCTGGCCGGCATCGACGCTGGTGCGCGCGGACCGGTCGCCCTTCAGCTGCTCCTTGACGACGGTGCGCTCGTCGTGCTTGCTGGCCATGCGGCTCCACATGGTCATCGGGTAGCTCTTGCGGCCGGTCTTGGACGGCAGCACGCGCGGCACGGTGCGTCGGGCCGCCAGGGAGCTGGGCGGGGGCAGCTCACCGGGGAAATTCTGCAGCCCGTACGCCAGCTCCTTCATGCGCTGGCGCTGCACGCGCAGCTTCTCCTTGGCGTACCGCGTGTCCCACTCCGTCTTCGCGGCCAGCCACTTGCGCACGAGCGCCGGGTTGAAGACTCCGACCTGGGAGGGGGGGATCTGCAGCACGGGGCACGCCGACGGCGGGTCCAGAGGGTAGATGTTGCCTTTCTTGTCCACGCGCTGTCGGATCATGCGGTCTTTGAACGCGGGCAGCGGGTCGCCTGCCTTGCCGATACTGTCCAGTGGGGTGGAGTGCTGGCTGTTATCAGTGTCTCGCTTGGCCGCCGGGTCGTCGCTGCTATCCGTGTCACTGGACACGCCGTGGTCATCCACGATTTCGACCTCGGTGTCTTGCGCACACGCCAGCGCCCAGGCGCCGAACTGCGCGATCGCGCGGTACATGTATTTGGCTGGGTGGGTGAAGCTGAGAGTCGGCGCCACATGACATAAATCGTCCCAGACCTGGAGCTGGACGTAGGTGCCAGGGTACTTGTTGAGGGTTTCGCGGTTCGGGTCATGCTCGTCCAGGAAAGGATCGCCGGGCGGGTATGCAGTTGGATTGGCGGCTTTGTGGGCGACGTACAATTGCTCGTCTCTGAGCATCTCCCCGCCGCCGCTTTGGATCAGCAGTGGGGGCAGTCCGCCGAGAGAAGGCTGGAAAATTGGAGAGACGAGCGGATGCGTGACGAGATCATTGGTCGTATACATCTGGATTTGGTCCTTGATCTCAAGCGTCTCTCCGTCTATCGGGACGATGAGCTTCCCGTGGTGGATCTCGGTGGATTGGCGCCGGGAGGTGGCGTGGTCGGCCTCGGAGGAGCTGCTCTTGTGCATCGAATAGCCCCTTTCCGCCGTCTCATCGTCCCGAATACTCTTATCGGGGACCGCATCGCTGGGATTTGCCGGGTGGTTCTTGAGCGCTTTCTTCAGCGAGGCGAGCTCATCTGCATTGGGGGGCGGCCACGCTGCAGACGGCTTGTGAAAGAAGCCGTACGGCGGGATATAGTCGCCAGGATTGTCCTTGACTATGCTAGGGAACGAGTGGGTCAAGTCCACCCAGGGCGATATCAGGATCGCCCCCGCGGGCAGAGGAAGCCCCTGATCACGGAGGATGACCAGTAAACTGGGACGTTAGCTGCAGCTGATGTTTCGGTAGGGGTCTTTGACATACGAGAGAACGAGACCCCCTCCGGCAGAGTCACCAGCAAAGATGATCTCCTTGGGCGAATACTCCTTCAAAAGGAACAGGTAAGCCGCCAGCGAGTCCTGCATGCCACAAGGGAACGGGAACTGCGGCGCCAGACGATATTTTGCTAGACAGGGTTCAGTGTTATTCCAAGCGGATACCCCCATCAATTATGGGTCAGGTGAACTCACTGAGACTCCGAGTCAGTACCGAGGCTTGATTGCACCGAAGAGAGACTTACCGTGCAAAAACCCTCCCCTTCAACTTCCGCGCATGCCGCTGCATCTGATACCGATGCGTATCCAGACTGCCGAAAAAGTACGCCCCGCCGTGGATGTACAGCATGATGCGCTTCTGGCCGGGATGGTCGTGCCCCGGGCGCTTGCGTTCGTTGTAGTCGTCCTTCATCTCGATCCATTCCGCCTTCAAGTCCTCCGCGGGACCGCGCCACTGCCACCACTCCTTCCCGCCGACACGGGCGATGCCCTTGGGGCCGAGCTGCTGGTTGATTGCATCGGCAGCGCCGCGGAGACAGTCCTCGGGGACGGTGACGGTCTCGACCTTCACCCAGTGCGGTGCGGGAACCCGCTGGCAGGAGAAGGTCTGGAGGTCCTCCAAGGTGTGCTTGGAGGCGTAGATGAGGAATTCGCGCAGGATGCGAATGCTTTCATCGTAAGAGATGTGGACGTTGGGTTTGTGGTGGAGGGATTTGCGGTGGAGGTACTGCGGGGATTGTGAAACGGGGTGCGGTCAGTTTGGAGGGTCCAGCAAGAGACAGTTGAAACGCGATGGGATCATTGCCATGGAGGGGAGGGGACGGAGTGACCCACATGAGAGATTAGGGTCTGAAGGACTGCCGGGGTGAGGGCCAGACTCAATGCAAAGGTGTTCAGGGGCATAGTGATGCACTAGTGAAGAAGCGGCAAGCTTCACGCGTGGTCATGGAGCTTGCGGGAATGAGTGTGTTTTATAATGGCAGGCCAAGTGAAAAGAAATGACACAAGAGTCAGGAGCGAGAGGGGGTGGCAGCGCAGATAAACTAAAAGACTAAAGGGAGGGGGATGGGAAGCAGCGGAACCCAGGGAGACGAAAGGAGTGGGCCAGGAACCGATAGACAGAATCTTTGAGGGAAGAAATGGACCAATGCTGGGTGACGAGCGACAAGGGCTGGACCCTTGAGTGGGTAGATGAATGGGCAGTGCTGCGAGGAATTGCCAACCACGCATAATGCATCGTCATCACCTCCAGAGTATGAAGTAGTAGTAGTAGTAGTAGTACTTTTTCGAGGGAGGGAGGGAGAGTCGTTGGTGATGCCTGAGGCCCAAACCGAGGTCGGACTCGATGATGTCATCACCAACAACCATCACACTAGTCCTAATGCGGAAAGTGTGCTGGTTCCAGTTCGATGCCTGATTCAGGCAGGCATCGAAGACCAGGACCTTGGAGTCTGAGAGCTGATGAATCCTGGATGTGATTTGCAGCCGAAAGTGGTGTGTGTGCTCCAATAGCTTTCCAAGTTCTCTATTGGCTCACTTGGGTAGCCAAGCTTCTGATACGCAATCCAAGCTTAGTCGGAAACTGTTATAGCTTCAGCTGGCTGTGTGTGTTGGCATAGAAAAGGACGAACCAAGTACTATCTCACCGCCAGGCTTTGTCTGTCGCGTGTCAGAGATATTTCCTGCGTGTCAGCATTCATGTCGACAATTGAACGACAAGTAGTATCCAGTTGTACCATAACATCAATCGTGATTGAATCTGTATTGTAGTATAGAGAAATGGCGGAGAAACAACGAAGAGATGACGTCTCTCTTACTCCGTACAGCGGTTTATCTTATCGCCCTCGGACCAGAGAATCCATCCACCAAACAACCGTCTCTTTCCGCCACCTCCACCTCCATTTTTGCTTCCCTTTTACTCCTACAGTACCTCAAACCTACACACCAACAAACCAATTCCCCTGCAAACAAGAACAATAACCCCGCTCAAAATGACAGCCACCACCCACCCAACAACCATGAAAGCCTGGCTCTACACCACCACCTCCCCCACCCTCGAAGCCAACCTGACGCTACACTCGACCGCCCGCGCGCCCCCCGCGCCGCTCAAGCCGTCGCAGGTACTGATCCGCGTGCTCACCACTGCCCTCAACCCCGCCGACTACAAAGTCCCCGCCATGCCCATCGTCTCGACCGCTCTGATCCGCAAACCCGCCAGCCCGGGCCTCGACTTCGCCGGCGAAGTCGTCGCCACCGCCGACACCACCACCACATCCTCCTCCTCCTCCTCCTCCTCCTCCTCAAGCTTCACCCCCGGCCAGCTCGTCTACGGCACACTCGACCTACCCACACAGTTCGGCACGCTCGCCGAATTCCTCATCGCGCGGGAGGAGAATCTCTCGCCGATCCCGGAGGGGGTGTCGCTCGACCACGCCGCCACCGTCGGCGTCGCGGGGATGACCGCGTGGCAGTCGATCGCGCCGTTCTTCACCCCCGACCAGGGTGAGCGGGTGTTCATCAACGCCGGATCCGGGGGCTGCGGGATCTTCGCGATTCAGATCGCCAAAGCGCTGGGCTGTATGGTCACGACGACGTGCTCGACCAAGAACGTGCAGCTGTGTCGCGAGCTAGGCGCGGATGAGGTGATCGACTACACGACGGAGGATGTGGTGGCGGTGCTGAAAGCCCAAGGCCAGGTGTATGATCATGTGGTCGACCATATCGGGCTGCCGGCGGAGCTGTACAATGAGTGCCACGCTTTCCTGAAACCCGGCAAGACGTTTGCGCAGGTCGGGGCGACGCGGTTCCCAACTTTTGCGACGCGGTTGCTGCGTCCGGGTTTCCTGGGCGGTGGGAAGCGTAGGTATCTGCCCATCTTCTGGAAGCCCAATAAGTCGGATCTGGTGCGGGTGGGCGAGTTGATCCAGACGGGCAAGGTGAAGGTCGTGCTGGATAGTGTGTGGGAGTTTGAGGATGCGCCGAAGGCGTTTGAGAAGTTGCGCTCGGAGCGGGCGCGGGGGAAGGTTGTGGTGCATGTAGCAGAGGCCTAGGGAGGTGGGATGTGTGGTGTATAACAAGTAGCATGTAGCATTTTTCGGTGTTCTATGTACAGTACAGTACAGTGCCTTCTCTCTCATTGAATCACGGGGGGGGGGGTTCCGTTCACTACCTCCGATGTTTAATAATGCTATAATCTTCACTTCTTCTCCTTCCTCTGCAAGAAAGTCATAGCCGCCACGGCCATAGCATCCACCGCCGTCTGCAGCGTCGGCTCAATAACGGGGGCAAAGAAGGGCGAGTGGTTACTTGGCAGCTCGCGCACGGTATCCTTTTCCACCGCCTCATCCCACACCTTCGCATCCACGCCTCCAAACGTCCACATCACATACGGCGCGCCGACCGCCGTCGCCAGGAGCGAGAAGTCCTCACTGGCCGCTGCAGGCTCCGACTCCACCAGATTCTCCTGGAAGTACTCCCCAAACGAGCCCTTCAGCGCCTCCACCAGCGTCCCATCGTTAATCGTCGCGGGGGTCGAATAGATGAGCTTCACATCCGGCTTCTCCACACACCCGGCAGCCGCACACTCCGCCTCGACAATCCTGCGAATTGACTCGACCACCCGCTTCCGCGTCGCCGCATCATACGTCCTCACATTCAGCTTCAAATCACAGTAATCCGGGATGATGTTATGCGCATGGCCCGCCTGGATGCACCCACAGGTGACGACCGCCATCTCGCCCGGCGTCACCTCCCGACTGACGATGCTCTGCAACTTGGTCACGACCGCCGCACCGGCCACGATGGGGTCGATGCACGTATGCGGGGCAGAGCCATGCCCGCCCCGCCCGTAGATGCGCACGTCAAACGCATCCGCAGCCGTCAAGAACCGCCCGGCGCGCACGCTGACGCTCCCCGTGCGCATGCGCATGACATGCTGCGCCAGCACCACCTCGGGCCGCGGGACCTTCTCGTACAGCCCGTCCGCCAGCATCGCGCGCGCCCCGTCCAGCTGCTCCTCCGCCGGCTGGAAGATGCACACCACCGTGCCGGACCACTCCGCCCGCGCGCGGTGCAGCAGCGCCGCGCTGGCGAGCAGGCTGACGACGTGCGTGTCGTGGCCGCAGGCGTGCATCACGGGGCGCAGCGTCCCCGAGGGGTCCTTCGTGGTGCGCGTGCTGGCGTACGGCAGCTGGGTCTTCTCCTCGACGGGCAGCGCGTCCATGTCTGCCCGCAGGAGCACCGTCGGCCCGGGCCCGTTGCGGAGGACGCCCGCCACGCCGTGCCCGCCGAGGTGGGTGTGCACTTCGAAGCCGAGGGTGCGAAGGTGCTCGGCGGCGGTCGCGGCGGTCTGCTCCTCCTGGCCGGAGAGTTCGGGGTTCTGGTGCAGGTGGCGGTAGAGCTCCTCGAAGGGAGCGAGGTCGGGGCGGTGTTGCGCGATGATGTCTTTCATGGTTGGTGTGGGGCGTTGGGACGCTGGGGGTCAGAGGGGTTAGAGGTGGTAGAGATGGGGATAGCACGATAGTGCTGAGCTTTGAGGGATGTGAGGTTTTAGTGGGTGTGGAAGGGGATGCTCACCTCGAACTTGCATGTTGATATTGCGGGGGCGGGGAGAGCGGGGAGGGGGGCAGTCAAGGGTTATTATATAGGAGGGATGGGGACCAGGTGTAGGACTGGGATGAAGTTGTGAACACGAAAGTAGTCAGCATGATCATGAGGAGTAATCAAGGTGGCATCGGAACATCGAGGATCGGCAGTCTATGCGAACCAGCGTCCAGGACGATTGCCGAGTAGGATGAGCGGGGACGGTGTACTCAGTTGAGTTGCGACTCCAACCAGTCTTCACCGGCAGCGTCATCCCGATAAGCTACGGCGATCGGCGGAGCCCAGTAGCTCGGCTAATCCGCCTGACTGCGCATCGGCTATCTTGTTGGCTGAGCATTGGAGATAAGGAAGAAGAAGAGATGTTGTGCTTCTGGAAAGAAAACACGCTATCCATCTTTAGTAGGCGTAGATTGAGATACTTCCGCTACATATGACAGTCAACCCCTCTATTACCCTTCGAAGCAGGGGAAGCAAAAACAAAAAGAAATTGGTCGAGATGCTCACACTCGGACTCGAACCGAGGATCTCAGCATTACTAGTGCTGCGCTTTACCATCTAAGCCATGCGAGCTGATTGGTTACAACTAGCAGTATGCTGCTAATATAATTCACATCACAAAATATGTAGTGATACAACAGCTGTTGTGCTCTTTGCCCATTCTACCCCGCACAGCGTTGCAACGGAACAAGACTCGACTCAGCCGCATCCTGGCCAATGCTTGGCTGCAACACATACCACATACGTGTATCTGCAGTTTTGGTTGAAACATGCTGAAAGGGCTTGACTTGGCAGTTGGGGATGGAGTCGTTCATTCAGCATCGACCCAGTTGCTACAGACAGAACAAGGAGACGGCTGAGAGGGTTGCAGTACTCTATTCCCTAATATCCTAGATGTCTAGTAGTTGTACTCCTTCCCGGATGTCTTTCTCCGCTGAGAACATGATGAGCATGGAGGTTGAAAGGTATGTGCTTCAGGATCCTTGCCAGTCGACCCGGGTGGTTGCACAGCATCGGGCATACAAAGAATGGTGTCTCGGATATCGAGTAAATATAGACCAAGATGGTGGTCACTCGAAACACTCAAGTTGAACCCTCCCTAATTCTGCGGGGAGTCATTATAAAAGACTGAGACTTTCAACCTCTTTATGTGTAGTGTTGCAAAGTGAGTGACACCCATAGTAGGTAATATCTCGTGGACATTGCGTGACTCCTCGGACAGCGGTACCAGGAGCTGGCTGCAGTGAATGTCTTCTTTACAGACAATAAAGCAATTCAAAGCAGTGAATAAGTGAATGAACACAAGATGTAGATTAGAGAGTATATATGAAGCCCTTTCTGTCAATCTCATGTCTTCTCATCACAATCGCACCTCCATCTCTGTCTCTCTCTCATCTCAATTCAAGAACTCAACTCACATCCTCTACCTCCTTACCCACATCCATCAACAAAGCCACACTCTACAAACCAACTGCGACAATGAAGCTTCTCACTCTCACCACCCCTCTCCTCCTAGCAGCCCTCGCCCAGGCAGCTGCCATGGTGACCCCGGCCGACAGCCTCATCGCCAAGGACCAGCACCTCGAGGCCAGAGCCGATATGTGCGGCAACTTCTGCGTCGGGCCTGGCTACTGCCACGGCAAATGCAGCAAGTGTACCAACAATGTGTGCAAGCAGTAGTAAGTTCGTTCCTCCGGGGCAGTCACAATCTGGATGGATGGATGGGTGCTAATCCGGCTTATTGTGTGGTTTAGGGCACTGAACTGATGTACTGTGCCTGCCTGTCGCTCTTGTGCCGTGAAAGGCTATATCGATTCTTTAGACAACACCAAGCGCCGGAGTACGGTGCTAGGAATCGGTGCAATGAGGGGATGGGTCAACTGGGCTTTTCTTTCTCATTACTGAACTGGAGAGTCAATTCTTCTTTGTACACTTGTGGCTTTGGACACGATAGGAGTCGGTTACGTGCCAACTAGAAACCGCAGGATTGTCTCGGCTGGTATTGGCCTGTTGCGTTGTACGCTGGTTGCCCAACGGGTATCGGAGGGACGATGCATGATTTAGCGGCTGGGGCAGTTTATTCGCGACTTCTGGATCGAAAGTATGATAGTCCCCAATCTATCTATCTATCTTCCATTACACCCTATACCCACATGTAAACGTAGCCTACAAGTAAGAATATTCGATGTGCTGCATGCAGTCAGACCCGATCGCCGTCGGGACTAAGACCCTGACATCATGGGATCAGGTGGCTTAGACCCCGATCTCGGTGGGCGTGCAGCGGGCTAAAGCAGGTACCAACCGGCACAGTCAGGATGTGATCATGCGATGCAGCTACGATGTACAGTCTCGAGTGGACTCATTTGTAAACAATAGCATTTGTCAACTAGCTGTTCGCCTGACTAAGGTACTGTGTAGTATGGACATGCACTACTAGTATGTAAACCAGACTACGGAAATGGCAATTTTAAGTGGATCCAATGCGGTGGATCCCGCGCCTCCCGCGAACCACTCCACAACCACTGCGCAAAAAAAAAAAAGAAAAAGTTTGGCTGGCACATCGAACCACCGATCGCTGTACACCCAAAGAGCAAAAGAGAAAGCCGAACGCGGGGGTTGAACCCGCAACCTTGAGATTAAGAGTCTCACGCTCTGCCGATTGAGCTAGCCCGGCTGTTGTTGTTGAGGGCTATAGTGCTCTAAAATATATACCTGTTGCAACACCGGCTCTGCTGGCTCAGAACAAACCACAACCAAACAGACGGGGGTGAGGAGGCGGGGTCCTGGATATGGTCGATAACGAGACTTCAGCTGGGATGTGCAATGCTGATGCCTGATCTTTAACCGCCGGGACTGCAATGCAGTTAAATTGTCATCTTGAGGGGAAGGATAAGCACTGTTGGATTTCTGCGTTCGGGTGATGCTCGTTGACGGTCACTGGGGTCAGCAAAAGGAATCATAGAAGAATCATGACCATCATCCGGTCCTCGTGGCGATAAGAGTCACCGAAGTCAGCCTGACTACCCACCCACCTTCAAAATCGCTCAGCAAAGGCAACCCCTCACACGATCACCGCGTGCGGCGGCTTCCAGCAACAACTTACCCGCAAGGCAGCATCCGATGAATCAGCCCGGTCGAGGTTGCTGACTGAATTAGTAATTCCCAAAACCAGACGGCATCCGTAAAGCGTGTACTAAGAGCTGCGCAGATGGTGACGACCGCGAGTCTCAAAAGGGAACAATCATCTCAGGTGGCAAGCCATAACCAAAGCAACCCCCAGGCCACCGCGACAGGATACGAGCCACACCCAAGGTCATTGCGCATGGTACTTGCAACCAGATTTGCGACCCTTTCCCAGTAGGCCCTTTACCATTAACCCATGGAAAAAAGGAACAACGCGAAGAAGGGAAAACGCGCAGGTTGCATGAACCTCGTGATCCAAACCCCGTGGGTAGCAGGGAAGAAGGAGGAAAACCCCCATGTCCGTCCGTCGTGTGGGTTCGACGGGATTGGAGCGCAAGGGGAGGGAAATCACGGCCAGTGACGGTCATCGATTTGACGGTGGCTGAATTTTAGGAGGAGTTTCTGGGCATTGCACTCCGTCAAGAGCTTTGATCGGGGCTACTAGTGTCAGGGCCCCCAGGGGCTGAGACGCTTGATGCCTTAGCCCTTAGCACTTGCAAGATCGACAGGTCCTCGTATAGCGGAGGGTTGGCGGTTCGATCCCCTCGTTAGTAATGCTACCCAGAAAGTGGTTGTGGGTGCGTCCTTTGCTGTGCATATTCTTAGATCGAACTGAGCCTAATAAATAGAATGATAGGATATGCAGATAGCTCAGAGACCCGACAGTTTGGAACTGGTGGGTTCTTTTGTCTCGAATACCGCTCGCGATGTTGACAGCGGCTGCTTAACAAATGAGGGCGGGGATGGAGCCCTGACGCGGGGAGAGCTGGTCGCATAACATGGCATACAGAGGTAGCCAACAAAACCCGTAGTCATTCGGTCAAGCTGGAGGGTCAAGCCACAGTCAGTTGGAGATTGTCACTTGTCCGACGATGGCGTCACCAGCAAAAAGAGTGAACATCAGCCAAGAATTGAGGAACGAAGGAAGATGACGAGGGGGCAGTTGGGATTGTGGCGCAGGAAACACGAGGGTTTCAGCCACAACACTAGCCATCGGTCAATGACTCTGAATGACTCTGTGGAGGAGACTCCGTCGAACTCACCGGCTTCCCCGACACCCTGAAGGGGTATAGACTAGACGGAGACTGGGGATGACTAGTGTGATTGTGGACACCCGCCGTTCGTGGCATTACTGCTGTACTAACCCTATCCTCTCTTAGTGTGTTCATCCGGTGCAGTCAGACTGTCAGATGAGGACAGATTAGGGAGAGGAATGATCCAACTTGACCGACTCTTGCAGCCCCTACCACCAATCAGATTACAATTAACCCCCCCAACTGGCGATCTGGTTGAAGACAGTGCGTTTCCAACTGGGAAGTGGAGATGAAAGGTGGAAATGCACTGCCTTCATCACCACTCGCATCCTTCACTTTCACCAAACCGCACCAGCCACAGTCTGCCAGCCTTACAGTCACCAGCCAATACTTTCTCCGCCAATTTCTGTTCCATAGGCTGCCACACCCTCCAATTCATCGTCATGTTATTGTTTTTATTCATTTAATTTTAGATTATGACTGACTTTTCTTAGCGTCCCCATCTGTGACCAGATCCGTCATGAATCCCTCCTGCAGTTCATTCTACCCCCTTTCACGGATGCCTTCCATGCCCGTCCTCAAACTATATAACCTCCTCTTCTCCCCTCTCTGTTCCTGATGTTCATTCTATCCATTCGCATTCAACTCTTCAGTTCAGACTTGCTACAGACTATATAGTCTCGCTCGGGTCATACCTGCTACATTCCAGCTAGTTCATCCATTACTGCTACACTTTAATTCTCTCCCCACGTGCCCACTCAGGGCTCAATTCAACCCATCCGTCACACTGTCGCCCTTCAAATCCACTCGGTTTCTCTGGCCCCCTATCTACACCTCCGTCCGGGAGTCCGTTTCTCTACGCTCGAAGCCCCGTCTCCGTCGATCCGTAAGCATGCCTCACCAGGTCGAGCAAGTCGTCGAGCCGGTCGTCCCGGTGAGGGAGCTCGAGGCCGACGAGACCTACGTCCTCGACAGCTTTGAGAGCCACGCCAGCCACTGCTCTCGATGCGCCAATCCCCTCAAGACCCGCGAAGAGGACCGGTCACTCTGCAAGCGTGGCCACCAGTACGCTCGAGACGTGGCCGATTACCTGCGCAGCAAGAAGGGGAAGATCTACTCGGTGGTCGACCTGGAACGCAACCGATCCTGTCTGGTCAAGGTGCCTCTGAAGTACGCTGCCGCGCGTCAGCTGCTACTGGCCATCGAAGATGGGCTGCGCGTGGAGAATAAGTCGGCCGCCGGGCCTCGCAACTCGGCCCCTCCAGTCATCAGCTACGATGCCACTTATCCCGTGGCCCCCCGCCGCATCACCACGCAGGACTACTTGCGCCCTTCCCAGGCGATCATCGAGCGCGAGCCACGGTCCCTAAAGCGTCACCGGGCCATCATCTACACCTCTCCTCGCAGCTCGCCCAGCCGGGGGTCGCTGTACGAATCCGATGCGGCCGAGCGGTATGAGCGTGTCAAGGAGTCGTCCCGCATCTACCGGCCGACGGACTACCACCGTTGATTCAGGACACCTAGTCTGGGATTGAAATTGTCCTGTCATCTCTCACCGCGAAATTGGATACCTGTCTATTTCGGTATTATGCAGCCAAGACGCTGTTACCACGCTGTCCCTCAAATCACTCGGATCAATCTGTCCACCGGAAGGGCTTTAGTTGGGTCTGAACCCACCGCGGCCTCGTCCAGCCCCAGCCTTCTCATCCTTGCCCGACCGCATTGGTTTTGGCGATGGACCTGTTGCTACTGCTGCACTTGCGCGTTCTGCAGTGCGCTTGGCATATTTGAAGAGAGTTTCATTTTTCTCTCCATTGTCGCATTTCTCTCTCCGTTGCTCTCATTGCAATGCTTTTCTTCCATTTGTTTCGCATTATCGGGTCAATTCGACTTTAGGAAACAGAAACCCCGCTCCCACAAAAAAATACCATAGTGAGCACAGCAAAACCACGGAGCGAAACGAGCACAACGATGAGGATGCCAGAGCGAGAGAGAGAGAGAGAGAGAGAGACCGAGATCTGTCGTGCGACCCTGCTTCATGCTGTCTACACCGGGGGGAAAGCGGAAGAAGCCCGTCCAAGAGAAGCTGCAGCCGAAACGTACTTACTGTATTATTGTATGTATGGCCTGCAAGCTGTGACTCATCCGCCCTTCGGATGCAAGACTTTTTTGTACTTAGTAGGTAGTCTAGAGCATGATGGACTGCAGCTTACCTGCAGCCCGCGCCTTTCCTTTTACTTGTTTCTTTTTCTGTCTTAGTGGCATTGATTTCTCCCACTAGGGGAAAATCGTCCCCCTCTTTTGCAGAGTCCCGAGCAGGGAATCTCGCCCAGCAATTGAATTTCCTTTGTCGTGATTGGTGGTTCGACGTGCCCAATTGTATTTGTAGTTTGTAGATCAAGGCTGGATGATTCGTCAATTGCGAGCATTATTGATGCCTGCGATGATTGGTCGTTGGGATGGGTCTAGTGGAGGTTAGTAGGGACTATTCATATGGCCCTAGACTTCGTACTCTACCTTAGTAGCTTCAAAGACCTCAGTATACGTATGCACTACTTCCCAGAGCGACCGTCTCACACCTAGTAGTAGAGTAGATACCATGCTCAACCCCAAACAGCCACACTTTCACCCCTCACAACCCAAACAATCCAACTCGACCCCCAGCGCATCTCCCATCCACCCCGAAACAGGATTCTCATAAGGCATCAATTCTCCGACAGTCACCTCAGCACGAACCTCATCCCTAAACAAGCTAGGCCTCACCGATCACCACCGGAGAATTCACCACTGCAGCCAGGTCGGCGTCGCAAGTCCCGCAAGCACCTCTACGTCCCTGGAATGCCCTAGTCTGTCATCCCGGGAGAAGCATTGCAAAACACCGCGGACATAATCCAGACAGACAGATGATTTCCCACAGCCACAGGACATGCGCCAAGAAGAACAACGCATGCCGAATCCCTGCAACAAACGCAAGCACTACCCGCAACCTAAATCCTTCTCAGCGCCGCATGCATGCTTTTACTGCACACTACACCGGTAGTAGTCGTCTGTCTTCGAGGAGGAATCTTGTTTTGGGTGATGCATAGCGGATGTCGGTAAGCGAGGTGCTGCAGCGCATTGCCAGCCTCCCGACCGACTCGGGACAATCACTTCCCAAGTTTGTTTCAGCCTTTGTTGCTTGCTTGCTGGCAGTCAGGCAAGGAGTCTGGTTGGCACCGAACGACACAAAGTTCACGGCGCCGGGTTCTCCGAACAAGAGTATCCCGAATGAGAGTAGGGTTGAGCTGTAGCTCCAACACCAACAAACACACATTTCTAAACCCCGTTTCTATACTAGCTAATTCTCTCGGACGTAGTGTACGCCCTACGGTAACTTCGCACCCTCGATAGTCTAGACTTCCCGATCTCGGTCTTCTTGGGTCGCGGGGTGGTACGTGCCCGACGAGATGTGGATCCCTCCCCCCCACCCCACCCCCCTTGCGCGGACCGGACCCAGTGGCCCGGGCTCCACTCGGAATGAGCTGTCATGCTCCGTTTTCAGTTTCCAGCTGGTTGGGTGGAGTGTGTGGTGGGAGATGCAGGGCTGGGATTGGATGGGGTTGCTGTGAGGGCTTGGGGGAGTGAGGCTGGGTGGATCTTAGGTGTAAAATTTGGTGGTGATGGTATGATAGTGGTGGATACTGCCGGTTACGTAGGAGGAGTTGGGATGGGGTGGGGTTGCTTTGCCTCACTGTTTGGGGGAAGGTATTTATAGATGCGGTGACGTGAGGATTGGGTTGGGGCGCTGGGTTTGTGGCAGCCGGAGAGAGGGAGTTGATATTGAATTGAAAGTGGGTGTGGCTGGTGAGTATCTTGAGGTGGGGATGGTTGGATGTGGGAGGTGGATTGCGAATTGAGTCAGGTATCAGGGCTGTTCCTTAATGAGAAGGCGAGGCGTGACTCCTGCCAAGCTGTCCATTCTACTGCTTGATTGAGTTTGTTAAACCAGTCTACGTGGGAATATCTCTCCTGCTTCATGGCATTCAACATTCAGTTTCCCTGTTTTCTTCCCCTGCCCCAGCACTCATCCCATAGTGTAATGCCGATTTTTCTGTTGGTATGCCACAATTGGCTGTCACTGTATGTATTGATGGGAAGCTTCTTGTAAATATACAGGAGCGGTCAAACTCCCACCTGCCTCTGCTTCAGGTGCAAACTGTGCAGACAATACTCGACAAGGCAGGGCCGAATGATATCCCGAGCCCCTGGCACAGTGGCTGCTTCACTGTGCTCCGATATGTAGCATCACGTAGTCATCATCTCGGTGGACAGGTGGGTCGTAATGGGGTTTCTTGGCGGAGACAATAGGATCATGAGAATCGCAGTCTCACTCAACCCGTTTACCATGATAGGCGGACGAGGTTAGACCACGAGACATCAGTAAGTCATCATTTATTTTCAAAACTGCTACTGCATGAGATATAAGAGAGTAAATCCTGCCAAACTTGATAGAATATAATCAAATAGCTTCTAAGGTCTAAATTAATTGGGAAGTCCATATAGTATCAACACCCTGTAGTATAGTAACAAAGCATCAAATTGAATCTGAATAATCAGATTCTCATCTAAACAAGACTAAACCCTAGAAAATCTGGGCCCATCAGCGGGCTTCCCGCGCGGAACCCCACTCCGAACATGCCTTTGCTCGTCCACCCCCGATGAATTAGGGTTAAAACATTCTGAAAAGCAGATTATACGACTGTGCGCCCTTCTTCCATCACAGCTGAATGAAGACCACTCTACAACTCTCCAATGCATTTGGTTGCGGAGGGGCAACTCAGACCCTTCACCAAAGTCTCGAACTCAACGCACATATCGGCGATGAAGGAACGGTCGAATAGACTGGGATCATAGCGGAAGGAGGTGATGACCGCGGGACCCTGCACGCGACACTCGCTCAAGATCGGCAAGGGAGGCGCGCCCATGGGGATCGCACGCATATGTGCGGCGGCGAGGAGGAGGGATGATGTGTCGCTAGCGCCGTCGTCATCATCCTGGAAGGCCTGGACGACCATAGGGAAGGCATTGGCGCAGGCGGCGCCACAATCTGGATCGATACGAGCGATGTTGCTCCAGCCGGTATGCTCCCAGGGAATCATTGCCTGGAGCCGTGCTTGCACGTCGCGGAGAAGGGCCGTCAGAGTGGTGGTCGGGTCCACGGGTATGCGCAGAGGGACCATGGTGATCATGGGGGCAATGACCTCCTCGATCCCGGCGATCGCCTCATTCCGCCCGGTCAGAGTCAAACTTAGGACGGCGTCTGGGCTCTGAGACCGCCGGGCCACGAGCAACCCCATCGCCGCGTGTAGGATGGTCGGGAGGGTGATGTTGTTGTTGCTGTCGCGGTCCGGGGAATGGGTAGGCGTGATGACCAACTCATGTTCGTAAAAGGCGTTGGCACAGGGTTGCTTCCCGCAAGCGGACAATTGGCGTAGTGGTTGGCAGCGCGTTCCCGAAAGCTGGGATGTCCAGAACTCATGGGCGGAAGGCCGATGGATCCGCGATATATGTTTAATGTACTTGCCAATAGGTTCGATGATTGCTCCGTCCACGACGTCCTCCGAGGCTCCGTAGAGCTGGCTGAGGCGACGAAGAATGAGACGGATCGACCAACCATCGTAGATGGCATGATGAGCAGACCAGACGAGGTGAGTGGGTACGTCATCCGGATCCTGGATAATCGCCATTCGGTGCATCTCGCCGCCAGCGACAAAGGGGCATCGCTGGTCGGACTCTAAATACGCCGCCACGTCTTCGGAACGAAGTGTGACGGCGAATGGCGCGCGGTGCACAACCTGCAAGTACCGCACGCCGTCCCAAACAATCCGCGTACGAAGGATTTCATGGGACTCAAACAACATCTTCCATGCATGCAGCAACTGGTTCAGCTGCACAGACGGACGTAGCTGTACGACAAACTGCGTGCAAAACCAACCCGGACTTCCCTCCGCTGCTACCATGTAATCATGCTGAAGGGGCGAAGTGGGCAGGATATCGAGGATATCTTGACTCTCGATGCTGCAAGCAGACATCACCTCCGTCTTGATCGAAGTTAAATCCAGATCTTGCACAAGCTCGAAGCGTCCGTAAGAGCTCCCAGTTTGTGATTGACTGACACGTTTCACAGCGGCTTGGGCGGCCATGTCTGCAAGGGTCGGATGCGCAAAAATAGCTTGCACAGAAAGGTCAATGCCAGCATGTCTCGCGCAAGAGACCAAGCGCATTGCGGCTAAGGAGTCACCCCCCACCGCAAAGAAATTGCTGTCCGGTCCAAGGGGGCATCCATCGAGGCGGATTGATGATTTCCACAGCTCACTAAGCTGGCGCTCTTGCTCTGAGAAGTGCTCCGCGGCTAGCCCTCCTTCAGATTTGGCATCAACGATGACGGCCTCCCCTTGCTCTCGCAGTGCTCGGCGATCGACTTTTCCAGAGGCGGAAAGCGGCAGTCTTTCAAGGAAGACATACTTGGCGGGTAGCATATGTGAGGGTAAAATGCTGGAAAGAGCTGAACGGACCTTTGTCACCAATACTCGCCTCTCCTCTTCCAGCAGCGGTGTCGCCATTGCGGGATCACGAGACGCGATGAAGGCGACAAGGGGTTTGGAATTGAGGACTGACAACTGATCCACAATGGCTAGCAGATGGGGGGGAATCATCTGTTGAAGTTGGTTTTCAATCTCGCCAAGTTCGACCCGCTGTCCATTGATCTTGACCTGCGTGTCCTTACGGCAGAGGTACTCATATGATCGTGCATTTTCCAGTCTGACCAGATCGCCAGTTCTGTAGAGTCGGACCTTGTCGCCACGCTGGACCAAGGGGTGCCACGGTGGATTGCGGATGAAACTGGTCTTGGTCTTGACTGCGTCGTAAAGGTATCCCTTGCCAACAATGGGTCCCTCGACCAAGAGTTCTCCAATCGCACCGGGGGGCATGAGACAGTCGGTATCGGCCGGATCGACAATCCACAGTCGTGCACCCATTCCATACCCGAAATTTCGCGGCGAACTAGAGCTCGGGTCGATCGGGTCGCTGATCGCACACCAGATGGTGCATTCGGTAACCCCGTAGATATTGCGAAGATGAACCTTCCCTGCCCAATGGCGAATGTCGGTAAGCTGAAGAGGTTCACCACCTAGACTCAGTGTGTCCAGCGTTGGCAGATGCTTGCCAGCCAAGGTCCGTGCCACGGCGGGCGTAAGGCAGGCTTGATCAACCCGCATATCTCGGATGAAATCGTCGAGGGCATCCAGCCTTTGTTGCTCGGAGGGAATGCAGATACACGCACCGAAGAAGAAGGCCCCGAAGATGTCGCCGAGGCTGACATCAAAGGTGAATGAAGCAAACTGTAGAATACGGGAATTGGCGGTGTATCCCATCCGTGTACCAATGGCTAAAGTACTAGTCACCAGATTCGAATGGGTTTGGACGACACCTTTAGGGTATCCCGTAGTCCCCGAGGTGAACATGACAAAAGCGGCATCATCAGGAGTGACGGTGGGTAGCCTGGGAGGGTCTACAATATGACCGTCAAACGTGATGTGGTTCACGAGCACCACATCCACATGGCAGCCGTTGAAGATCTTTGCGCAGCGGGCGCTGGAGAGGCAAACAAGAGCCTTCACGTGGCTGACCACATAGTGCGCTCTTTCCAAGGGGTAGGTAACGTTGAGTGGCACGCACACCCCACCGGCCTTCAGGATTGCAAGCATGGCAATGCAAACCCACTTGGACTTCTCGAAGCAAATGACTACATGAGAGCCAGGACTGACACCTTTCCCTATCAACAGTTGAGCTAGCTGATCAGAGAGTTCGTCAACCTCGCTGTAATCAAAGGTGCCGTCCCAAGCACGCACGGCCGTTCTGCTCACGTACTGATCAGCCTTTTCGCTAAACAGCCCGTGCAGTGTGTTTGGAACCGGAGCAGGAAGTTTCTCGTTTGCAAGGAGAAGGTCGCGTTGCTCGCTTGCTGTTGCGTGACGCAAAGCCGAGATTTTGATCGAAGCAGGGGCCGAGCAGATGGCGCGGTAGATAGAATTGAAGTGCTCCAGCATCCACTTGGCCCTCGTGTCGTTGATAACCTCGCTGTCATAAAACATTCTGGCTTGAACACCCGAGGCATGCACCTGGCATTCGACTTCGAGCGCGTACATTTGAAAGTTCTCGCTGTTGTCCACCACTAGTGGCGCTCCCAAGACTTTTGACATGCCCTGTTCCGTGGATGCGTCATTGACCAGGAACATATGTTGGAAGTTGCATGCACGACGGGCGTCCGCACTCAGCTGGCTGATTTGCTGAAGACCAAGATGAGCGTGCACTGAAACGCGGGCAGAGTCGTCGTGAATATCTTGCAGCAGTTCTCCGAGAGACTGCCCATTCTCCAGGGATACTCGGACCGGGACTGTGACGATTGTCGGCCCAACAGCATGAGCAAGGTAAGGAGAGGTTGGATCACGGCCGTGAAGTGTTGTTCCAAAGACCACCTGGTCCAGATTGGCGTAGGCGCCCACTGTTAATGCCCAGGCTGCTCTCAGCAGGTTTGCGACTGTAGTGCAAGTCGATCGTAGATCGGTAGGCATTTGAGTTCTGATGGCCTTTCGCGTTTTAGGTCGATATGCGGAGTTGTGCGGATGAGGAAAGACTGGATCGGGTGTTTCGAAGAGATATTTTTCCCAGAATACTCTGGCCTGCGAGTTGTCGCGTTTACAGACCTCTGCAATATACTTCCGATATTCACATCTCATTAAGGGTGGGGGCACCAGGGAAGGTTGACTGTACTCCCAGTCCAGCAGGCGGAAGATGAGATTCAACGAGAAGGCATCATAGAGAGCATGGTGAATAGTCCATGTCAACACCATTCCGTCTATGGTAAAAATGCAGAGCGGTCTGGTCGCAGTTTGATTCGCAAGCTGGTCCATGACAAGAGCGTTGCCAGTTTCCGGAGCATCCTCGGACCAAGAAAAGAATTTCTTCAGGACAACCTGAATCAATCCTCTGGTCTTGGAGTAAAAAAGCAGAGTCCGCAAAGCCGGGACTCTTTGCACGACATTCTCCCAAGCCTGCTTGAGCATGCTGATGTCTACATCGACAGACAGTGGGAATGAGAGGCGCGCGGTGTATGCTCCAGGCTCCTTGATGGACAAGGCTACGAGGCCCTCTTGCAGTGGTGTACACGGATACATGTCGTCGATATTGTCAAGTGGAACATGACACTGCGATACCACCTCTTGCTTGAGCGTATCTTCTTCCTGGGATGAAAGACCCAGGATCTCAAATGGCATCAGTGAGCACTGTACCTTGCTGGCTGATTCAACCAAAGAGCCAGTGTCCCGATCCACTGCCGCTGCCATCTGACGCAAGATCGGGGCCTGGAAGATTTTGTCGACACTCAGGAAGATACCCTGGCGTCGTGCGGTACTGACCAGCTGCATCGCACGAATAGAATCACCACCAAGGCGAAAGAAGTGGTCATCACGCCCGGGAGGATCGACGAGCTTGAGAACAGTAATCCAGAGAGAACTGAGAGACTGTTCTAGTTCACCTTCTGGTGACCTACGATTTTCAGCTGAGTTGGCGGATGTGTTCCCCAAGAATGATGCAGAGAGGCTTTCTGCCCATTTTCGTAAAGTTCGACGGTCAAGCTTCGCGGAGATTGACAGAGGGAGGGCGGACACCGGGATGTATAGCGATGGGAGCATATATGGCGGAAGTAAGTCCGAAAGTTGGGGCTGGATATTCTTCTGAACCAGATGTTGGAGAGCTTGGTTCTCCGAAGCTGCGGTCAATACCTTGGGAGCCTCAGAAATAACATGATCTCCACGTGAACCAGGACTTCGGACAAAGGCCGCTAGGGTTGCAGCAGCAGAAGGGCCACCTGGAGTGACAATTTCCACCGCTACCTCGGTCTCTGAAGGCAGCAATTGACGGAGACTGACCTCTACCTCCGCAAGTTCAATCCGATGGCCTCGGAGCTTGACCTGCCGATCTTTACGCCCGATAAAGTGCAGGGCGCCATCTTCTCCGTAACGGACGATATCACCAGTACAATAGGCCCGTGGGCTCTGTTGGGACAAGTTGGAGGGCAACCATGCAGGATTCTGTAAGAAGGCCGCCTTCGTTTTCTCTGGTTCCTTGAAGTAGCATCGCGCCAATGTTGGACCGTGAAGAACGAGCTCACCAGCTGCGCCGATCGGTACAAGCTTGTATGGATCACGGGGGTTAACGATCCACGAGGTCGCGCCCATCCCCCAGCCTATGTTCTGAGACGAGTCCCCTCTCGACAATTCCTTGCCCATACACCAGATCGTACACTCCGCAGGCCCGTAGATGTTCACTAATTCTACCTGATCGGCCCATTTATTGACCAGTGACTCATCCATTGGTTCACCTCCAACCACTAGGCGCCGCAATGTAGGGACCTCTTGGGGATCGAGTTGCAGGGCCACTGTACTTGTCAGACAAGCATGGTTGACGTGCATTCGTTGAATAGATCCGGATAAATCGTTGATTCGTTCAGTCTCTGACGGCACACAAACACAGCCACCCAAGGCGAGTGTGACAAGCATGTCTCCGATACTAACATCAAAAGTATAGGCCGCAAATTGCAGGACGCGGGAGCTGCTACTGACTTTGATGGCTCGGCCATGTGCCAGAGCGCTTGAGCTCACAGCTGAGTGTTCGACCACGATTCCCTTCGGTACGCCCGTGCTGCCAGAGGTAAAGACAATATAAGCTGGGCTGTTTGCAGAGGACATCGGGATCCGATCTCTGACATCAAGGCTCTGTTTCGTCCCATGGAAAAATCGGTCATTAACCACCAAAGATAGAACAGTCGATGGGCTAAGAGCCTCTTGAAGTCCCTCGGAGCAAAGTATGATTCTGGCACCGATGTCTTGAATGATGGCGTCTCTGCGGGACGTGGCATTTCTGGGATCCAAAGGGACGAAGGCAGCCCCCGCACAGAGGATCCCAAGAATTGCGACTTGTGTCCACTTGCACTTCTCAAAGCAAATAGGGACGAAATCGCCTGGCCTAATACCACATGTTTGTTGAAGATGCTCGGCCAGCTGTAAGGATAAGCTAATGAGCTCTTCGTATTGTATATCCCCATCCCAAGAGCAAATTGCGGGTGCATGGGGCCGGAGCCGAGCTTGTTCTTGAATCAGTTCATGTATGCAAACATCGGCGTACTCAAGAGAACGATCGTTCCACCGAAGAATCTGCCCTTGATCCAGAGCATGGAGACGTTTGAGCTCAGCTACTTTTGTCCATGGAGAACCCGAGGATAAATGTTGAATAGCCTCATCAAAATATGTCAACACGCGTCGTAATTGGGTGGCTGGAATGACGGTCTCGTCATAGGAGACAATCACGTTGGCACTAGACTGGTGCATAGTACATTCGATATTGAGGGCATTCGTGTAGAAGCCGTCCAAGGACGTTCCCGAGACTAGAGACATAATTGGTCGATCGTGCTCATCTGATGCTCGTGAAGAATCTGAATCGGGAAACTGTAAGATGAGAACAGATTGGATATCGCAGGCAGACTGCGCGCTTTCGCTCAGGCGCTGAATATTCTGCAGGCCAAGGTGCTCAAACGGGATCATGGCAGTGGCGGAGTCTTGCACACGCTGCAGAAACTGCTCTTTGGTCCATTCATCTTGCACCTGTATGCGAGCAGGAACCGTGGCAATGGTCGGTCCTCGGACTGATTCAATTCCTTGCAAGGGGAGATTCCGACCACTGATTGTGAGTCCAAAAACGATATCGTCATGTCCCAGGAATTGCGCGATTGTCAATGCCCAGGCAGCGCGGAAGAGATTCGAGTCAGTGACCTCCGTGCATATCGTGCGGGAGAAGTGGATTTGTCGCTCCATCAGGGCTGTCGGACGTGGTTGGTAGTCCGACGTTGGCAGGGCTGGAAACTCACATCTTTCGGCTCCTTCAAGGTTTTCGCGCCAGAAATTCCGAGCATCTTCCATGTTGGTCATCGTTGAGAGCTGAACAAAGAGACTGAATGGAATGCTAGAAGCATGGCTGGTTTTGCCTCTGTATGTTGCCTCGACGTCACGCAAGATGTTCTGGATTGTCAATCCGTCATACACAGCATGGTGGGCAATCCAGACCACGGAGTTTCTGCAGAGATTCACTTGAGACAACTGTTTGTCTCCTGGTCCTACCTGGAAGTTCTGTAGAAGCGAGTCTTCATCCTCTGCGCTGATGCGGCGCACCACACGCTCGTCCTTGATGACAGCCTGCATGAAGCGCCCCTCGCTGGTACTAACAAACCTCGTACGCATGATGGGTGTCCGGGTCACAACATCAATCCAGGCCTGTTCAAGCATGTCCAGGTCCACTTGATCAGACAGCGAGAATGTGAACTGTCCTACATATGTACCGGGATTCCTCAGCGAAAGGGCGAACATCCCCTCTTGGAGAGCTGTGCAGGGATATAGATCTTCCAAGCTATTCAAATTGAGGCCAAGCTGTGCAGTTATGTCAGCTTGGAGTTGACTGATATCGTGAGCGGGATCGTGTAGACTGAACGGTGCTGGTGCGGCCGGTGCTGGCTTCATTACACCATCCGACTGGTGCTCACGCATGTGCGCTGCCATCTTGTACAGGACTGGATGCTTGAATGTGAGTTCAACAGTGAGGTGCAAATTGTGTCGAGAGGCTGCTGAAACCAATCGCATTGCCTTGATGGAATCGCCCCCAAGGCGGAAGAAATGGTCACCTCTTCGGATGTCAGACGTTGGAACCCGGAGAATGTCAGCCCATAGCGATTGGAGTTGGCGCTCCCAGCGATCTTGAGGCTGCTCTCCATGCAGTCCAGAAGGCATAAGGTTTGAGAGGTATGTCCGTGGGATATTCTTTGCCCAGGACTGTAAGGCGTTCCTATCCAACTTTGCCGAGGCGGATAGTGGCAATGTGGCGATTGGAATGTATAGAGAGGGAACCATATATGAAGGGAGTAACTCGGGTAGTCTCTTGTCCAGTGCATCGACAAGATCTCTCAGCTTTCGAATCACCGCCTCATCTGTAACAATCTGGGTGTTGGGGAGCAACGACAAGTCGTCCCCAACATCCGGAAGAACGATGAAGGCAGTTAATTGCGCCAAAGACCCAGCACTTTCAGACCGAATCACGTCCACAGCCACGTCGGAATCAGGGGGCAGACACTGGCGGAGGCGGAACTCGACTTCAGGGAGCTCGATACGCTGACCTCTGAGCTTCACTTGACGATCCTTGCGCCCATGGACCTCAATGGTCCCATCACTACAATACCGACCCAGATCTCCCGTTCTATAAACGGTACCGGTGCACCCTACCAGGTGCATCCACCGCAGGTTAGACAGAAAACTGCCGGCAGTTTTCTCACTATCTTTCCAATACCCCCGGGCAATGTTTGGACCTCCCACAAGCAGCTCGCCAACCGCGCCGATAGGCAGAAGGCACTGGGGATCCTGAGGATCTGTGACATATATAGAGCAACCGACTGGCAGGCCCACATTTCGTCGGTCAGCGTTTTCTGCAATTCCGGCCGCACAATTGGTCCAAATTGAGCATTCAGCTGGCCCATAGCTATTGATGAGCTGGACTCTGCCGGACCATGTCTGAAGATTGTGCTCAGTGGCGCCTTCTCCTCCTAGAACCAAGGTCTTCAGGGTTGGAACCGCGCTCGGCTGAAGGAAGGAGGCCATTGTGGGGGTTTGAAAGGACCAGCTAACCTGCTGCGCAGTCATGAAGGCAGATAAATTGTTCAGACGATCCTCAGCAGAGGGTATGCACACTGATCCACCGACTGCCAGGGTGGTGAAGATTTCGGCCATGCTAACGTCATATGTGTAAGCTGAGAACTGAAGCACCCTGGAGGCAGACGTCAGCCCCAGTCTCGGTGCATGAGATAGAATACTGCTGCAAAATGCCTCATGTGTGATTTCTATTCCCTTGGGCCTTCCTGTACTCCCAGAGGTGAAAAGAACGAAAGCCAAATCCGAAGGCTGAACTTCCTTGGGGTCAAAGCTGGCGGATCCCGGTTGGTGCATCCCTCGCGAGAGGGCGTCGTCAATACAGATCACACAATGATGGAACACCTCCGCCTTGTGCATGTTTGCCTTGTTAGTCACAAGGACAGCGGAGTCCATTCGACTCACTATCTCCCGCATGCGCTCTGGGGGATGAGTGGGATCTAAAGCGAAGAAAGCTCCGCCGACCTTGAGAACAGACAACATGGCCACTACGGCAGTCCAGCTCTTATCGAAACACAAGCCCACTAGCGAGCCTCGCCCAATTCCATTTCCTCGGAGACACTTGGCGAAGGAGGCCGACAGTTGGTCAACTTCCTCATAGGTGAGTTGTCTGCCAGATGTGCTAAGGGCAATTTTGTTGGGCGCTTCGAGGACCGATTGTTCGAAGAGAGCATGAACCGTCGACCGAGATGCTGGAGGGACACGCGAATTCCAGCGCTCCAATGTAGCAAGATCATTTCTATGCGGCCCTAGAAGAACCTCCCAGGACAGTGGCTTGCTCATTGACTCGTAGAGGAGTCGTACTGTCTCTTCCAAATATTGGAGAAGACGAGAGACAAAGTCTTCTTTGCAAAAGGTATCATCGTATGTCCCCACCACGTCAATCGTGCCGCTTGTACCCAGGATACATTCCATGGTGAGAGGATAGGTGTAAACGTCCTGCTGGCGTGAGTCACCTTTGAAAAGATTGAGCATTTGGTGGCTCTGCGAATACTCCGCAGGCTGCAAGACAAGAAGAGACCTAGCTTCACATGCATGCTGCGCATCGTCACTGACTCTTTGAATGTTCTGGAGCCCATGATGCTCGTAAGGCATCACCTTGACAGCCTCCTCTTGCACCTTTTGTAGGAATCCCGCCACCGTGACATTTGGATCGAGCTGAACGCGAACTGGTATGGTGGCTATGGTAGGACCACGAACGCAGTCGATCCCTTTCAGTCCCACATTCCGACCACTCATCGTGGAGGCGAAGACGACGTCTTTCATACCTGTGAATCTTGCAATGACGACTGCCCAGGCGGCTCTCACCACAGTAGCGACGGTGATATCCGATGTCACTCGTTGTGGTACTTCAAATTTCCTCTCCATGCGGACTGTAGCGCTGATCCCTTCGGATTCCGTCACTGGTGCTGGAGGGAAATCGCAGAGCTGAGCCCCACGAAGATACTGCGCCCAAAAGGTCTGCGCGGCATGATTGTCCATTTTTCGAAGATGTCTGATGAATTTTACGAAGGACCTCACAGGAGCAGGGGTAGATCCGTAATAGCGATTGTTGACTTCGGCCAAATACTGATGAAAGGACCAACCATCATAGACGGCATGATGCAGCACCCAAGTGAGCGTCGGAGCCTTGTCCTCACTGCCCGGTGTGAGCAGCATGAGATTGCTCTGTCGACCTGGCAGGAAGGTAAATTGAGCAGCGCGAGCCTCTACCTCGTCACAATGGCACATTTCGACCAGCGACTCTTGAGTCTTCATGACGAGCTGCATGACCCCATCCGACTCGGTACTGACAAAAACGGTGCGCAAGATTGGGTTGTTCTGCAGCATCTGGCGCCATGCGTTCTGTAGCCGCTCCAGGTCAGTGTTGCGCGGGAGTTGAAAAGTGACTCGGGCCACATAGGAGCCCTGCTTCTTCAACGACATGGAGACGAGACCCTCCTGAAGAGGGGTGCACGGAGATGCATCCTCCACCTCTTCTGGTGGGATTCCGTAACTCGAAGCGAACATTTCTTGTATCCGTCGTATCGTATCCGGTTCCAGGAGGCTGAAAGGCGCCAGATCCTGTTCCTCCCAGTCCATGCTACCATCGTTCATAGAACTTTCAACTTGGATGGCCATGCTTGCAAGCAAGGGATACTTGAAGATTGACTCAACCGAGAGTACAAGGCCGTGGCGTCTCGCGGCTACGGATAATCTCATTGCTTTAATCGAGTCACCCCCGAGGCGGAAGAAATGATCGTCGCGTCCAATCTTGCCCTCCACTTCCAGAACTGTGGACCAAAGAGAAGCGAGAAGAGACTCTTTCCCCCCCACCGGTGCTTCATACTCCTTCATTTTGGGCTCTAAAGCCAGGACGGTAGACGCCGGAAGATTCTCGCCCCAAGCTCTCAACGCTCGGCGGTCCAGCTTCCCCGAGGCAGAGAGAGGCAAACTTTGCATTGGGATGTAGAAGGTAGGCACCATATAGGAAGGCAGTGTTGAAGCTATGCGCTCGTCAATGCCTGCCAACATTCGGTGGAAGCTCTCCAGCGCGACTGGATCAGCAACCACGGCACTTGAGCTGTCCCATACTTCAGTCATGCTCCCCTTGACAAAGGCAACCAGCTGTGGGTTGTTTGTCTTCCCTTGAAGGTTGATGACTTCAACAACCGTCTCCGTCTCTTGCTGCGGCAGACTCCGGCGAAGAGTATGTTCAATCTCAGCAAGCTCGATGCGTTGACCCCTCAGTTTCACTTGACGATCACGTCGCCCAACAAAACCGATCGTTCCATCAGGACGATAACGAACCAAGTCACCTGTGCGGTAGACACGTCGGGGGGTGGCTTTCCCGCTCCGTGTCTGTGCTCGGGTCCATAATGGATCGATAAGGAATGCCTCTGCCGTCTTCGTGGGGTCGTTAAAGTAGCCTCGTGCCAGCGTTGGTCCTTCGAGAACAAGCTCTCCAATGGCGCCAATGGGAGCTAGCTTATGGGGGTGATCAACTTCAGTGATCCAGGTTATGGCACCCATCCCGTGCCCGATATCGCTTGCAGAATCCACAGCAGTCAGATTCAGCTTGCCCACACACCAGACGGTGCACTCTGCTGGTCCGTATATATTGATCAGATCAACCCTTGCCGCCCATCGGTCAATCAACGCTTGGTTCATTGGCTCTCCACCGATGACGAGGCGCTGCAGAATTGGCACAGTCTGTGGGTCAAGCTGCATAGCCACTGTACTTGTAATACAGGCATGATTGACACCCAGGTCTCTTATAGCTCCACTAAGATCATTCAACCGCTGGGCCTCAGACGGCACACATACACAGCCGCCAAGTGCCAAGGTTACCAGAATATCCCCAATACTTACGTCGAAAGTATATGCCGCGAACTGGAGCACACGGGCCTGGGAATCGATCTGGATGGCTCTGCCATGGGCCATGGCACTGGAACTCAGAGCGATATGATCGACCACAATACCTTTGGGCCTGCCCGTGCTGCCGGAGGTGAAGACAATGTAGGCTGGGTCTTCAGCCACGACTCTTGATGGCTTGAGGAGCGGAAGTGATTCGAACCAAGTGCTCTCGCTTTGTCCACGATTGGACGAGAAGAGATCTTGGCTGACCACAAATGAGCGAGCATTGGTCCTGGAAACAGCATTCCTCGTTTCCGGTTGGCAAAGGATAAGTTGTGCTTTGACGTCCTCGATAATGGTGGCCAACCGTGCAGAGGGGAGCTTAGGGTCAAGAAGGACAAAGGTGGCCCCAGTTATGAGTACCGCCAGAATGGCCACCTGCGTCCAGACTGACTTCTCAAAGCAAATGGGGACAATCTCCTCCTTCCCAATCGACTCTTTCTGTAACAGATCCGCCAGAGAGATCGAAAAGATCATTAGTTGTCCATAGGAGAGGTCACCGTCATACGCCGAAACAGCCGGTGCCGACGGCTGGCTCCGAGCTTGGTTCATGATAATCTCATGAATTGGGATCGTGACTGGTGTAGGCTCGTCTTTGTTCCAAGCCAGGATCTGCTCAAGGTCCATATCGCTGATGTGCCTCAGGTCGTTGAGCAAAACAGAGTCATCTTGTTGAGTGACGGATTGAAGGGCAGCATCGAAGCTTGCCAAGACTCGCTCCACCTGGGATTCCGATATCAACTCGTTGTCAAACTGGGCGGTGACCAGGATAGAGCGTTGGCGGAAGACGCACTCAACATTCAGCGGGTATGTGAGGACATCCTCCATCTGGGAAGAAGTGCTTCGCATGAGTCGACCATGGCCACAGTCCTGGTCGCTGTCCTCTGGGAATTGAAGAAGGAGCAAAGACCGTATGTCGCAAGCCAAGCGCGCACTGGGACTTAGGTCCCGGATATTCTGGAGGCCAAAGTGCTCGAAAGGGATCATTGCCACGGCTTGCTCTTGAACCTTGGACAAGAAGTCTTTCAGAGTTGCCCCGCCAGCCACCGCTACGTGTACGGGAACAGTCGCGATGGTTGGACCACGCACCAGGTCGATGTCCCGGATTGGGAGGCTTCGACCACTCGTCGTCACGCCAAAAACAACATTCTCGAGGCCACTATATTGCGACAACACCAGCGCCCATGCCGCACGGGTGAGATTCGCAGCGGTCACCTCGCAGTTGGCACTCCGTGAGAAGGCGATTGTTCGTGAAAGGGTGGCGTCCGCTCTCACGGAGTGCGAAATGGGCTGCACCGGGAATGCACAGGTTTCGGAATCCCGCAGTTGATCCATCCAGAAGTGACGTGTTTCTGCCTCCTTATTGACCGATTGTGTGTCCCGAATGAAGGCCGCAAAGTTTCGTAACAGGGGCGGCCTCTGTTGAAGATAGAGAGATTCCACATCGCTGATGATGTGTTGCACCGAGACCGCATCATAAGTAGCGTGGTGTGAGGACCAAATGACGGCTGCACGACGACCGTCATCGATAGGACAGATATGGATTTGATTTGTCCGACTACCCAGAGTAACATAAAATTCCTGGCTAGCTGGATCGTGTTCGAGATGCTTGACTACCGTGATTGCGTCCGGGTCATCTCGAAGAACAACCTGTAGGAAATCGTTGGATTGCCCGCTGATAAATCGGGTCCTCAAAACGCTCGTTCGTCGCAGAACTTGTTGCCACGCTTGTTCCAGACACCCAATTTCAACAGCCGGGGTTTCGTATGTGAAATGTGCTATATAAGCTTCGGGATTTTTCAACGACAATGCCAGCATACCCTCTTGGAGAGGTGTGCAGGGATAAATGTCTTCAATCACTTCAGCAGCCACGTCACACTGCATCGAGGCGTTTATCTTCAACTCTTCAACGTTCGACGTCTCCAGGAGGCTGAATGGTAGTGGGTCGGAAGATTGGCCGTCTCCCTCGTCATCCACAGGATGAACATGTTTAGCAAGCTCCCATAGCACTGGATATTTGAAAATATTCTCAACGGAGGTGGCAATTCCAGCGTCTCTCCCCATTGCAACAAGCTGCATCGCTTTGATGGAATCACCTCCCAGACGGAAAAAGTGTCCGTTCCGAGATATATGGTCAGGCGAGGCGCTCAAAACTTGACCCCATAGCTTCTGTAGCTCTATCTCTATGCTGCCCACCGGTTCAGGTCCTTCCGCCACCGGACTGGACGCCAGTGTCGCGAGATCAGCAACCGACATGGTTTCGACCCATGATTGCAAGGTCTTGCGATCAAGCTTCGCAGATCTGGTCAAGGGAAGCGCAGAAATCGGGATGTATATTGCGGGGATCATGTAGCCGGGCAGCACACCTGCAAGTTGCTGCGGTAGATCCTTAGTGAGTAAGCCAAACCGGCGGACAGCATTCTTGGATGTAAGAATACTAGGGACAGCATTGACACCATAGTCATCTTCGATGGCGATGACGATAAACAATACGAGTTGGAAAGCACTGTTGGACCCGCCAGGACGCGCAACCTCAACCGCCAGCTCGACACCATGCGGAAGCAGGCCCTGCACAGCAAGCTCAATCTCGCTCAGCTCGATACGCTGACCACGTAGCTTGATTTGCTGATCTTTTCGACCAACAATATGTAGTGAGCCATCACCGTCGTACCGAACCAGGTCGCCTGTGCGGTACGCCCGTCGTGACGCCCTCTTGTCGGGACCCAGGTCCGGTAACCAAGCTGGATCATTCAAGAACGCTGCTCTCGTCCGCTCCGGATCATCAAGATAGCCCCGTGCTAGTGTCCGGCCACAAACAACGAGCTCTCCCACGGCTCCTATCGGCACAAGGCGGCTGGGATCCTCGACATCGACAATCCAAAGGGATGAACCTAGAGCCCACCCCAGCTTGTCCGGAGGGGTGAGGTTGGTGACTCGATCCAACAGGGAACAAAGAACCGCAGTTTCGGTGGGTCCATAGGCGTTTATGAGCCTGACCTGGGATGACCACTTTTCTATCGCCAATGCGGACATCTTCTCGCCACCTGTAAAAACGGTCTTGACTGTGGAGCACTCTGCAGGGTTTAGTATTTGCAGCACGCTAGGTGTTAGCAGCATGGTGTTTATGGCGTGCTCCTGAATAAAGGCTGGGAGCAAGTTGTTTCGCTCCACGTCTGTCGGAATGAAGACCGCTCCACCCACACTCAGCGTGGAGAATATTTCCAAAATGCATGCATCAAACGTGTATGATGCATACTGCAGCATCCTGGTGGCATTACTAAGCCCACTCGCGTCTGCGAGACTGGTCATGCTTTTGCTGATGCTGTGGTGCTCAATGACCACCCCCTTTGGCTTTCCCGTTGTCCCGGAGGTGAAGATGACATAGGCGGCATCGAACAAGCCACAACCGGGCAGCAGGCCAGCTTCTGGTGATATGCGAGGAGCTTGATTCGAGGGATAGAGCAATTCATGGGGCTCATGGACTGTAGAAGTACTGGCAATACGAACTGTTTCTTCCTCCACGAGAAGTAAAGCCTCACTCCGAAGCTGCGTCAGCACAGATTCCTGACGCTCCCGCGGTAGGTTTGGGTCAATCAGGGCAAAGGCTGCTCCCAACTTCCACGCAGCCAGCATGGCCACGACGGCCAATGCCGACTTATGGCACACAATAGGGAGGAAGGAACCTGGTTTCCCGGAAAACTGCAGGAATTCTGCGGCCAGTCGATCCGACAGGCTATCGAGTTCGGCGTACGAGATTTGGCGTGTGGACGAGCAGAGTGCCACGTCGTCACCCGCCACACCAGCCATTCTCTGAATCTTGGTGAGCAAGGTTTCAGTTACTGGCTCGCACGCGGATCTGTAGGGCTCTTCATTCCGTTGTAGGATCTGAGCCAACTGGTTTTCGGAAAGGATGTCGATATCTTGCAAGGTCTTTGCTGATTGACAGTTCGTCACGGTCTGCTCGATTGAAGAACAGAAACTATCCGCAAGTCCTTTGATTTGCGCTACCATGGCAGTGCCGGTACCTTTTGGAAAGGCCGTCTCCAACGTGATGGCATTCTCCCAAATTCGACAGACAAAATGCGGTTGCGGCAAGTCCAATTCAGCAAAGGAAAAGAGACGCTGGCCATGCGTCACAAGGAGGGCCAGAACGTCCGACCCAGGGCAAAACTCCTTTAAGATATCGGCAAAGACTGACCCCCCCAAGTGCGCCGTCTGCAGCACAATGCCAGCGATATCTTGATCCGACTTCACAGTATCGCCATCTACCACCCGGGTTTCCCTCAGTAATTGGCTTCGACAGGTAATCAGCGTGTCAGACTGAGACGTCCGTACTTCGCCGTGTGGGGTGTCAGTTTCCAATATTGTGTAGGTATGGGACAGCTCCGACTGGCCTGTGAATATCAGGCAGAAGATGGCCCAGGCGGCCACTACTTGATCGTAGGAGGGCGAGACTTCAAGCTTGCACACGTCCATTGTGAGACTATTCTGGGCTCGAGTACCCATTGACGTATGCGGTGGATGTGGAAAAAGATGATTGAGGATGACAACAGAGTAAAGAAATACAGCTCCCTTGATCTATAGTACTTGTTTTGGCATACAAAGTAAGTGTTGCTAAGTAGTAAGATCACCCTGGTCTATTCTCCAACCGGCCGTCCGGGATCCGTCCGGCGTCCGTACGGAATCCGTACGGGGTCCGCACGGCGCCCCATTCGACCCTCGTGTGATCGACATGTCTCTCCTACGGCTAATCTTCTAGTGTCAAATATGGTGATCCTGAAGGAGTCGGATAGTGTCAAATATGGTGATCCTGAAGGAGTCGGGTAGTGTCAAATATGGTGATCCTGAAGGAGTCGGGTTATCTCAGATGTTTGTCAGGCCCCACTTCTTCAGAAATCCCGCATAGTGAGATCAGTATCTGCTCAATGCCTCCCAATAGTCCTAGTTCGGAGATAGATATTGCTGTTGCATCTGTCCCAAGTCCGATCCACACTTTAAGGGAGAATCACGCAACGGAAGCAAAGCTTCTCCCCATTCCCAGGGTCCGGCTTAGCCACTCATCTTTTAGAAGTATCGTAGTCAGTGGTGCTTGTGGGGCCCTAATTCTTCACACGTTGCACTGCATAAGTTTAATAGTACCAAAATTCTCTCTCTCCCCTCCTCTGCCTTGCGCCTTTCCCCCCCTCCCCCTCCTCTCTTCAATACTTCCCTCCCTGAGACAGTCTCCCTCTTCTCAGGACCAAACCCTTTCCAAACGGCAATGCCTCGGGAGACAGAAATGCCCGGCAACGAGAGTCCGACAGAGCCTGAGTCTGACAAGCCGGAGAAAACCTGCGAGTCTCCCAATGTCACCATTTCCGGGGCTGAATGTCCTCGTGGAAAATACCTCACGGGATGGAGATTATCAGCTCTTCTGTTATGTCTGGGAGTGAGCACCTTTCTTACGGGGCTGGTATGGAAAACCCCCTTCACTTCCCTGTCAAGGAACCTTCTCGAGTGGTGTCAGATCAGAAGCTTTTACTAACATGTCGAAACGGCAATTGCAGAATGAAAGTCTGGTCGCCACGGCGATCCCTAAGATCACTGCTCATTTCCATTCAGTTGATCAAATGGGCTGGTACGGAACAGCATAGTACGTATAAGGTGTCTGAGGGCAAATCCTTCTTCCCCTTGGCCGCCCAGCTCACTCCCTCGTCAGTTTCCTATCTTCATCTTGTTCGATCCTTTTTTTTGGCAGACTATACAACCAGTACCCAGCGAAGCCAATCTTGGTCGGCTCAATCGCCTTGTTTGAGGTCGGCTGCCTGGTCAGCGGAACCGCGACGACTTCTGCGGCCTTCATAGTGGGCCGGCTCTTGTCTGGCTTTGGCTGTGCTGGGATGAACACGGGCTGCTTAACGTCAGTACTCCTCACAAATCTGAGTACATGCTCTTATCTGTTTGTCATCACTGATCGAAAACCGCAGAGTGCTTGCCCATGCCGTTCCTCTTGAGCGACGACCCATTTTTTCCGCCATTATCGATGGCGGCTATGGCGTTGCCTCGTCCTGTGGCCCACTGGTCGGCGGAGCGATCACAAGTCGGGTCTCGTGGCGATGGTGCTTTCTCGTCAATACCCCCCCGGGTGCCCTGTGCATTCTCGTCATCCTGTTGGTCTATCGAGACCAGTATATCCCCGCCGGTCGATCAGAGCGGCTGGTGACGCAGATTGCCTCCTTAGACCTGGTGGCTACCCTTCTTTTCGCAGCGACGGTGGCTTGTCTGATTCTACCGCTACAGTGGGGGGGCAGTACCTTCCCATGGCATAGCGCCAGGGTGATTGTCTTGTTCATCTTGTTCGGCGTCTTCCTGGCCACCTTGATTGTCCATCAAGTCTGGCGGGGAGAGGCTGCGATGATCCCCAGCCGAGTGAGCCGGAAAAAAGAGATGATTGGTGCACCTCTGTATGCCTTTTTTGTCGGAGGCACCGCCAATCTCCTCGAGTACTATGTAAGTCCGATGCATTCTCTTGAATGGTCTGTGCAGCTAAAGGGTGGGTGTCTGTAGCTTCCAATTTGGTTTCAGGAGGTTTGGTTTGTCAGTCCCCTGCGATCGGGCATATATACCATTCCCATGGTGGCCGGATTTGTCGTCTTCAGTCTTGTCGCCGGGTTTGGCGTTTCTTCCACTGGATACTATCTGCCGTTCATGTACTTGGGCAGCTGCGCGCTCATTGCCGGTTCAGCGCTCCTGACCACGATCCATCCGGCGTCGCAGCTGGCCTCCTTGATTGGCTTTGAGATTCTCATTGGTGTTGGGGGTGGTTCCGGAATCCAGCAAGCGTATTTGGTTGCTCAGACGGCCTTGGCTACCCAGGACGTCGCCATTGGCCTCGCAGTCATTGTTCTGGCACAGACCCTGGGCGGGGCGGTTTTGCTGTCCATCACGAGCAGCATCGTTCAGGGTCGACTGGAGACTGCAACCAACGGCGGCGACCCGTCGGTCATCAGTAGGGCCATTATCCCTGCATTTTATCTCGCCATTGCGGCCGGGGTGGGCTCCCTTGTGTCTCTGCTACTGCTGAGAATGAGATCAATTAAAGGAACCGCGAGCGACTCCAAGTAGCCTGAGTTCTTTTGGGGGAACCCTTTTCAGTAGACCAAGGAAAACGCACCGGAGTCTTCCGCGACTTCGTAAGGAAGATTGACTCCTCTTGATTGGCGAGCTACTGGAAAGAAGGATCTACGGAGTAGTAATGGCAGGTTTTGCGCGAGAGGGCAGTGTTAAGAGGTTGATGGTGGCTAATGACTGCTACTATAGCAGGCTAGCCGACCGCACAGAGACGATATGAGAGAAATTTGGAGAGAGAAGTAAAGAGAGAGTTTGCCAACCACTGACAGTAGACGTGCCGGGGCGACCGCTAGGCAATCATTGGCCCAGCACTTAGGGAACTGGTACCAAGAGCTGATTCACCGGGTTTTCGCAAAGGCAGGGGGAGTTTGGGATGAGCGAACCACTCTTTCCATCGTGTCTTGATCCCATCGCGGCTTTAATAATATGTATTTTTACCACGCTCGGACAGTAAGTACTTAGGCTAGGGAGCTATGGGGCTTTATGTGAGATGACTCACCCATGTTTAGGCTCTAACTAGTGTAGTTATCTCTCTAGTTAACTTCACTAATTACTTGGCAACTTTCCTCATATAAGAGATTCCTCTCCCTCTCTCCTCCGTGTTTCTCTTCCCGCTTCTCCCCCCACCTTTGCTCTTTGCTCGCTACATACCATATGGAGCACTTCCAACATACCGCCCATATCGGGACCCACTCCTTGAGCTACGCCTTACGAGGGATTCCTCGACAGCCTGGCGCTCCGCTTGTGGTGGTTCTTACCGGGATCACCAGCAGCGCGCTAGAATGGAGCGCGGTGTGTCGAGATCTCGAGCAGGAGGCATCAGTGCTGCTGTATGAGCGGACCGGCTACGGTCAGAGCGAAGCATGCCCTACCGCTGAGCCGGATTCCTTGACTATAGTGGATGAGCTGTCGCGACTCCTGGCAGCCGCCGCCCTGCCACCCCCGTACCTCGTGGTCGGTCATTCATGGGGCGGGATTCTCGCGCGGGAGTTCCTTGCCGCGCGCGGGCCGGAGGTGATCTGCGGGATGGTCTTGGTGGATGCCGTCCAGGAGCGGATGCTCTTCGAGACATGGCCCGATCCGTCTATCGCGGCCGTCACGGCGGGACTGGATTATATGGAAGTCGTCGGGCTGACCCGCGATCATCGACTCACGGAGGGCGAGTGGGCAGAGCTGATGGCGGAGGAAGCCAGCCCCCACCACACACAACAGGCCACCCGCGAGCTGCCCTATCTGCAGGTCAGCCGGGGGATTCTTGCCAACAAACAGCAACTTCTCCCTGGGCGTGATCTCCTCCGCGGCCAGCCGCTTAGTGTGCTCCGGGGCAATTCGCATCGCGACCAGGAGCGCATGTACCATCGGGGCGTGGCCCAAGGATTGGGGTCTGAAGCCGATCGAGCCGCCTTTCGTCACTACCTGGAGCGCTGGGACGCGAGTGAGGAGGCCTTTCAGCGCGAACTCCTCAATCTGTCGAGTAACGTGCGCTTCTCCACCACGATGAAAAGTGGCCATAATATCCAGATCACAGAGCCAGAACGCGTTGCGGATGAAATACGCTGGGTCTTACAGAGGACTTCGTGTGTTACCAGGAAATCCCCAGTTATATCTGATACCTGATCAACAGGCCTTCAATCACGCATGTGGATATCTTTACACTCTGCTAGTGTGAATCAAGTTTGTTCTTAGCTTATATCGTCCGTATCTCGAGTTCTCCGGCCGATCCCAAGAGCGCGGAATGGGTCGGACTTCGTCCTTTCACGGAAGTTGAAAGACTTTCTCGTCACAGACCTGGGGGATGTAAAACTACTAGGAAATGCACGGGCCAAGCCTTGAGATGGAGAAGGGCTTATCGGTGGGCTCATAATCTCAGCCCTGCCGTAAGTTACTTCACCAATATTGTTGTTAGTATGGTGGAAAAGGTGCAGGGATTGTATACCTCTTAATTCTTTGTTAACAAGTTATTGTTTGTATAATGATTAATACATTATATAGCTACCTTCACTATCAATTAGTGCCTTATTATATAGATGAATAATGATAGCTTGACTGCATGTAAGACCATGCTTCTGGTCATGCAAGTCAGACTACCATTTAGACAGTTTCATGAGTAGGGAGTCGTAAGTCTTTCCGATCTAGTGTTGGATTGGGGCGGGTTATTTTTGTGGGAGCGTTCTCGGGTCGGGACGGTTTGTTGGATCGGAAATCTTCGCCCCGCCCTGACCCAATCTAACACTATCTCAATTCTTATGACCAGGCTGTTTTACCGGACGTTTAACACAATTGAAGCTGTTTAGAACTCTATGCAAAATCGTGTGAAGAAATATTTCTTTTCGAATCAGAAGTTATTATATAATCAACTATATAAGTGTTAATTACAGACTCCTGCTACTCAACCGTTCGCGAGGCGGACTTGTCAGGCAGAAAGCACCAACAAGTGCAGCGCTCACACAACTAGCAAGACACCTGGAACAGCCACGCGTTACGTGAATAAGGATAAATGGGTTGGTACACGTGTATGCATTGTTTAGGAGTGAAGTGAGAAACGTGATAAGGTTGCTTGTGTGCGAAAATGCTGGCTACTGTACTGTATTGAACTGATCGCTGGCCTGTAAGAGCTGAGGCCCGCAAGGCTGAAGCAAGGGGTGATTACGTGATCCTGTCAAAGATGTGTGACTCTCATGCAGTGGGATGCAAAGAGAATTGGGAACACCCGTCAGAGGGCGGGTGCACGCGTTTGACTGTCTACCATACTAGCCATAGTAAATTAGACTAAGAGTATTCCTGAGCTAGCTACGCATTGCGCGTTTCATGAAGCTATACAAATTCTCAAGATGTCACGAAGCCTCACAGGTCCTGAATTGAGTCCCCAGACTAGATCTCGTATATGTGAGCTTCAATCTATTGGTTGGGGCGCTCATTAAATCTGTAATAAGCATCCAGAGATCCCAATTTCAACCATTTCCTAAACTCTTCGGAAAGAACGCGAGCGACAAGATCATATATCTTTACCTTGTTCCGATAGTCTATGCAAGCTCACTGAATGGCAAAGAGATGAGTCTACGCAAATGGCGACAGCTTAGTCGACCAGAACTCACTATCCAAGCTGCTCATAAGCACCTTCTCTGGGCCAGGGAGTATAAAGCTTCTACTTAAGATAATTTTTGACATATCATCAGGAATGACCAATGCCCCACTGTTGCTTACACTGCCACCACCGGCGTGATGCAGGGTCCGTGCTCCACATATCACCAGCTAAGCCTCGGTGCTGGAGCTTAGCCTTAGTTAATTCCACGGCGCTAGTTAACTGGTTCATGGTTGTTACAAGACGGATCTCTTCGTACCGTGAATATAAATGTGGATGGCATCTCTTTTGCACCTTCTCTCACTCCCCAGCCATCATTTCATCCCTGCATGCCCCACCATGATTCCCACACGTGAAGACATCATCAAATTCACCACAATCGTGCCACACGCCAACGAAGGACAGGCCTTGTTATTCCTGCAGGCAAGTTTGTTCTCTCCTAGAATCTGCCTCCGCCCACTGACTTATGTTTCTTATCTGCACAGGGAGCGGTCAGCCTCGATGATGCCCTCAGCCAATTCTATGACAACCCCCAGAAATACACCAACCATGCCGCTGCCGATGCACCACCACATATCCAGAGTCAGGATATTGCTGCACCTCCCCCCTCCTACCAAACAAGTGTTGATAACGAACGCCACTTATTCGCGACCGCGCATACAAATCCGCTTATCGAGGCGGCAAAAATCCGCGCTCGCGATGAGGTGCGCAGACTTCGCTCCCTCCCACAGGCATCCGACCCTGACGTTTATTCTAACCGCACAATGCATTCTGCAAATCCAGCAAGATATCCAGAACCGACTGCAACAAATCCGCTGGAATCACCAGATCTTCAACGACGAGATTGAACCGGAGCATGAGGCGCAGAACATACTCAACTGTGCCTGCGACATCCACCGGTACCAGCTTCGGAAGCAGAACCGGCTGGAGGTGCTGAAGAAGTGGTCCGGGGCAGTCATGTATACTGGTGGGGAAAATGAAAAGACTGGATGTCAGAGAGGCAAGAGAAGCTAATGTACCCGGTGGTCACAGGCGAGAAGTATTACGACGACTGTTCCCCCATCCTCGTCTGGAACAGCAACCCCTACAGCAGAATTACTACCCCGTATGGCCCCGTCGGTCGCCGCAGACTGCAGAAACCGGAGCCTCGTTACCACGCTCAGTGGCTCGTTGAGACCCTCCGCCTGAATGCTTCCCTCAATGCAAATGCTCAGAGAATTGCGAATCAATACGAGCCACTGGAGAATATCTGGAAGATTCCAGACGAGCTGGGGGCATCTGGGGACGGCGATAGCTCGGACTCGACCCACCATTCCGACTCCCTCGGACCGTCTAGACTGATGACGCAGATGCGCAGAGCCCTCCACCTCCGGTCCTCGGATGAGCGAGACGCCGTGCGACAAGCGAAGCGGAGAGACGACTATCGGAGGCTGCGCGACCAGATCGTCGCGGAGGAGACCGGGCGATGGCCCGACGGCGAGACGCGACGCATTGTCGCCGACTACCAGCAACGCGTGGGCCTGAGGCAGCGCATTGCGGAGCTGCGTACACGATGCCCCATTCAGTATCTGCATCTCCTGCGCGCAGGCTACTTCGAGCCAATCCCCGTCGCGTGGGCGACGCAGAACTCCAACCCGCTGAAGTTCCGGATTGAGGCGACCGAGGGATGGCGCGGCATCACGCCGGCGTGGCGTGGATTCGAGAACACAGCCGAGGAACGGCTGTACTGGGTGTTAAATGACCGTGCCGGGGCTTCAGAGGGCCCTGAGGCAAGACGCTGGCTCAAACCCGACAGGATCTCAGCCCTGAAGCTCGCGCAAGCACGCATGGCGACCGCGATCGACCCGCCGCCGGTGTACGAGGCTCTGGACGACACCTGCCACTTACAACAGACTTCAACCGCAGGCTACTCGCGCCAGGTCATGCCAGCCCCGTTGCAGTCGGTAGACGCACCGGAATCGCCGACAGACAACACGATGATTCTTTTGGACGTGTCGGGGTCGATGGACTCCCCCCCCGTGCGACCCACCTACGATCAGTACCTGATCACCCGCTATGATCGGACGCTGCAACCCAAGAACAAAGGCATAATTTTCCAAAGCATTTCAGCCCTTCTGGTCCCATCACAACTAACCCTCATTGTATTTCTGTCCAGATGTCGCCAAAGCAGTCATCCGCCGCTTCACCGATGCACTAGCGGTGCATGACCAGAACCGCGACGGCTACCGACTGGTGACCTTCGCCAGCAGGGCCACTGACATGGGCTACATCAACCACCGCAACCTCGACGCCGTCTGGGACAGTATCCACGTGGGAGGCGGCACGCGCGTCATGACGGGCTGGCAGCGCGTCAAGGACCTCCACTTCCAGCAGCACGCGGCGGCTGCGACCTACCACCCCGTGTACGGGTGGCAAGCCGGGCCCCAGATGCCCATTCTGCGGTTGCTGCTCCTGCTGGACGGCGAAGCGACCGACATGGATGAGTTCGAGCTGGAGCTGCTGAGTCTGTCGTGGGTCCATGTGACGGTCTTCTTGATCGGGGCGGACGGGTGTTCTCATCACCATCGGCATGCCAACGAACTACAGCGCATCAGCGAGATCAATCCGCACGTGGCCTTTGTCGATGCACAGGGCAATACCCCGGAGCGATTTGTGACCCATGAGCTGCTGAAGCGACATCTCGGGTACAACGTGCCTCTGGCTGAATTTGAGGAGTGGGAGCGACAGGATCCCCCGGCTTACGATACGTAGCTAGGCCCTATCCTGGATCGTAGTTTGTTTCGTTGACTACTATACACTTTATCGGCAATTCGGCTTGATCAGTATACTGTATGATTGAAGAGGGGGTCGGCACATACGCCCACAGGATATGGAACAAGGATCTGGCGTCCAGCCGGGGGCTTAAATGGCGGCAGAATCGGTTGCGATTATTGGATGTGGATGAACTAAGCCCTAACAGCGTGCAGTTACGGTGTACACGATGTCTGCAAGACATCCAACTATCCGATTCCGGCCTGCTGTTCCAGGAACATTTTGGGCGCTGCCGCCCTGGGCTGCAGCACTCGTGAGTGGATAATATAAGTTCCTCCTCTGCAAAAGGACTTTGCTTTTCTTTCTCTTTGTCTTCATGTGTGCACTCATAATACAAGCAAATATCTGCGTGCTTATGCATTCCAAGTGCGATAATCGTTCTAAGTACGGGACCTCGGATAAGAGTATTGGCTTCAGGACTCGGCGAATACATGTTGGATGGGATCGGATGAGAATCCGAAGCTCGGCCGTGTGGAGAGCCTTAGCTTTGCTCATGGGCTCGTCCAGGGCCGATAGACAGCATAGCTCCCCGCTATGCAAACCTTTTTTGCATACTAAATACTAACTTGTATTCTGAACGGCAGACGAACATCGAAGTCACCCCGGGAAGAACAGATCCGCCTCCTGCGGACCCAACCATTGCATCTGCAACCAGTCGTCCATCATGGGGAAGGAGTAGTCCATCCCTGTATACTGCGGGGGAGGGTATGGTCCCAGCATTGACGGCATCATCCCTCGGTCGGCTAAAGCGAGTCAGACACGAAAGGGTGATGAAAATGAAGAGTTGATTCGGCTCACCTTCACTCAGATCCATGGAATGCGACCAGGTGGTCATCCCCAGCCCTGTGGTAAAGTCACTGCTGGTGACCGTCGACGCGTTCTGCGTCACCACCATCGGCTCGCTGTCCTCCTCGGCACTCGTCGCACTCCGATTCCCGTCCCCGACGCGCGCAAGGGTAAGGCTGACGATCTCCGTCGCGCGCTTGGCCTCCCGGGACGAGGTACTGCGTCGCATCCAGATGGTGCGCGCCCGCCGTAGGGCAGCCAGAACTTCTTCCGTGCGCTCGCTGAGCGGCTGCGCCCGGTGCAGCAGCGAGCAGAGGATCATCGTCGCCGTTAGAAAGAGGTGGTTCATGCTGGAGGTGATGCGCCACCGCATCTCGTGGAGCTGGCCGCCCGGGCAGGTCTCCTCGTCGAGCACGTGCTGGATGTGCAACGTCCCCAGCGATGCGTCTATACAAGCGGTGCGCGAGTACGCGAAGGGCGCTTCGCCGCTGGCTTTTTCGCTGACATTCTCGCCGGCGCCAGCGCCAGCCCCCGCACCAGTCGCTGTCGCTGACGCCGTGGCCGCAACATGCAGCTCCAGGAACCGTCGGTGCAGCATGATCTGCCCCTTGTACAAAAGGTGGCCCAGGAAGAGCCGCGACATGATCACCTGCGGCGAATCCGTCACGCTCGCCGCCAGCGGCTTGATACGGAGCGGTGGTGGAATGCTGGCGACCGCCTCGTGCAGCGCTTGATCCGCTTGCATGATCTCCGCGTAGCTGACCGGTTTGACCGCGTCCGCGAGATCGGCGATCGCGCCCAGCGCGATGATCATGCGGCGACGGGCGATGATCCCCAGCGCCGGGGTGTGTTCCGTCTCGGGTCGGGCCGGTGGCAGCTGGGTTAGCTCCTGGTCCAGGTCCATGTCGGAGAGGTTGCGCGGCTCGGCCGTATCGCACTTCCAGTCACAGATCATCCGTGGCATCCCCATCTGGCTGGAGAGGAGAATGTCGCTCGTCAACACGGTGGCCCAGAGTCGTCGTCGCATCTCCCCTTGCAGCGGTGAGATGCCCGGGAAGTGGCTGGGGTCGCGGTGGTAACCCATTCGCATCGCTAGGTTGACTTCCAGTCCTAACAAAAACCAGATGTTGCGATCCGCATCCGGGTTGATGCCAAACTCAATGTAAAGATAGTGCACGACGGTCTCCAGCACATATTGCCCGGGCTTCGTATACTCGCCCAGAACCAGGCACTGCACGATCTTCTCGCGGTAGAGGTCAATCTGGAGGGACTTCTGCTCCGCTTCGGGCCCGTCGGTCGTATCCGAAGCCATCACCGCCAGACACACCATGCTGAAGAGAAGGCCAACCCATACGATCGACACCCGGCTGGAATCGGTCCAGAATGCCTCATACTATGTGATTGTAGTCAGCATGGGTACACTGATAATTTCAAAATATGCCAACTTGCCTCTCGCAGAAAGCTGGGCCCATGTACCGCAGCTAGTACAACACCCAGAGATCAGCCCACCCCCATCTCGAGACGGTCGGAGAATAGCAAAGAGGATTGAACAGGAGAGTGCCTCACACTCACCGGATGCGACTAGGTCGAGATAGTTGAAATAGCGTGAAATGTAGCGGTCGACGGCGGCCTTGGGCGGCAGAGCCGCGATAATCTCCGCGCGCGAGGTGGCCCGGTGACATCCATACAGCAACAAAGCATGGCGGAAGTGGGGTGGTTCCTCCTCACTGAGATGAGTGGGGGTCTCGGCCAGGGAGATCTGCTCCTCACGGTCACAGTGGGCTTTCAGGTCGGCGATACTGTCCAGAATGGCCGCCCAGTGTTCGCCGGCCACATACCGCAGCTCCGAACTGGTGATCTGCATGCTTCCGCAGTCCGACTGCGTATCGAGGCCGCTGGCCGACTCTTGTCGAATACCGCCACTGGAACTGGAATCGGGCGTGGCCAGTGGCTGCGGGGGCTTATGGTGGTGGTGGTGAGATACCACCCCCTCGGCCATCAGCGACTTAACGAGACGCTCCAGGTGCACGAGCCGGTCATGGACTCCGGAGGTCCCGCTGGACGGGGCCGACGAGGACGATGCTCCGGGCCTAGGCGTCAGGTAGACGCACGTCTGACCCCGCGAGAGACAGCTGGAGCATGTGGGCTGTTGCCGATCGCATCGAGACTTTCGTTGACGACAAGCGTTGCAGGAGAATTGGGGTTTGTCACGCCGGCGACGGGGCTTGGCGGGAGGAATTGCGGCGGATGAGGTAAGCGGGTCCTGCGACATGGAGACATTGGACAAGGACATGTTAAATTCATCAGTAAGAGATAGGGACCAACGGAGGATGGATGGATGGATGGTTGCAGGAGGGGTGGATGTTGGGTAGTTCATAGTGAGTGTTGGTTCTTTGAGTGAGGCGGAGTCAGCAGCAGTGGATGCCTTAAGCACGGAGACTAACTTAGTAGTGGTCTCGTAGTTACTACTAGGTAGTGCTGAGATATCTGCCTGAGGCCAGTCACCGTATATACTTACGGGATCGGCGGGGGTAATCGGCCCTAATCGGAGGAAAGCCCGCATATACGATCCGAACACTTTCAATCGAAGATAGCTTCCCTGTTCATTCCCCCCCCTCCTCTAGCCTGGTGTTTTTAAATGTACGGAGTAGCTAACGCGAGCTCCGGTGGTGTGATGGAGCTTTTCACCTTTAAAAACTTTCACCACCGAAGTACTTATGTACACACATTACCTTAACCAAACTAATTCGAATCCATCCCAAGTATTGCAAAAGCAGTCAGATTGACCAGACACAGTCAGATATGGCGGCTAAACAAGAAGATACCGAGACGGCTGTCAGCGCAGCCTCTCTCGAGACGAGCCTGGTTGAAGACAAACCAACCACCAATGACGAGATTGTCGATTGGGATGGGCCTGAGGATCAACAAAACCCACACAACTGGTCCAGTGGCAAGCGATGGGCCCATGTCATCGTGGTGGCCTTGATTTCTTTGGTCATGTAGGGCGCAATCCTTCCGGCCCCAGGCAGAATTAACCCTCATTCATTCATCCATCCATCCATCCATCCATCTAACCACTTACCATCTTAGGAACATGGGCCCAACCATGTGTGCCCCCGGTATCAACAAAGTCCTCGATACCTTCGATAATCACTCCTCTACAGTGGCTACTCTGGCCGTCACCCTCTATGTTCTGGGCTTGGTAATGGGCCCGATGTTCATGTCCTCCCTCAGCGAGGTGTTTGGCCGCTTACCAGTGTATCATGTCGCCAATCTATTTTTCGTGGCGTTCATGATCGGAAACGCCCTGAGTCGAAACCTCGCCACTTTTATGATTTGTCGTTTCATCTCCGGCTGTGCAGGAGGGACTCCAATGGCTTTGGGGGGTGGGACAATCGCCGATGTGACAGTGATTCAGCAACGCGCCCTCGCCATGTCGTTGTACAGTTTGGGCCCTATGGCTGGACCGGTAGGGTTGACCCTCGCTTTCTCTCTCTACTCAGTACGAATGACAAGCAAAGGTTGCTGACCACATGTTCTTTTGGTGACTACTAGGTACTTGGCCCTCTCATCGGTGGCTTTGTCGCCGCGGGTCTTGGATGGCGTTGGACCTTTTGGCTCCTCGCCATCTTCGGGGGTGCGGTTGGGATTGCCGCCTTGGTGGTGATGCGAGAGACACATCCCAAGGTCCTGCTAGAGCATAAGGCCGCCCGTCTTCGCGTGGCGACCGGGAACTTGCATCTACGATCCAAGATGGCGGACAACCGACCGCCGCAGCAAGTCCTGCTACAAGCCCTCGTACGGCCCACCAAGCTTTTATTCCGATCCCCCATCTTGTTGGTGATCTCGATCTACATGGCTCTCATCTTTGGACTCATGTATCTTCTCTTTACCACGTTCACGGATGTGTTTGAGAAGCAGTATAGATTCACCACCGCCACCTCCGGGCTGGTCTATCTGGGACTGGGGGTGTCGTTGGTCGGTTGTATGTTTATTGCCAAACCCCTGGGAGACCGGGTGACGGCCGCGCGCATGAAGAAGGATGGCGTCACACAGCATCGACCCGAGTATCGTCTTCTGCTGATGATCTACTTCTGCCCCTGCATTGCGATCGGTCTCTTCATCTATGGCTGGACGGCTTACTACAAGGTGCACTGGATCGTGCCCATCATCGGTACTACTGTGATAGGGTTTGGGTCCTTCTTTGTCATGGTAAGCAAGCCCCCTCTCTCTTTTGAGACTGATCATTAGTTCCGCTTAGTGACCCATTGCTTAACTTTTTCTGTGCCTTGTTCTCCGTTTAGATGCCTGCGCAGCTGTATCTGGTGGACTTGTTCGGATCGGCAGCGTCAGCGTCAGCGTTGGAGGCCAACAACGTGTTACGGTTCATCTGCAGTACTTTTTTGCCGTTGGCCGGGCCGGCGATGTACCAGTCGCTGGGGTATGGGTGGGGCAATACTTTGCTGGGGTTTCTAGCGCTGGCCTTCCTTCCTGCGCCCGTGCTGTTTTACAAATACGGGGCGCGGCTTCACGCCAAGACGGCAGTCCACTTTTGATGCTCCCTGATCAGCTCTTAGTAGGGTAGGATAACTATCTACACTAAATCTACACCAAAAATCTATATTCGCTACACCGAAATCCTCGTTCTAACGAACTGGTCGGCCTTTCTCAATTGATTCGTTATAGGGAGGATCCACGGTAGCTAATTTTCGAGGTGAGTAACTCGCTTGGTGAATCGCCTGGTCACGTGGCTAGATTACTCAGGAACACCGACAACAAAGCAGTACTAGGCTAAATACTATTTGACACAATTTTTTCCAGATGGCAGAAAACAAATTCGCAACACCTCGGCGGGGGGGGAGGGGGGTGGGGGGGTTATTTGGCAGAGCAAGAGAAAGACATGCTCAAGTTGTTGTGATTATCAAAGATCAAAGCCCTGTGGGCCTCTTCGAATGGCTATAAGCTACGTGGGCTAGTACTTATGTACTCTTTTATATACTCTATCACAGGCTCAGTGCTTCTTATCTTCTTGGCCGCGTTTACTTCCAGGCCCGCCCTCAGCTGTTGCGTACGCTGCTATTTGTGATTCGATAGTTAGTACAATCTTAGGGCAAGCTTGATTTTCATCGAGAGTTCTTGTGGCAGTATCAGTAGCATGGAACGAAGGAAGATTGTTGTACAGAATAGATTAGACCCTTATTGCAACGAAACTTTTCAATTCACAGAGTATATGCTATACTGTGTGCTTACCTAGTACATACGACCACAGGGTGTGGAAAATAGGGCTTCCCGTCCGCTCAGCCGTACTCAAGCCACACGCCGGGAGGTTAGTAGTTGGGTGGGTGACCACCAGCGAATCCCTTCTGTTGTATGTTTTTTTTTTGGATATCAAAGAGATAATCTACGCATAGCGCTGCATCTTCAACTTCCTATTATATCATCGGTCGATATTTCATTCTGGATAGCTGATGGTTCCTCCGACATCCTTTCGTCTCAGAACCCGCAATCACACCCCATCGCTTTCTTCATGTCCCAGGTAGTCTAGAATAGGAAAACCTCCGCACCTGATTATTATCTCTATTTTACAATAATTCAATTGTAAACTAGGCCTACCTCGTCGGTGCGCATGACCGGGACCAGCAATTTGCAGGTTGCCGGCATATGCCAGGTGAAGGTCTCTACCATAGCTGCAGGAAAAGTGTGATGGAGTGACGGGAATTGGTGGATTTACAGCTCTAGCACAACAGAACAAGTCTGGTGCTCTTCCTGTTTGAAACATATATCGAAGGGTTCCTCCACAAATATCTCATATAAAAAAACCCAGCGCGTCTAGGTTTTGATCTAGAATTAATTGAAGGACACTATCGTAGTAGGGGTTATACATCTTGGAACCTGCATGAGATGGAGGAGGGACACAGTAGCGACGAGGCAAGATGCAATGTACTTACGATGAATAAGCAGTACTTATGAACTGCTGACTGGATGTCCTAAAGCCATTGGGAGTACTGCTCCCTGTTAAACTTGTTTTATTGTCATCCTTTTTCGAGCTGACTCGAGCGCAATTACACCATTCAGGAACGGGATAGACCACGATAGTGGTAAGAGATTCGAGCTGGAAGTAAAAAAAAATTGTTCTTCCATGCTAAATTATACTTATAGCATGATGGAGAATCTCACCGTCTATCGAGTTCTTCTTTCAGATTCCGAGTTGTCGTGAGTCTTTGTTCTTCTCTTCTCGATTCCGACAGACCATGCATTTGGTGGAGTATTTCTGTTAATCAAGCAAAACAAGCCGTCATGTGCACCGCTCTGCCCAGCATAAGTAGGCTTAGGTTACAGTTTATAGACTTGGGAGATGTCCTTCGTGCGCTTCCTTTTCCTTATAACCATTCTCCTCAGTTGATACTGCAATCAACGAACCGCCTGCATCATCATGGTCTTCCCTTTCGAGGATCTCCCTGCAACAACCCAGATTGAGCAAATCACCCTGATGCTCAACGAGGCTGGCATCAAGCACATAGTGTGGACAGGATCCGTGCTGCGGCTCTACGGGGTAGAGCGCACCGAGCTCCACCTGCCGCACTACCTCGAGTTCGTGGTGGAGGATGCCTCTTTGCCTCTCGCCGTCCAGGTCCTCTACGAGAGAGGGTTCAGCCGCGGTTTGACTCAAACGTGCGGCCGATCGGTGGGCCCAGACAATGTGGGGACTGAACTTATTCATCTGACTACCGGTGGCAGACATCACCTGGACCTCCTCCTGCACGCCTATTCCAAGGTCATCGGGCGGCAGGAGGAGACTGTTCCTGAGCCGGAGAGTCCGATGTGGATGAGCGGCGAGGACCAGGGGAGTCTCCCAAGCATGGTGCTTTCCGAGCTCCCCCTGCTCAAGCCGGTCTTCTACATTCAAATGCATCTTCTGCAGTGGGCACGGCGCTGGTGCCTCGGCCCTGAGGAGAGCTACCACTGGTTCATGGGGGCCCGCGTCCTGGACCACCTCATCTCGCAGAACGTGAAGCCTGAAGTGGTCGGGTACGAGCTCTGCGAGCCGCTCATGAACGGGGTCTGGCGCGCGGTGCATAACCGGGAGGCCTTCGACGAGGTCGATATGTATGTGCAGCGCATGGCCCAGGCTCTGATCCGGGAGGACCTGTTGATTCCTCTCCGCGCGCCTCACTGGCCGGAACAGATGGTCCGCGAAGTGGACGGTGGGGGTCTCGTTGCTGCCGGGCTCCATGGCTCGGCGAGATACTCTACAGCGGGGACCTTTGGGGATAGCTATTATGATACCATTGCTAACACTTCCGTGGAGGATACCGGGAGCGCGGTGACAACCGAGCCTACATCCTCCGTGGCAGCGGAGCGAGCCGGGCAGGACAATCACAATCCCACAGCCACAACCAATATCGGCGACGACCCCGTTGCACGCGGTGCCGCGGTCCAGGTTCCCCGTAGCCGCGAACAGGTGGCTGCTCCACAGCCTATCGTAGATGATGGTGCCGGAGAACCGTTTGTGCCTGAAACACCTCCAAAGGAGGAGCCTATGCCGGAAAGAGCTGCTGATGATTCTCCTGCGCAGACCAGGGTTGCTGACGACGCTGACACTCCGGTTGCAGCTAGCACACCAACTGCTAAAACCCCCGAAAGCTCTGACGCCAAGGACGAAGAAGACGCAAACGGAAAAACCCCCACAGGTCATCCTCCCACAGAAGCAGAGGCCCATCCTGTCCTTCCTGCCGCAAGCCTTTCCCACAATTCTCTCCCCGCCACCGAATCCTGTTCAGGAGTTGCTGTGACGACTCCAGAGGATACGAGTATGATCGATGCTGAGCTTTGCCAATCCTGCCGGAAGGACCGTGACTGTGCGGATTGCGGCCGTTTAGCTGACGAGTGACCTGGTTAGTACCCTACCTTTCCACATAACGCCACGATCATGAGGTTCGTGACACTCTAATCAAGGTTTCTATTTCACGCAAAATAAGAAAAGTAGAAAAGAAAGAACAGTTCCATCTTCAGTAGCCGAATGCCCATGAGAGTAAATTCTGAGATAATGAGAGAGAAGAGTGGCATTAAATATGCAAAGGTCCACATCCGCGCCTTGCATGCGTATCAAGCAGAGGCAAAATGGGACATACCTGAACCAGTAATATAGCAGAGACGACGTCTCCTGCAGGTGGTCTTTTATTATTCCCGAGATGTATCCTCACACAGTCATCCAGCCAAGACACGCTGTCCGTACGCCGTCTCGACGATCCCTCTCGACCCCTCGCTGCAGCCACCCGCAGCTTCATTCCCAACAATCCTCAAACCGCACGGCTACACCCTATACACAAGAGCCTAGTAACCATGCCACATAGCTCATCGGCTCAAGAGTATCGTCTGGGAGTCGACGTCGGCGGTACTTTCACCGATGTACGTGTTTTCACTCCGCATGGAGAGACAGGGAGGTGGAGCCGTATGGACCGCATACGGGGCTGGATTATGTGAAGTCGTGGTATGCGAGTACACAACATGAGCCAGACTGGAGACTGCGATAAAGAGATCAAGCGACTCAAGCGTGCTGGATGGATATCTTTGGATTGTGTGATGGGTGGAGGTTGATGATTGGTGATGGCGCAATCAGGAAGTTGAAGGAGCGCCTGCTTCCAGCACATTCTAATGGATAGTAGGCCGATACGTCTTCCGATTCCGGCACAACTGTACATTCTTGTGTTAAAGTGCCGTGGATCACGGACGAAAGCTGCGGTAAATTGCAGGTGGTTATGTGATTTCAGAGCTAAGCGAGTAGCCACATTCTTGGAAAGTCTGTCGAACTCTTTCATATTGATATTCACAGTGATAAACTCGCAGAGACATCATTTCAGAATTCGAGAATTGGAGAATTGGCTTCCTAGCGGTGCTTTGCCCAGCAATGTCATCAGTAGAGGCCCGGGTTCACCAGCTCGGGAGCCTGCGGCCAAAGCAGATCGACGTTATTCCAGAAATCCACATCCAAAGCCTGGTTCAGCAGCCCTGCATCCAAGTTCAAACTCAAATCCAAGCCATGGAGTGAGAGCTGTTGGCTGCCGAGTTCGTCTACCCCGAGCATTGCTGCAGAATAGTCCCCACCTTCTCCAGCTGAAAATCCCTTACTAGACTTCGCAGCGAGAAGATCAGCTTGATTCAACAGGCCCTGCACAATCTTGCTCGCGTTGTGAGCGACGGGAAACCCGGCACTGAATATGTCAAAGACGGCAATGGCCAGAACAATGGCCTCTCGCGCTGTCTCGGTCATAGAACTTTGCGGATAAACCATCAGGAACCCGATCAAGGTCATCGCGGCGTTCCACTGCGAGTAGAACGCTTCGTGCCATCCGTTGAGAAGGGAGGTCTCCTGCAGCACCTGGTGAAGAAGTTTCGATAAGGCAACGGCGTGGGCGACGCAGCGCAAGGCCAGGGTTTCAGCTTGATCATCTGGCCGTGGGCGGCACTGAAAGGAAATGGCGGGGCGATACAGATTGACGCACTGGTGGTGGTAGGTGAGCTCGAGCAGCACGCGCTGCCGCTGTAGCCAGTGTGGTGCGAAGGGCTCCAGGACCAGCCGCATGCCGTCGGTCGAGAAGGGTTGCGAGGAGGGTAGCCCCGGGCTTTGCTGCCGCTTCAGCTGCAAGGCCTGTGGCACACTGTCTGCCCAGTCTGTGAGGAACTGCGTATGTGGAGCCAGCACCTCCGCGCTAATACGCAATGCATCAGGATTATCCCAGATCGTCTGGCCCTCGTCAAGGTGAAAGTCAGTGGCAAACAAAGCATTGTAAGCTGCGCGGACGATGATGTAGAGCTTGGTCTGGTACAGGTTGAAGCTTAACCACGTTGTGCTACCGTCAATGGGTACAAAGGTAGACCCGGAGGTGGATGCGGCTTTGAGCGTGTCACTGGGCAGTTGAGGCATTGATGCACCATCATTCAACATGAACGGGCGGCCGAGCTTCATCCCGGCCTTACTGTCCATCAAATAAACGGCCCACCACAGACGACGCCGTAACTCACGGTCTGCTTCGGGCATGCTCGAGGGGGGATCCAAGTGGAGACCGAGGGTGTACGCTGTCCGCACCGCTAGACTTACCGTGCTATCCATCATGTTATGGAATGAGCCTCCGCAGAGATATACGGCGCAGAGTAGGTAGCATTGCAAGGAGGCTATCGACGGGCTTTCCAGTTCGTATGTCAGCAGCTTCTGTCCCCGCCAGTAATGCCACCGGCCAGCTACGAGGGCATCTTTGCCATCCAAGAGGGTGCCTTGCGAGTCCGGGGGCAGGGTGGAGATGTGATACTGCATGCACATGGCAACCACAATATCAACCAGGGCCGATGGTCGGCGTTCTTTCCCCTCGGCCATCCATAAGCTCGCGTAATGCTCCTTGAAGTGAGCCTCATTCAGGATGGGAAACAGGGAAACATGGTAGGTCTGCCAGAAGTGATTGAGGAAGAAGTCTTCCTGCAGCGGAGTGAGGTAAAGGCCAGTGGTCGAATTCGAGGGCGAATTCAGGCTCGTTGCTGACTCCGCGACGGGCTGGTCTAGGAGCTTGTTGTCGCTGGCGGAGATGGGCAGCAGTTGATGAGCCGGCTGCTCTTGATCCAGGTGAGCACTTAGGAAACTGCTGAGGCGCTGGATATACGAATACAAGGACGAGGGGCCGACCCAGAGCCGGTTGGGAGAGCGTGCCGGACGAAAATGGATCCCACCCCAGAGAGGATTGCCCGGTACAGAGGCAGGCAACGTGATGGTTAAGAGGTCCTTTTCCACGTTCGTGTCGCGCTTTTGGAGCTTGGCTTCCAGTTGTTGGACTTTTTGCTTGAGCAGAGCTATCTCTTGGTTGGCCTGGGTGAGGGTCAATGCGGGGGGTGCGCTGCTGTTGCTGCACAGGGTCTGGCTTAGGGCACAGTTGGAGCAGGGGACCTGGTTGTCACAGCGTATGCGGCGCATGCGGCAATTCCCACATGCCCGGGCGACCTGCGCCCTTTTTTGCCGCTGGGAAGTCTTGGACAGTTTGGCAAGTGAAGCACTCATATTGGCAATGGAGTCTCATTCCATTTTCGGAGTCACGGACTTTTTGTCAGTACAGGAGTCATGAAGAGGGGTTAACTTAAAAGGCTGATGCTGACGTGGAGGGATTGCTGACCAATGCTGCACTACGCGTCTTACGCCCAGCCAGTCACGTGCATGATTGTATACGGGAGTTGCGGGATGAGGATTGATGCCTCAGGCTGGAAACCACTGGCACTCCTGCGTAACTCCGCAACTCCGCAACTCCGCCCCGTCCGTCTCTCCGTCTCGTGTTTACGAGTACGGAGTAGTATCAGCAGCATCAGCAGCATAAATAGCTGGTCAATGCCTCTGCCAAAAGAAAGAAGAAAACCAAGCATCACAATCACATTCATCACTCTTCAGCATCCATAACGATCTATCACAAGAACATCCTCCAATTCCGATATCGATTCCCCTCTATCCACCACCATGCCCGCCCGCAAAGCCCTAATCGCCGTGACCTCCGCCACCGCCCCCCTCTTCAACGGCAAGGAGCAAACCGGCCTCTTCATCAGCGAGGCACTGCATCCTTACCGTGCTCTCGTCGCCGCTGGCTTTGAGGTTGACCTCGCTTCGGAAACTGGTAAATACACTCCGGACTGGCTTTCTCAGCAGCCGGATTTCCTCAACGGCGAGGACCTTGCCATCTGGAATGATACAAACAGCGATTTCCGCCGCAAGCTGGACAACATGCGACCTGCTGCCGAACTGCTCGATACCAACACCTACGGTCTCTTCTACGCCTCTGCCGGTCACGCCGCCTTGATCGACTACCCCAGGGCCCGCGCGCTACAGAGCATCGGCGAGAGAGTGTGGGCGGACGGGGGCGTAGTGGCCTCCGTCTGCCACGGGCCTGCCATCTTTGCCAACATGCGGGACCAGGCCACGGGGGCGCCGATCATTCAGGGACGGAGAATTGCCGGGTTCACGACGGAGGCAGAGGAGACAATGGGAATCATGGGGGAGTTGCGAGGACTCGGAACAGAGATGGTCGAGGAGCTGGCCCAGCGCTTGGGAGCGAAGTGTAAGTGACGTGCTTCGAGTGTCATTGACTCTCAAGACTAATTGTGAATAGACGAACGATCGGCAGGCATCTGGGACGATTTCCATGTGGTCGATGGACGGTTGGTCACTGGGCAGAACCCGGCCAGTGCGACTTCGACGGCCAAGGCCGCTATCAAGGTGTTTGACAAGCTTTAGGTGTCTTTTTGTATTAATTCGACCTGATCGCCACCACATGATGAACAAGTTGTTCCTTTCTGTATATTTCTCTACGCTGAATGACAGTTCCTGTATTGCGCTTGTTATCCCGATCAGTACATATGCAAGTTGCCATGCCTCATTCGTAGGCACGGGCTCTCAGTGCCTCTTTAGCGTCATAAGAGTGGGATCTTTTATCGAAATCATCTTCATTCACATAGAGCACGTAGACTTCATTTCCATCTCATCTAATCTTTTTTCTTTCGGCTGTTGTACCTAGCATACGCTGCAATACTGAGCACTCAGGAAAGTTACGGCTAGTACTTGGCTTTCTGAAAGCCGCTTCTAGAATTATGTGGATCTCGGAGATCATCCTGTCAGGGAGAGTAACATAGATATCTTCATCAATTCCAGGAATGCTCGGAATATACTCCGTACAGCTCTTTCTGCTCTGTAATAGTCACACTGTTATGAGAACAAATCCAAGATTCCAGTTGATTGAGTAGATAAATACGGAGTAGATGTAGTTTCAGTTCCGGAGATCCCTGCGAGCCTCAGGCAGAAAACGGACTCGGTCGGCAATATCCCGACACAAAAATCTAGGCCGCCAGGCGCGAGGAGGGAGATCCTCCTCGCTACTCCGTGAATATTGTTGTTGGAAGTCCACCGCATTGAAAAGTTCAATGGAGATTATGAATACTAAGTGATCAAAGATAACAAGTCTTCTTGTGCCACTAGGCACGAACCACAATTCTTTTCTAATACGCAGCTGACGATAAAAGTCTAAACGCCACCAGCCAAGTGGACCCGAGAAACACCCTGGTACTACAACGGAGGTCAAATCAGCCGGGGAGCTGAGCCACTACGAACAAGCAGCCAGCCTCCATCGCCTCCACTCAACCAATACGAGCTCCTCCATGAAAGCCTACGGGGCAATTTTCTTTCAGCTGAAAGCCTTGAACTAGCTATACAAGCAAAAAATGCCGAAGACACTAGCAATGGCTTTGGAACCTTGTTAGCGCTATAAAGCTTCGGCCCACCTCCAATCTTCCACCGTCTGGCTTGCTTTACTGATCACAAAACCACCATGTTGAACCTCGATTATACCATCTCCAATTTGAAGGGGAAGACGATCCTCATCACCGGCGGCGCATCCGGATTTGGAGCTGCTTTTGCCGCACGATGGGCCTCCGCGGGCGCCCAGATCATCATTGGGGATATCAACCCAGCCGGGGAGACGATTGTTGCTCAGATCCGCACCGAATCGGCCAACGAGAACGTACACTTCATTCACCTCGATGTAACCTCGTGGTCCTCGCAAGTCAACTTCTTCCGACAGGCGGTCCAGCTCAGTCAACACGGAGGTATTGATGCGGTTGTGGCCAACGCGGGCATCAACGACCGCGACGAGGCGAGACAGCTCGAAAACCCGACGGTGGATTACTTGAACGACCCCCACCCCCCAGCGCCCAGTTCCAAGACCGTCGACGTCAACCTCAGCGGGGTCTTGTACACGGTGCACCTGGCTCAGTGGTTCCTTCCCCGGAATCCCGACTCACAGCCCTGCTCCGAATCCGAACAGACCTCCCACAGAGACCGCCATATCCTGCTGGTGGGATCCACGGCGAGCCTGCACCCGCTCATCAGCCAGGCTCCCTACACCATCACGAAACACGCGGTGCTCGGGTTGTTCCGCTGCCTTCGCGTGACAGCCCCCGTTTCGGGCGGGATACGCGTCAACATCATCTGCCCCTATTTCACCGACATCGGCCTCATGAATGCGCCTGCCCGGGTCATTCTGGCGGGGGTCCCGATCGGACAGCCCGAGGATGTGGTCGAGGCGGCCACCTACCTCATGGCCAACCAGACTTGCAGCGGTCGCTCGCTGGTGACGGGGCCTCGTTTGAAATTGGGACTGCCCGACCGTGCTTTGTTGAGCCGAGAGTCGCTCGATGAACAGACAGGGGAAGGGGAGGACTCGGAGCGTGGAGTCTGGGAGTGTCAACTGCACGATGTGGAAACCGCGGATATTTTCACCGAGCGCATGCTGAAGGCCGTGAAAGCCGTGGTGGCCACCCGGGGATGGATTGGATGGGCTAAGGGATTGGCGGGGGCACTGGCCTGGCCCGTGATGAAGAATTGGAACAAGGCATGATCTCTTGTGTTGGGAGCAAAATCAATCTGATACACATCTATAAATGACTCGATGGTGAAGGCTTCATATGCCTATTTCTTCCACCTCAATGTGGTGGTACTGCATTTCTCCCTCCATACATGCTAGTGCAAGAACCTGACTACTGCATGTACTGTAAACTACTACAAAATGGGTTATCACACGGCCTGAGGCAGCAAGTAGGGTCTCCACTCATCTCTTTATTCAGTCCTAAAGGAAGGTGTTATCTTACATTTACATGATCCACCATTCCTCTCCATACCGTCGAGAGTCGATGAATCATCGAGTTGGAGTCGCAAATACCTGCCAGAAATCAGACATAGTACCACCAACTGTACGCCACGAGGAGCTTACCCTTACCTCAGGTCACGGGTGCAAAAGGTACTGTTTACACACGGGGACCAGATCCCACGTCATCCAACAACCACGCGAACGACCTGAGACAGCTATAACCTAAATCTTTCCACAGCTCCAAGCAGCTAGGCTCCTATATACCATTCCCGGATTCAGACACGGGAATACAACAGCGTCCCAAGCTTCACCAGCGAGGGAGCATTGCGACCAGAACAGTGTTTCCTTCAGACACGGGAATACAACAGCGTCCCAAGCTTCACCAGCGAGGGAGCATTGCGACCAGAACAGTGTTTCCTATTACTGCATCCAATGAACAACTCGCAATCCACAAACCCACAGCTTGGCCCTTCTCAAAGAACTTTCTTCGCCTCATAATACTCCGGATAAGAAACCTGATACCCCAACACCCACCTTCCCCACGCCGCCATCCCAAATGCGAAAATTCGACTCACAACCACCCCGAGCCCATGCCACGGCAACGGCAGCGCAAGCGGGGTATCAGCATGATACAAAAACACCATCAGCTGGAAAAAGCTCGGCGCCTGCTTCGCGATCTTGCAGTCGTCCAGATACCCGAAGAAGTTGCGGAAGAAGCGCTCCTCTACCGCGTAGTTCACGGGGTCTAATCGCACATCGAAGATTAGCTCCTCGGTGGACGATGCGTTCTGCAGCCGATGGTAGGTCTTGGGCGGGACGGTGGCGGTGGGTTGTTTTTGTTCTTGTTGGTTTTCTTCGCCAGTAGCGGCAGTGGTCGCTGTCAGCTGTTTCCATGGTTCCGGATCCAGGCCTTTGTATAGGTTCATGGTGCCCTTGACGACGCGAAAGGTCTCGGTTTGATGGATGTGGTAGTGGAAGGGAGGCTCCATGATGGAGATGTCGCTGTCGCGGGGGGGAAGGGTGTTGCGGAAGACATAGTGCTCGTGCGAGGCGTAGAATGAGACAGACGAGCGGCCGTTTTCGTAGACTATGGGGTTTTGCGAGGCGCGGTTGGTTCGCGGTGGTAGTGGGGTGCGCAGGAAGGTGAACATGATGGATAGCTTAGCTGGAGGGGTGATGGAGCAGTATGTCAGGAGAAGAGGGGGGGAGGAGCAGAACGCGAACGATTGTGAATGACCCAGAACATAGGGTTGATGGCTGTTTTTGAATGTGAAAGAGAGGCTCTATTCAACTTACAGCCCTGGAGAAGTCATGGTGGATCGTGCATCTCGTATCCACCATCATCAGACCAATGAAGAGCGGGTATGGCTCGTGATCAGTACGGCCCGGGGGTGGATCTTGCTTCCTGAGCGCGGTTGGAGTGGTGGGGTTTGCACTCTTGTAGATACGGTTCCTTGTGACACCTGCGACAGGCGGACGTCGCGAACGATATCCTGCTCGGTTTTCGTAAAACGTTCTTGACAGCCGAGCCGAACAGTGTCCGGCGATCATGATTATTTGATAAGATGGTTGATGTATTCGGCAGCCTACTACCTACGGGATCGGACTGATATGATACACTGGGCCAGTGGCGGTGAGCCAACTAGCCAATCAGAGAACCGAAAACACAGTGTTCTGTCACTTAGCAAACATGCAAGTATATCGTCAGAGTTGTTGGTAAATATCTTACAGATGTCCTGGATGACAATCGAAGGGAGGATCAACTTCCTTGTCACCGGGACTTCTGGGGGAGAACAGCTTTTGCCTCGTAGTCCCACCAAGGGATGGTACTGGCACATTGCCCTGCTTATGCATAATCCTTCCTAGCCATCTGAAAGATGTCTTCCACGACAGACAATCTCAGGATCTTCTTTGACAGAGCAGACGCCTCCCTCGCCAACTAAATAAGCAAGCCCAACAGTCAATCGGTGCGAGAGTTGAGCTAGGGAATGAATCCACAACACTTGCTTGGTGTGAACGTAGGGCATTCTCACTCTGTCTGCTCCTTGTTCCCGGTCAGATGACATACTGTATCTTATTTGATCACGCATCAGTTCTAATCTGTACACACTGTCTCAAAACGTCTTCAAAGCTCAGACGCCGGTTACAGCGAGCTGGAGGAGATGTTCCGGCCCCTAAATGATCGGATGTGGGACGATGGCAGCTCAGGGCCATTTTCGGGACCGATTGTCCGACCTGATAGGAACCCATGGCTGGGAGTAAGTACCCATGATGGAAGCGGTGACTGTCTCTGTCTCATCTGGATACATTCCTCTGCGAGTTGCCGAGCGATGAACTGTTTGAAGGTCCGTTCACTCCTACGGACCAGGAATGAAATCAGTTGATTATGAATGCCATGATTGATCGCAAGAAGGGGTGGATCTCTCCGCTGCCACTCAATGAGCCAAAGCCATCTCACGGGATGTCACCATTCCGAAGAGCTATCCGCCAAGGGAATACGTCTCGAATTGTATCGCAGCAGCAGGGTGCAGATGTGGGTAAAGCATTCACTGAGGCAATATTCACAGTGGGGCTGTGATGGGTCAGCGTAAAAGAGGGTCTGGCATCAGCATCACTGTTGTCGAATGTAGTCATTGGGCGACTGTGTCGTATTGCTTCACTCATTGTTAGAAGTCAACCATCAGTCAGATAATTCGATGATGTGACGTAGACTCGTAATTGAGCGTCATTAAGAACAGAAGAAGTAATTGAGCGAAGGACCCAAACTGGTGAAGAAAGGAAAGAAAGAGTATATGTGGGGGCTCGGAAGGAGAAAAAAAGAAAGAGAATATGCGACACCGGTGAGATTCGAACTCACGCGGGCGAACCCGCTGGCTTAGCAGGTCAGCATCTTAACTAAGTTAAGTATAGTTAAGTAAATTAAACTACATGACATCATCAAATCGATCGGTCGATCATCGATCGAATCGAATGCGACGCGACGGAAAATCTTCAGCAGTCGATGGCCCCAGGCCCATCAGGCCTGTCTATTTCTCCAACCTCCCTACCTCCTCTCACGCTCACTCAGAGCAGCACTCAAAGCATGCCTTCGAAGCTCAAGCAGCCCAGCGGCGGCCCCGTGGTTCTCCTCTGGCATCGCACCGATCTGCGCCTGCACGATGCCCCCGCGCTCACCGCCGCATTGGACCTCAAGCCAACAATTTTCATCCCCGTGTGGACCTGGGATCCTCACTACGTCTACCGCGCCCGTGTTGGGCCCAATCGCTGGCGATTCCTGCTCGAAAGCCAGCAGGATCTCTCCGCCGCCTACACGAAGCTGAACCCGAAGCAAAAGCTCTGGCTTGTCCGCGAGGCACCGCAGACCGTATTTCCAAAGCTCTGGAAGACATGGGGCATAACGCATCTGGTCTTCGAGAAGGACACGGACGCCTATGCGCGGGACAGGGATAATGAAGTGGTGAAATTGGCGGAGAAGGCGGGCGTGACAGTGGTGATACGGAGCGGGAGGACGCTGTTCGATTCCGACGAGATCGTCCGGGTCAACGGTCGCAAGCCCACGATGAGCATTACCCAGCTGGAGAAGGCGGCCGGGAAGCTCAATGGAGGTGTTCCAGATAAACCGCTGGGTGCGCCGTCCAGCGTACCGGATCCGTGGGAGGAGAGTCGTATGGATCTGAGCGATCTGAGCCAAAACATCCCTGAGGCAGAGCCTGATGTGAACTCAGAATACCGCACCAAAACACAGGAAACACAGTACCATCATCTCATGGGTCCGAAGGGTGATTTTGCCGTGCCCACGCTGGAACAACTGGGTATTGACGCGTCGCGAGCCACCGGGCCGCATCACGGAGGCGAGTCAGTAGCCCTCAAAATCCTGAGTGACTGCATCAAAGACGAAGAGTATGTCGGTTTGTTTGAGAAGCCGAAGACCTCCCCTGCCGCGTTTGAGCCCCAGGCTACCACGTTACTGTCGCCGCACCTGCATTTCGGAACGCTGTCCGTCAGGAAGTTCTGGTGGGATGTCGATGCAGTGCTCAGGAAGCGGAAAGGCCAGAAAAAGCCCGTTGCACATCTTCCGACCAACCTGCCCGGCCAACTACTTTTCCGAGACATGTACTTCGCGGCGCAGGCGGCCCTGGGGTATGCCTATGCGCAGACCCAAGGCAATAAGATCGCCCGCTTCATCCCCTGGCACCTCCAGTCCAACTACTCGACAGTCCCGCGCGGCGAACATCTTCTGGATGGCACCTACACGATCGATGACCCCGAAGCGGAGACGTGGTTCCGGCGGTGGAAGCACGGCCGCACGGGCTTTCCCTGGATCGACGCATTGATGCGCCAGCTGAAGCAGGAGGGGTGGATCCACCATCTTGGCCGCCACAGTGTTGCGTGCTTTTTGACACGGGGTGGCTGCTATGTGAGCTGGGAGCGAGGCGCGGAGGTCTTTGAGGAGTGGTTGGTCGATCGTGCGGCCTTCTTTCTTCAGCTAATGAGATGAAAATCTATACTGACAACCTTCAGATGAAACTGCTTCCAACGTCGGGAATTGGATGTGGCTCTCCTGCACCGCATTCTTCTCCCAGTACTATCGCTGCTATTCTCCGATCGCGTTCGGCAAGAAATGGGACCCCGAAGGCCGCTTTGTGCGGCGCTATTGTCCCGAGCTGGCACATTTCGATAAGAAGTACATCTATGAGCCGTGGAAGGCGCCCATCGCCGATCAGAAGAAATGGAAATGCAGAGTCACCGGCGACGGGACGAGCAATCGCGACGAAGCGACTGGGCTGCAAACCTACCCCAAGCCGATGTTCAATTTCGACGAGCGGAGAGACTTCTGCATCAGTCAGATCAAGCATGCATACGAGATGAATCTGTACGGGGATGATCCCAAGGTCATGGACGGTTCGTGGAAAGAGCTGTTTGACTTTCATGATGAGGGGGGGAAGGTGGTGGATGAGATGACTGGTCAAGATGCTAAGAGCTTGACCGATCAACCTCGAAAACGATCAGATGGGGATGGGGAGGTCGATGGAGAGGATTCCTACTCCGATGGGGTTAGAGATGAGGAACCCAGCCCGAAAAGAAGGAAGAGATAGACCAATTCACATTAGAGATGGCTCGGTGGATTTTATGCACTGCTGAGATAGATCATGATTATATACAGTAATGGATTAATTAAATCATTAATTACAGAGCTGCGCCTACCAAGGCTGCGATAGCAGCACCATAGATCAAACCGGCGTTGTTAGTGAGGGCAACCCCAGCTCCGGTGCTGGGAGAGGCCGAGGCCGTGGCCGCGGATGCTGCGGATGCTGCGGCGGTGCTGCTAGTGGCAGCAGCTGACTCGTGGCTGGCCGAGGCTCCGGTGGCGGTAGCAGTCGCGGTAGCCGAGGCCGTGGCCGTGGCAGAAGCTGTGACGCTGGAAAGGCTCTCAGCGTCTGCGGTAATGGTCACGGGCATGTAGCTAATTTCGTCAGAGCCCAGAGTGATGGTGCTGGTGCCGGGAAAGTTGGCGCCCGTGCCTGAGGCCATCTCGACACAGACCCCAGTGATCGTCCCCTGAAGAGAACAGACCACGGACATATGGAAGTCTTCGTCAGCCTCCTCTATGAGATAGGTGGTGGTTGTAGGGCCAGCAACCACGGTCATCCCGGGGCCCATGCCGCACTCGTCGCTATCCGTCCCGGGGGGGCAGTTGATATAGTAGGTGGTTGCTGTTGCAGCCTACTAATATGTTAGCTGACTACGCAACGCGGTGATGCTAATCTCTGAGCACATACAACTCCCATGACCGAAGCAGCCAAGGGTTGAGGATCGGCACCGGGGATGAACATGGAGGTGACGTGGGTCTGTGCGGAAGCGAGGGCGGCGGCAGCCAGACCCAGGATCAGTTTGGCCTTCATTCTGAGTGCGGATATGATGCAGAGACAGTGCGTGATGCGAACAACGATGGACTGAAGAGTGTCCGGGGATTTAAAGGAAGCGCAGCGGCAAAATGAAAATCAGGAGACACCAGCGCCGGCGACTCCATCAGGCACCGGCTGCCTGGGAAGTGATGAATTGCCCCCTGCTTGGCGAACTCTATATGAGGCTGGACTGCGCCCAGACAGGACTAGTCCTAGGGGTACAGTCCCTGGTCCCATGAATACGAGCCCTGATCGAGCTTAGATCACGCTTCGTCTGGGGGCGGCGTCGCGTGAAGTGCCCTTAAGCTAGTCCCAACCGGGGCGACCCGCTCCTCAGGAACATTTTCAGGCGGCTGTAGCCGACTCGGACCCAAAAAATGACTAGTATTGTCCTTCGTCACGGGTATATCCTGACATAACTTGTTCTGCTGCCATGCTTGAGTAAAGTAATTTACTATAGCATGAAGAATCAATCCGAGTCATGAACAATAGGAGACGGCGTATGAAGACTGCCTACCTCAAAGCACGCTTAGGACTTTCGCTGTTTGCTCGATGTGAATAGTGTTCTCCCAATCGGTCCTAACCCTGTACTTTGTGCAAAGGCCCCTAATCAGGGGTCCTTATCCGCGCCAATATACTCCATACAGCACATACATATCGAATTAATATTCAATGATCTTGATTCTCCCAGTTACTGTGGTGTAGTTGTAAGCTCGTTTAGACGTTAGCTTCGGCGCTAAGCCCACTAAAGGAGACTATCGAAGATGGGGGGGCCAATGGCGCCTACCCTCATTTCCTTCGCACCCTGTGATTCGCAGATTTTGCTAAAGTCAGTATTGGGGACGGTCATGTTTGTGCATCAATCGAGCCCATTGAACTTGCTCGTTTGACTCATAGCCCCTGCAGTTCGGACTGACACTCCCTATTGGGCCAAGGGTAGCCAGAACGAGGAAGATCTTCTGCCCCCTCCTTCTCCATACTTAAGACTGGTGGCGTTCGTTGAGCTGAAAAAAAATGTTTCCTCTCCACTGATTCTCTGTTCATCCATCATTACCATTGCCAGGTAATTCAAACCTCTCATCCATAGCCCTCCAAGTAGTCACAATGCGTGTCACCTTCCTCCTCGCTGCAGCTCTTTCTGTGCTGACTACCAGCGCCGACGACACAACCACCACCGTGGGATTCTACGTCCCCGACTGGGAAGTCACATTACCAGCCGATGGCCAACGGAATAGCACTGGAGCCAGTGTCGTCGGCATCAACACTGCGGCGACCACCTACCATCTCGGTTGTCTCAAGGATGCCCCTAAAACCGACTGTGATATCGACCACTCGTGGACAATCGTTCAGGGCCCTTCGACTGTGAGCGTGTCGGGCGTGTACACTGCTTCGACCTCCGACAAGAGCCAGAGCTTCGATGTCACTGTCACCCAATCCATGGAATGTTCCCTCAAGGCCTGGACCGAGTCGGCCAGCTGTAGCATGAGCGTCGGCATGACCGGTAGTCTGGATGGCGGGTCGTACTCGTCTTCCACATCTACCCATGCCTCTTACACCACTACCGCGACGCTCAGAGCACTGTTGGTCACGGGCGGAGTCAAGTCGCTGACGGAACCGGCGGCCACGAAGACTGATGGGGCGGCGAAGGGCAACGGAGCGGTGGGCGCGATGATAACTGCAGCACCGGTGATTGCAGCGGCGGCTGCAGCCTTGCTGTAGGGCAGAATACACGAATGGCTTACTTGCTTCACTGTGTCTAATAAATACTGTTAATATGTTAATGAGATGAACTTAGTATGGGGAATGAACTAAAGAGACTGCAGACCTGGCATAACGATGACAAAATGTGTGTCTGGCTCCTTTGTATTTCGCAGATTTCAGTGATGTCATGAAAGATAGTGAAGTTGAGGATGAGTGGATGATTCCGATTTGGTGTTTGGTGTTGACCTTGTATGTGTTGTTTGCATCCTTGGTGTTCTTCCAGAAGAATTGAACTCATTCGATCCTCCCTCACTTCTTCTATCCTCCCCTTTCCACCCATTCACACCATCAAGAATTCTTCTATTCTTGACAGCCCTTTCTCTCTTGAACGGTATTTTCATCGAGTCCAGCTCGCAAGGGCACAAAGTCAAGAATTCAATCTACGATTAACAAGGTCTTTGAGAAGTGCAGCACTACTTTCGGTACACATACAGAGCTATAAGGCGCGATAAAGTCTGAGTAACCGATGTGTAGAGGAGCCAAAGCGACTACAGGTACATTAAAGTCAGAGTGTCTGTTTGATTAGCTATTGCTGTCCGCAGAAATACATGTTCGAAGACAGGCACATCTCAAACCCCATATAGTCTCCTGCTAGGCACCCAAGCATGCTGTTTGTGGCCTATCAGTGAGATAAATATAGGACATCATAAGAGACAGTGTCAAGCGATCTTCCCGCAACTTCAATATGTTCGCCAAAGCCGTTCCAGGGAGTTATTGCGTTCAGTTTGCCTACGATCATGGTATCAAGCTCCAGCAACTCTACGACTGGAACTCAGCTTTGGGGCGAAACGGGACAAATTGCACGTATGCTCTGCAGGCTGAGTAGTGGCACTGCGCCGGCGTGTGGTTTTCTTCGCCGGTTCAGGCGCTCGGAATTGCTGGGAACTGTGAACCTTATGCACAAGCTGTCCATTGGGAGGACTGTCGGGGATACACGACGCGGAGTATCATATTCAAGTGGCTCACCTATATGTTTGGAATGCGGTTCTCGGGCCGATGAAGAGAGGAGCACTTTTACAAGTCTGCAGACATGAACAGCATTTCCTAGAGCGTGATGCTTCACCGTGACATTGAAACCACTGCTCGCTCTCTCATGTTGCAGCTCTTGCGCGAGTTTGGCTCGACTCTCCTCCAGCTTCTGGACCCCTTTGTTCAGATACGCAAGACTCGGAAGGACATATCATCTGTGAAGAGCTGATCGGGATCCTCATCGGACAGGAAGTCGGTAAGATCTGTCACCAGTGCTGCGGCAAGTTTCTCGCAGCGCATTTCGCATATTGGTAGATAAATGCTGGTTGACAGCAGAAGCAAAAAGGGCATAAGGAGTCTGGAATGGCAATCGTGAGATTACAGGAGGAGATTGGGTGTAAAGGACATGTTACTGGGGAGGAGATCATTTGTGTTTTTTGTATGTCGTGTTTGTTGTGGTTGCCTTCGCGCCTTCTCCTCGGTGGACTTCCACTTCTCCCTTCATCACCTTCAATCTCTGAAATCGGATTCTTTCGACCTGAAAGCTTTTATCGCATGACTTCCTCTATCATCATCTCCATATTGACCTGATCTTTTTCCCCTCTTCCTACGTCTAAATTTCTCCTGTGCAGTCCATTTCCGGAGTGGAAAGCCTAAAAGGTCGGAAATATGAGGCTACCTTAAGTTGCAGGTGATTCATCTCTAAGATGAAGCGGAGTCTGAACATTCGAGTCATTCGTACCAGGTCTGGACATTTGCCGGGGCTGACCTCACTTACACGTTATGCAAAGACCAATGCATGGAAACGTTTTAGCCAAGCGGCAATTAACCAATTGAGGGGTCATCCAGGAACCAGTGATTGATAATTGAGCCCCACTTATGCCAATGGCTAGGCCGTGGCGCGGCAGATGAAAGTCGTCTGATCGCTGAAGGAAGCGAAATGCAAAAGTTGTGCTAGCGACATCTGAAATTACGACATCCACACAGCAGAATGCCTGGTGTCCCCATTGATGAAGTAGGCGACCGAGGAACCCGGAACTCGGAAGTTAATAACCCGAATTATGGCTTGTACAATTGACCTTGGATGTTACCAACCGGATAGCGGATGATTTCAGTGTGCGGTGGACACCATTCCAGTCCTGATTAATGTTAGAGCGCAGCGATAGCTCAACTTCCGAGTCATGATGTATGGATGATACGGATTTTTCGGCATAACGCCGACAGCGGCTCAAGACAGACGGAGGATTAAGCATGGCTAAGTCTTTGCTTATTCGTCCAGGCGCATAACCTGCGCCTCAGATAACCTGCCACTAGACAATTTGCGGAAGGAGACGCGACAGTAATATGCGCAGACCATGCGATTGGCTGAAACTTCGGCCGACAGCCTTTCCTGAAGAACGGCCCACGTTTTGTGCTCCACAGCGGGGCGGGGCGGACGTGCAATCCATGAACCATAAAACCCTGCCCCTGCCTAGGCCATGTGTCCAGTCTAGTGTGGTCTAAGGCGACAGGGTTTCAGGGTCAAGTCTACCGGGGGGTTTCCACCACAAATTCTATGAAAAGCGTTCGACGGGGTCAAGATGCAGACCAAGACAGGTTCCATAACACGCATCCATCGGAGCAAAGGCTGTCTCATGTGTCGCCGCTCGAAAGTGAAGGTAGGATCAATGCCGAGTCGTCATCCTCTTCGAAAGAGCTGACGACGAGAAATCAAGTGCAATGAAGTACATCCGCAGTGTAGTCGCTGCGCTCGCCGGGGCACTGAATGTAGCTATCCTGATGCCCTGGAGCTCAATTTCCGCGATGAGAACAGCAAAGCAGCAGCCCGCGCTGCTGCTCTCTGGCGAACTCGTACTCAGGCAGCGAGACTGCTACATGAACCCAGCGCCCCTAGTCGCACGCTGGAGGATCTCCACAGCCGGGTTCTAGCGGCATTCTACCGTGACTTTGACTGCAGCGCCAAGGTCTCCAACCCTTGGATTGAATTCTTTCAAATGCTGCCAACTCTTTACCGTCGGTCGGCCGGACAGCCCTCCTCCCCCACTCGTGAAGCGATCCGTGCCCTGGCCATGGCCCATCATTCGCGTCAACAGCAGTACCCGGTTCCACAGCTGGAGATTATGGCGCGGACCGAATACTTACAAGCCATTACCCAGATCCGGCTTCAGCTACAGCGAAGTCACGGGATTCCAAGCACGGAGACCGTCGTATCGGTTACACTAATGGGGCTGTTTGACTCGATCCTTCCTAGTCCCGACCCAGTGCACTCCTGGCATGGGGCCCACCAGCACGGGGCTATTTCCATGGTCCGGCAGCAAATTGCTGCCCCCAGCTCTGCGGCCAGCATTGACCCATATCTTTTGAAGTATCAGTACCTGCTAATGGTAATAAATTGTTTGAATCATCGCTCACAGCCGCAGCTCCCCCTAAAATGGTGGGCTGCGGTCATGGACCCGGGATTTTCGGCCACCCATTTGTTTTGTACCATGTATCGGCTTGCACAGTGGCAGGCAGAGATTGATTCGTTCATTCTTACTTTCGACCATCATGCATTGTCTGAGATGATTGAGAAGCTACACGCAGCCGATGAAGCATTGGAGGCATGGGAGGCCCAACTATCCCCAAGCGCTCACTTTTCCGAACGGGACGTTAGGGCCGACGATCCCACGATCCTGCAATGGCCTGGCGCCCCATCACGGGTCTATGTCTACAAGTCCAGCTGGAACGCAGTGCCCCTCACTTTCTGTTTTGCGACGCGCATTGTGCTCTACCAAAATGTTTTGATGTGTCATGGCTATGATGAGCACGCGGAGCAGATCATTGTGGAGATGATTCGACACATCTGCCGCAGCACCAGTGCCGTATTAAGTGGTGGTGATGGCAGCACAGAGGCGGAAGAGGGGCTGTCGATGCGCGGACGGGCGATTGTGTGGCCGCTAAATGTCGCCTCCTCCGCCCTGCAGAGCAACCCGAGGGTGCTGGAGAAGGTGGGCTTGGACGCCGCGCAGTGGACGCGACGAGCGCTTCAGCATGTGCTGAGGCTTTCTGGAAGTAGCTTAGCTCTCATGATGGATTAAAAGACGCAATCTCAGATCATCTAGGTCAGTAGAAGGGAGTTTTGGAAGGACAGCCCTGCAACTGAGGGGTCCTGGAAATGCTATCTGTGGAACCGTCCAGGCAACTGCATTTATCCAGGAATCCGGGGTGCTTTAAGCCTCGCCAAGAGAGCTTGATTGACTGGGCAAGTCTAAGCCGAGATTGGGTGCCTGAGGCCCTAAGACCGACCCTAAACGGCATTTCTCCCGAACCCCGAGTTTATCTCATCTTCATCTCATCTCATCCTCCTCCAATATTTTCTCCACCTTCTGTACACTTCTGACTTGCTTTGAAGCCTCTGCTTGCAGCAGCCTACAATAAGAACAGATTTGGCTTCCGCTCTCTGAACCTGACTGGCTGATCCTCGCTCTATGAACGATCCTTTCCATCTCCTCCTACTACATTGAACAGGAATTTTAACCTATCCTTACTACTATACGTCTATGAACGAAAAGGCTGAATAATTGGTAGTAATATTTAAGCAATAATTACGATACCTTTTTTCTTTACTCTCTTTTGCTCTATTCTTTGAGGATAATTGAAGCCAAGGGGAGCCCACTCGGGTCAAAACCTAACAAGCCTCCTCCCAGGCACATTTCAAGAGGTCAAGACAAGCTATATCATATACGAACCTCACAGATTCCACATCCGGAGGAATTCATTAGTGGTTGCGATGGCACCGTTGAGTGTAGACATATCCCAGGTACCCTCGAGCGTGCGGGGTTTCGGATTGTAAGTCTCCCCCGAGTGGCCAATGTAGAATTGGCATTGAGATTCGAGGGTCTCCATGATGATGAGCCCCCCGAGCATTTTATCACCGATACTTGGGTGGTGCAGCCGGCGGCCCTGCCAATGCAGCTGGAGGATCACACGCGCAAGCTGCCATTCGTTCTCAAGAAGCCGGGGGTCCGGGGGCAAAGATATTGCCACGAATCTGGCGCGGCCGCATTCGCGCTCAATGTCGTATGCGGTGAACGGGATGTCTTCTGCAGACATTTTGAGCTGGTGGAACGCGGTTTTTCCGAGGTTTGGAGTTGCAAGATTCGAGGCAGTGAGTGTCAAGATTTGATGGGTGGGGAGGCATGCTCTTTTATGATCCTTTTGCCGCTCGTCATCGGGGCTATTTATAGGCAAGTCTTTCCGATAAGAGGCAATTGGCTCATTTTTCTGCAAATTTTCACTAGTAAACAATGGTGAGACGAGGTCAAAAGAATGGTGGTATACAAGACCTGTAGGAACAAAGGTCGGTTCTCGGAATATTTCACAGGGTGAGGAAGAATGCGAGCCTAGAATGAAGAGGAAAGTTCTTGTGTCCGTGAGTCCTGAAGATGGCGTTTATCTTCAAGGCCTGTGCGGCTGGACCAACCTCGCGTATCGCTACCTCAGCTCATGGTGCGCAATCGCCCCATGGTCTGCTCCCAGCCCACCTGGCTCCTTTAGATTGTATACCATTGTGAGCCCCTTCGATTATATCTTCAAAGATAAGTGGGGTCCCTGGACTTCATCAACCCGTATGGAAGGTTGTATAGAATCCGGGTTTGCTTCTCGAATCTTAACTCTTGTCAACCCTCATAAGAACACTCGCCCGGACTCGGTGCAAATAGTCAACAAGCTATCACGTCACGAACCAGCCATGTTATTCCACAAATTTTGCGGGAGGAATCTGTCAAATAGAACGTTGTTAACTGCATAAATACAAACCTAGCAGCAAGAGACCAGTCAGGGGAGGTAAATTGGTAAAGCGATACCCCCCCATTCAGCTACCAAAAATGAGGGAACTCCCTCAACACCTCCCTGTGATTGCGCATAGACTCGCTTGTGAGCCGTTCAGAGCCGTATCGAGGATGATATCTCAAACTGGCGTTGCGAAGTGGACCCGCATCATGGGAAGGTCGACGTGCACCGTTGAGGGTCGGTCCGACGGGGCTTCCTGGCACGGCTCTGTATTAGACATTGTGAGAGCAACTTGATAGATGGTTGCCAGCGAGATCGGGAAAGGTAGATGCAACGCGTGGGGATTGGGAAGGTATCTAGAGAAGCTTGTCTTCCTCCAGGGGGAGTTTTGAATTGTGGATGGCTCAGTTGCCGGTGTGCTTCTTGTCTGATCAGTGAGAAATGAAGCACCATGAGAAGGACGTATCCGGAAGATAATTGACAGGGTTATGATGAGGTCGTCTCCATTTGCTGTCTGCAGGCATGATGTTTGTGGATGCTCTCGGTACGAAAATCCCCAACTAGGGGGGCTAGGGAAAGGATAACAGCCATAAACAAATCGTCAGCAGCAGCGGGTCTACCACAAAGATCGGGTTCGTTGTGGGAGTCTTACTCAGGTCTATGTAACATAGTGACATGTACCTGATGACATGAATTCTTTACCCTGACTGGAGCGTGGCGGAAGAACGAACTGGCTATGTCACCCAATCCACATGAGACTACCAGGAGAAGGCACTCACTCACTCCTGTAGTCAGGAGTCACAATACAGCAGCAAAAACATACAACAGAAGGGATTCGCTGGTGGTCACCCACCCAACTACTAACCTCCCGGCGTGTGGCTTGAGTACGGCTGAGCGGACGGGAAGCCCTAGTTTCCACACCCTGTGGTCGTATGTGATCATTCTCTCCAGCTGAAAGGTTATATGGTAAACGTTCAAGATATAAGTATACTTCATTCATCCTTTCATGTGCCCGCTTTTACCTACAGAGCATAGTGACTGGTTATGGTAGGATGATCTAATGGGATATCAGACAAGTGCTCCTGTAGAGCTTGAATTGGGAAGATGCGAATAGCCCTTGATACGATAGCAGAGGAGAAAGTTCATTCTTGAAATACATACCTGGTGATGTAGATGCCACCCAACGCAGCTTACGCAGCTTTGAGTCAGTGCGAATGAATGCCGCAGAACCACACGAGCCCTCACCAGTGGTCTGAACATTTGCACCACCGACGCAATTATACGCTGAACGGATTGGGCAGAGGAGGGTGGTCGAGTGGCGGTTGTGTCTTTGATTCATTCAGAGGCGTATGAATTGGCCATGTCCTTACCGGTACATGCAGGCTATCTACACACAGGTGAAAATGAACGGGAACCGCTGCCTTACAGTTGAGCAGAAGTAGTTTAGGGGGGAAATACAAAACATGAGGTTTGTGATTTGAGAAAAAACTGATTTCTACGGCTTGTGTGCTTGCCAGCGGTACGGAGAAAGGAGCGAGACAAAAGCGGGAGGACAGGTAACAAATTAAAATTATCTGTGAATGAGATGCATGTAGGTGCACAGTATAAAAGTACTAATTATTAGCCGCGGTGGATGGTTCCCAGCTGGTCGAAGACGGCCCGGGCAAAAAAAAAAATGCTCTCACGCGGATTCGAACCGCGGACCTCATGATTACTAGTCATGCGCTCTACCAACTGAGCCATAAGAGCTGGTTTGATGTTATCGTTTATCTGGCTAAAAAGATATAGTACGCTAATAACAATTGAAACCATTCAACCCAGCCCATCCCTACCACAACCTCTCTATCCATGTTTATTTGGTAGACAGTGTATGTCGATCAAAGAGCGTGGTTCCCTAGAATATATCAGGCTAACTCTATTTGAAGGCCCATGCTTTTCAAAAATCTCTCCCACATCACCGTGCTTTTCTCGGTTTTGATCCACACGGTGAATATATATACACCAGCCCGCTTGGACTATCGTTTATGATTGGACTATGACCTCAGACTGCATGACCAACTCAAGTGGCTGAATCCCCGCAAAGCCAGAGGATGCATCACTGTAAGCCGTCCTCACACTAAAAATATAATCGTGCAGTAGGGCCGAAGCCTCCCTGTCTCACATTTGGATCCAGATGATTGAAACTCAGACTCAACATCACCCAGCGAAAAAATAGGTCCGATTAGTGCTGACAGCTTGCGTTGCATGCGCAGCAGGTCTTGTTTTCCTAGACCAACCAGATCACCTACATATTTAGTAAGTATCTCCGGGACAGGAGTAAAAGCTTAAGGCCGCCACATAAAAACGTACCTACCTAACTACGTATATATTCTTGGGCGTGCAGAACCCGGCTGTCAGGCAACCAGCGTCATTTTCTTACTATGTCTGAAAATAACCCAACTGACAGCAGTCCCAGCGTGCTGCACTTCCCGAGCTAGTGCTTATGATGAGGTCAGCATCGGTAGACCACTGGCGACATCCGAGCCCAGGCTGGAGGTCATCCGGAGGCTTAGACATAAGACTTGACCAATGAGTGCCGGGATCTATACCTCCTCATCCGGTTTCTATTTTGCGATGGTCGACCATGCAATCTCAACGCGATTATTGAAAATTCTCTTTTTACTCCCCTATTTAAGCCTTCTACTTTCTCTACATACTCCCACTCATCACATCCCAGAACAAGCCCACCAACACCCCCCCTCAAAACACAATGTCTTGCAACGTCCTCACCAACCCCAGTTTCGAGACCGGCACCCTGGACGGATGGTACGGCACCTCGGGCAGTATCGCAACCGTCGTCCAGGGCTCCATCGCATACGACGGCAACTACTACCTGTAACCAACCCCTCCCCCCTTTCTACTTCTAGTCTATCCAGCTCACACATCCCCCTTCTACTTGCCAGCGATGTCACCGGCACAGCCGCAAACCCTACAGCCTCCGTCGCCCAAGACCTGTACTGGCTCGACGAGACGAAGACGCTCGACCTCACCCTCTGGGTTCGCTTCGAGAACACCATCTCCTCCGCCACGGGCCACTGCGAAGTGAGCGCCTATCTCGGCGAGGACCCGACCGCGGGCGCGATTGCCTCCGACATCATCTGGGACAGCGACGAGTGGCTCCGGTTGACGGGAAGCATTCTTCCCGAGGAGAGGAACACGACCCTGAACTTGGTGGGCTCTTGTATTGAGCTTGGGAATGCGACGATTGCCAATGTTCTGTTTGATGATGTTGTGTTGAGTGATTGCTAGATGGGGTGATATAACAGTGGGTATAAGGTTGACGTCGGTTGGAGATAGCTTATGATATTGTGGTGAGGATGTATGGATGTAGGTAGGGTGTCTTGGCACTAATAGCATGCGTATAGTTGTTTCCGTTTATGTTTGATTGGGGGCGTAGTCCTGGAGATATCCGATGACGATGACTTGGTGTGGTCGAGGAATAGGTAGGGGGTGTATATGTGGCACAGCACACTCCGTGTCAGTCGAACAAATACAGCGATACTTAGGGTTAGAAGAACTATTCATACTGTAGCTCCAAAGGTGCAGAGTCACCCGGCTTGCCGGTTGTTTACAAATCACCCAAGAGCTTAGACAAATAAGTTATACAGTCACTGCATCCTGTACGTTCTTGGTCCACACAAGCATGTAGTATCCAAAGTAAGGGCAAAGATGCCAGGTGTGGACCGCATCATGATATTTATCGAAGATTTACTTGTAGAAGCAGCATCTCCAATCTCGTAAATACACAGCTCCCAAGCCAGGGAGCTGAGCTGGATAAATACTAGATTAAGGACTCCATAGCTAGTTTTTTTAAAGTAATTTGTCTTTGGATTAGTTTAGATATTGATTTGCTACACCAGCTTCTGAAACCCGTGATAAGACTAGCCTGCGACTCTCATATCCTGTCGGTCGCTGGACGCGATGTCGCTCAAGGGCGGGTGGGGGGTTGTTGTTGTCCACCATCTTGTTCCCCAGCAGGAGGCGCCACCAACCCGAGATCAAGATTTCTCCCGAGGGTGCGGCTATTGGGAAGCCGCGACTCAGAAGATCCTGTCGTTGTGACAATGGGCACCGCCCGGGCTACAGCATGTCGTTCTGCGGGCGCAGTAGGGCCGCTTCCGAGATAGTGCGGGAACTCTGGCTCTACGCGGGATGTAGTAGGCCGTACTCCTTCAACTCGTTCCCAATCGCGAGGAACGGGCGGCAATTCCAGTCTCAAATCGGGGATATTCAGATTTACCTCGAAGGTGCGGCTGCTCGGAGGTCGTGGCTCGGGAGCTCCTGCCGCTGTAGCAGTGGGCATGGCCTGAAGTTGGGCATGTCTGTCTGCGGGCACAGTAGGGCTGGGGCTCTCGTGGCCCCCGGCAAATGAGCGCAAGAGGTCTATGTTGTACGAAGGGCGTATTTGATCATCTCGTTCCCTGTTTTGAAAAACAGGAGGCGCTGCAAGTTTGAGGTCAGGGATATTCAGATCGAACTCGAAGGTGCGGCTGCTAGGGGGCCGTGGTGACTCGGGGGATTTTGCCGTTGTGTCAGTGGGCATTGCCTGAGACTCACCCTGCCCCGGTGTGCGCAAAGGAGGGGCTTGAACGCCTCCGGCGGCAGTGGGATTTAGACGCTCGACGCGGGGCGTAGGGGATGCAGGTCGGTCAACGGCTTTGCCTTTGGACTCCGCGGTAGAGGATGACTCCACTATAATCATAGGCGGAGTCACCACTTCAGAAGAGCCAACATGCTTCTTAAGAAGCGACGCCACTGCTGCAGAAGAGTGCCCGCGCTTCTTGGTAGACGAAGTGGCTGCCGCGGAATAATGAGCGTGCTTCTTGTGCTCCACCAAAAGGCTCGCGGAGACAAATTTCCGGACCGGGGTGCAGAGATCGCACGGAAACTCCAGCATCTCCTCGTGCGTACGGATATAGTGTATGTAGTAGCTATCGAAGCCATCGAACGGGCCGTGTCCGCAGATAACCCCACCGCGCTTCACCCATTCGCAAAAGTACTGCTGCTGCCCGTCTTCTTCAAGACGACGGTAGGCCAGAATGCCGCTGGAGTAGGGCATGCTCCTTCTGGGGGAACTCCCGGGTCCCGGCAGACGCGCGGATTCCTCGGCCTGCTGCTCCAGCATCGCCAGAGTCGCCCACGGCTTGCCACAGTGCGGGCAGCCGTAGGCCAGCGGCTCTCCTCGTCTGGACTGTCGACTCCGGAGATCGTCAATGCACTCTGGATGGTAACACTTCCGACAGGAGGAACATTGGTGCAGTGCGCCGTGCTCCTTGTTTCGGCCGGCCTGGCACAGACCGCATTTACCGTCTTTGCCTTTCAATGCCTCGAACAGCACCTGGTGTTTCTGAAGCTCGTCGGTTCTGCCGTACGCATACTTGTGGAGGTCTGGGTGGCATTGGGGCGACATGTTTGTCTGAGTCAGTGAATTCCAGACGGGCTGAGTATTTGTCTGGTTAGTCACGAGTGGGATCGTTCAGTATGATTCTGTCGGTTGGTGATGAGATGTGTATTGGCTACACCCGACAGGGGAGCAGTTTTTATTCAGTATTTATGGCTTATATGCTTTGTGACGAGTTGTACATCAACTGCTTCTATAGCGAAACTCTCCATTCCATGACACTATTGACAGCGAAACGCCGGTGAGTAGAGGGATCGAGGAATGGTAAGTGACAGATATGGTTAAGTCAGAGGAGAATTTCCCATACGCTTTTGCTGGCTAGCAAGAAGGGGGTGGACTTCCAGACTCCTCTTCCCTCTTTGTCCGGTTAAGATCCGGGGAGGAACCAGCCGCGAGCAAGGCGAGGTAGATGTCCCATTTCAATGACAGTACTGCACGTTGTCGGAGTTTCTCATGTGAAGCATAGACGCACTCCCTTTGAAGAGCTAGAATGCGGGAGAGTTCCAGAAGTTTACACACCTGGAGTGCAGCAGGTGCTGTACCGTGCAGCACACTGTGTAATCTCGAAACACAGTATTTGTACCTGGGGATCAGGGCTAATACCGCGAGGGGGTTCATCTCATTTGCGTTCGAGACTGTCAACACACCTCAACAGCACCGATTTCATCAGCCTCGTATCACTTGAAGTCCACTCTTGTTCTCAACACTGATGGAAGCGTGTATGGTGGTCAGAATCCTCCCTACGCGGCTGGCTACTGTATGTACACCCGCAGAAGGCGGTCAGCCATTCTGCCGCGGGGATTTCCCCGTCAAACACACCGTCCAAAGTGACGGTCGCGAGGGAGATTGGAATTCATTACTCGTCGTCACGTTGGTGACCGGCTGGTTAGCTAGCAAGCTGAATTAAATCACGCATGATGCTGGCATGGACCTTGTCGTATGTGTAGGCCACAAAAGGCGTCATCCACCACACACATGTGATTCTTCTTTGCACCGTAATGCGCCAATCTATTTTCTTTGTGTCAGCGGTGCAAAATCCATTGCCTCCTCATTCTCCTCCACTTACCTGGTGAATCTTGTCGACCAGAGAACGACGCAGTGGGCTCGACTGCCCAGTGGCTTGCCACGGAGACGCCAAAGGGGGCGTCAGCGCGGGTCTTGACTCCTCCGGTCGGGGTGTTTCGTAGCCAGGTCTCGAATTGGATATGCTTTTGTCCCCATCCGCCGCTGGCGCCTGGCAGCATCGGGATCGCCTGGCTGAGGAGGTAGGTGTGGATCGGGGAAGTTCCCCCCTCCTCCTCCTTCTCCTCTGCAGTCGGGAGGAGCCATTCGTCCTCGTACCGCTCGGGGGCGGTGGGCACGATACTCAAGCCAGTGATCAACGGATTTAACTGGATGAAGAATGGGTGATCGTGGAGCAGCTGGCGGATGGTATCCGGGTTGGCGGACGGGGGGATTCCAGTGGTGACAGTGCGATGGTTTGAGATCCGCCAGGGAATTGACAAGAGACAGGCGACAACTAAGAGCCCGGTCAAGAGTTTGGCGTGCACCATAGTAGAAAGCGTGACCAAGAAGATCTGGAGTGAATGGATGACGATGAGCAAAGGACAAAGAGTTTGCGAAGCGGATTGAAGCTTGATGATAACGATGGACAATCAGTGTCAGTCTCACGTGATTTTCACAAACAGCCGCTGATTTGTGTAAGCACCGTCCACTCGTTAGTTAACTAACGTAACCTCATAAGTTCGTCCATTTCAAATATAAGCTAGTTAAATAATGAATTATGGTTAGATTAAGAGAAGGCTTGTGGCTGCCAAAGTGCGCGCCGTGTAGACTGACCAGAGCGTTGTTGTGGTGGTGGTGGATTCCAGGCTATCTGGGGAACAACATTTTAAAGTACCTTATTGTACCTCATCTACTACGTACTACACGGCAGCCGAGGCGGTGAGGTGCCAAGCCAATCACAGGAGGCCTGGGACTCCCGTCATTTATACAAAATGGGAGAGCCATGCGACGAAAGAGAAAACGCGATCGAGATCAGTCAAGAGTTCTAGAGTGGTTTGGCTGTACCATCCTAGTGCTTTACTCGCGCTTGCTCTGTGTACATATGAGATGCGATGAGAAACGATCTGCGTCAGTCCACCCGGCCCGTGTCTTAGGGCTCTTCCGGAATCGGATGGGGTCAAGATGGGGCCGACTCCACCAATGATCTCGGCATCGAGAGATCGGCTTCCGGCGGACTTTGCGACATCTCGGCATCCGCGGAGATCCACTGCGCCTCGGCCGCCACGCTTGAAGCTTGAAGGATCTGGCCGACTGCCCTTCCTGGTGAAGCCACAGTCTCTCGGCTGTCGAAGTCGGCAAGTATATCGCCGAGGCACCTTCGTCATTGCGGTTCCACCAGTATGTCTGCACTACGATCCCTGCGCAGATCATCCCTACCCAGAATCCAGCGAATCAGCTCTATATAAAGCCCAAGTACGGTACCTATTCAGAGCCAACCACCCCAGAACCCTTTCACCTCCAGCCAGAATGCCTAAATACATCCTCACCGGCGTCGGCGGCCACCTCGGCAGCATCGCGGCCACCTACGCTATAGAGATCGCCCCAGCCGACAGCACCCTAGTCTTCACCGTCTCCGACCTGACCAAATTGCCCCCCAGCAAACTCGAGGCATGGAGATCTTCCGGCGTACAAGTCACCCAAGCCTCCTATGACGACGTGTCCAGCCTGGAGCGCGTCTTCGCTGGCGCCGACGCCGTCAACCTGATCTCGACGTGGGCGTTCGGCCGCCGCCACGAACAAGCCCGCAACGTGATCCAGGCCGCCAGAACCTGCGGGGTGCGGCGCATCTGCTACACCTCCTTCGTGGGCGCGGATGACCCGGCGCCAGTGGAGCAGATGCCCTTTCTGCCGCGCGACCATAAGCAGACGGAGGCGCTCATTATGGGATCGGGGCTGGAGTGGAATATCCAGCGGGATTGGCTGTATGTGGATAACATTCCGACTTATTTTGCACCCTCGTGGGGGTGGTGTGGGGAGCGGTGGGAGGGGAAGGATGGTGTTGCGTCTGGAGCGGCGAGCTGGCTTTGCAACTCGCATGGGGCCCGGGGAGCGTATGTTGCACGAGAGGATTGTGGGAGGGTGCTGGCTGCGCTGCTGCTGGGGCGCGGGCAGCCGAACACTGTGTATGATGTGACGGGGCCGCAGGCTGTGACGGATCAGGAGGTGTTTGACTGGGTGTGTGGTGCATTTGGGGTGAAAGGGGAGTTGGTGGATGTGCCGGACCATGAGTTGAGGAAGTGGTGGATCGCAAGGGGGCTTCCGACTTCGGTCACGGAGCCGTCCCCGCTGCCTATGAAGCTCTGTGTCGATGACCTGTTGTGCTGTGGGGAGATGGTGGCGCGGGGATATCTGACGAAGACTAGCGATGCGGTGGAGTTGCTTACGGGACGGAAGCCTTTGTCTTTCCAGGAGGTTCTGTTGACGTATAAAGATACGTTCGTGAGCCAGCCTCATGAATAGATGGAGCAGATGACAGCCATGCACGACCAGAAAGAGAGCAAGGGCTAATTAGATAGCCCGGTAGGGAGCTTTGATCAATGATTCAGTGAGTATGCTTATTGCATCGAGCCAGATTTCCCAGACCAAAGACCAAGCACAAGCGATAGCTTCTACCGAGGAACTACTATACTAGGTTCTTGACTACCAGCAATCCACTTTGCACCGCCGTGTGCAAGGGCCAGATCAGATCACTGATGGCTGGATCCTCTTACATGACCTGTCACTCTGCATGGTAGCACAGTATAAAATATTTTGCACTGCAGGAACGATGCGTAGCGATTGTATTGAGGTAAAATGCATAGCCATGGGTCAATGATGGCTTGCAAGTCTTCCATCGGTGGGAGAGAGGTCTTCCCGTTCGTGACGTGCCCGGTAGTATACAACCCCATTCCCGATCGCGAGAATTGCGTTGGGGGTATTCCGTAGATATAAGACTGGCTTCTCTTGTTGTTCCCGTGTGGAGTGAAGATGTCGAACAAACGACCCAGGTAGAACGCCCAGGTTTCCGCAGACCATCTCCCACCCCATAAGCCGAACAAGTAGTGAGCGAGCATCAGAGTGCGCTCGCATTATCCAAAATGAAAGCATACGCGTTTGCCTGCCCCGTCATTCCCGACCAGTCTGTTCCGCATCTTGGCGGAGATATACTGTGTAAGTGCACTAATCTAGGGCTTTTCGCGCAGGCGAGAGCCACTAAGGACTAGTAGGTGGCTAGGAGCATTAGCCGATCCTGCCATGTGGCAAGCGAGGTGAGTGTTAGTGCGATGAAATCGGGATGATAATCTTGACGATGGTAGTTGATTCCCATGTACAGTGATTGCTGATATTGATAAGCAAATTGTATAAGCAGATCGTACAATCGTTGCATTTTTCTGAATTGTAGAACTGAAGTTAAAAAACGATACCCGAAGGACACGGACGGGGCAATCCATGGTACGAGCTGAGCTGCCCTTCCCGTGTTCCACAAACGGTTTAGTGCGGGGTGTGTACTGTTTACGTCCAGTTCCACGTTCGAATCTTGTCGGCAAGACCTAACATTAACAGTAACCAGTAAACATTAACTATCCTCTCTATACTTTGTACCTCACGGGTGTTTCTGGCCGGATTCCAGAAGCTCGGCTGCTGAGGTATCGCGCAGGGTGATCAACAGAAAAGAGCCCACACAATAGTTTGTGATTAGATTGCAATTTGCAACCAGCAAACCACTTCCTGCTGCTGCCGAAGATCGGCTGATGCTCCACTCGGTCGGCTACTGATGAAGCTCGCAGCGACAGCTGGGAGATTAGATTGTCTCGTGGTCCCAAGTATAAATGATTAATTGTACCGTCGGGGAATAGTCGCCTCTCACCTTGTATCATCCCCTGCATCATCCCCTGCCTCCTCCGATCGTCAGTCGCCGTCTGGGCCCAATCCCATTAATCGACGCTGATTTCTACCTTTCCTGACAATTGTTTGTTCCTTCTCCCACGTCAACGAGATCGGCAGTGTGAAGACGAGGACAATGCCTTCCATCGCTTCTCGTCTTCTGGGGGTGGGCTTGGCTGTGGTGGCTGCCGCCTCGGCGCAGAATGACAGCCTGGTCACCCAGCAGCTGGATCTACAGCCCTACCCCTTTGACTTCCCCAAGCTCGGCACCAATGGATCCGATCTCTTCCCCATGCGACTCTGCCACGGCTTCAAGCTCGAAGAGGCCAGCATCGATGAGATCCAGGCCGAGCTCGAGGCCAAGAACTTCACCGGGGTGCAACTGCTGCAGTGCTACCTGGAGCGCATCTACCAGGTTCAGCCCTACGTCAAGTAAGATTCGTCAATGCATCGTCACAGAAAGAAGGCTGACCACTTCCCTATAGTGCCGTCATGCAGCTAAACCCCGATGCGATGACGATCGCCGAGGCCCTGGACGAGGAGCGTCAAGCGGGGATGGTGCGTGGTCCTCTGCACGGTATCCCCTTCCTGGTGAAGGACAACATCGCCAGCAAGGACAAGATGGAGACGACGGCCGGTAGTTGGGCGCTGGTGGGGTCGGTCGTGCCGCGCGACTCACACGTCGTGCACCGGTTGCGCGAGGCCGGGGCCGTCCTGCTGGGCAAAGCGACGCTCAGTGAATGGGCGGACATGCGCTCCAACGACTACTCCGAGGGCTATTCGGGCCGTGGTGGTCAGTGCCGGAACGCCTACAACTTCACCGTCAACCCTGGCGGCAGTTCATCTGGCTCCGGCGTCTCCATCTCCACTAACCAGGTGCCCTTCGCCCTGGGTACCGAGACTGACGGCAGTGGTTCGTTCATCATTCCCTCCCCCACGCCTTAGCGCCCGCTCTGCTAATCCTGGCTCAGTGATCAACCCCGCTGAGCGAAACAACATCGTCGGCATCAAGCCCACCGTGGGCCTCACCTCGCGTGCAGGCGTTATCCCAGAATCCCTGCACCAGGACACGGTGGGCACCTTTGGCAAGACGGTGCGCGATGCCACCTACGCCCTTGACGCGATTTACGGCATCGACCCGCGGGACAACAAGACCTTTGCCCAGCGGGGCAAGACGCCGAGCGGAGGGTACGCGCAATTCCTGACCGACAAATCCGCGTTGAAGGGGGCGGTGTTTGGCCTGCCCTGGTTGTCCTTCTGGCAGTACAATGACGCAGCCCAGAACGCGCAGCTGATGGAGCTACTGGCCCTGATCGAGTCGGCGGGCGCAACCATCATCAACGGCACGGAGCTGCCGCATTACAAGGAGATCGTGGACCCCGCGGGCTGGAACTGGGACTACGGGACCTCGCGGGGTTACCCCAACCAGTCCGAGTACTCGTACGTCAAGGTGGACTTCTACAACAATATCCGGGACTACCTGGCGGAGCTGAACAACACCAACATGCGGTCGCTCGAGGACATTGTGCAGTACAACATCGACAACGCTGGCAGCGAGGGTGGTGTCCCCGGCGTGCACCCGGCGTTTGCGTCCGGGCAGGACGGTTTCCTCGCCTCGCTGGCCACCAAGGGCGTCATGAACGAGACCTACTGGCAAGCTCTGGCGTATTGTCACCGCACGAGCCGCGAGGAGGGCATCGACGCCGCCCTTCGCTGGAACGGCCACAACATCACCGCTCTGCTGGCCCCGCCGGACTTTGCCCCATCGGTCGAGATCGCCGCCCAGGCTGGTTATCCGATTGTCACCCTGCCGGCGGGTATCAATGCGGACTCGCACATGCCGTACGGGCTGGCGCTGTTTGGAACCGCCTTCTCTGAATCCACGCTGATTAAGTATGCCAGCGCGATCGAGGATCTGCAGCTCTCCTCCCAGACGCCCTGGAAGCGCAGTTTGCCGACCTGGAGTGGTTATCTGGAGCGGAACATCCCTGTAAACTGAGTCAGGGGTTCGGGACTGGGGGAGGGCATGTATATAGGGCTGGTGTACTGATAGATAGTCATAGTAATAGATCTTTTGAGTGGTTTTGTGTTCGTTCGATGGGTGGTAGAGAGGTAGTATGGTGATACCTCGTGGGCACGTATTGTCTTCATGGGGGGAAGTGCTCGTAGTACGAGGCGGGAGTTCTGTGGCAGTAACTGACCCAGGTCAGTCTGGCTGTGTGCTAAGATGCGAGTGCATGTTCTACTTCCTGAATCCGACAGACCTTTCTTGATTGTTTCCAGGTCTTCTGAAAGCCCATTGGGAATGAAGTTCTCTGAGTGTGATGTGGCAGTGGTCAGGAATGCGGGATGGTCTGACGGAAAGGCAAGCCGGGGCCTTCGGTCACTCCTGCGTGAGGGGGCCTCGCTTCCACCGAGTCTGCATTTGCATTCTCTCCACTAGTGTAGGGCAGGCGTCAGTACCAGCCAATAATCCGACTGCTGCAAGTCATGCATGAGGTGGCGTGGTTCAGTTCTCTCGGAGATGATCCAGATCGGTCGTTGCCACTCCACCTCCAGGGACGCATGAACTGGACACTCAGGAGTTAACCACGTGGGAGAGAAATAGTACACCGTAACTACGTACCTCACGTGCTCAGTCGGGGATGGCCAACTCGAAAGGGGATTCCAACCGAGATCCATGACTGCAGCTGGACATTCACTGCAGTGGCAGTGGCAGAGTTCTCTGGCCGAGTGAGACCAGGCAAACTGGGCTGTGCTACGAAGCGACCAAAGTATATCCTTGGCGCTGTCAAGCCGGGGTCAGCATGGAGACATGCCCGTTGCTGATTGGCTGCACTCCAGATCTCGTCGACCCCACGTGTAAGCAATCGCCGGGTCTGATTGGTGTAAACCCTCCGCTCGGCGCCAAGAGCAGCCAAGCCCGCCTCCGAGCCATGCCAAGGCTTGTGCCCAGCGGAAATGGGAGGATGTCCGTGGTTGAAGGACGCCTCTTGTGGCAGCTTAATCTCCGCCCTCGAATCAGCGTGGAGCGACCAGGAACGTGCTTCAGCCAGACTTCCCAGCAACAACCATCCATCCTGCAGTGGCAGCTGCCTCTCCATCGCCTGCTTCACCACCAAAGACAGCCAAACACAGCCAAACACAGCCAAACACAACACTCAGCCTGACCACCGACTGCATCAGTCAGTAGCCATGGCTGGCGCACCTCTTGCTACATAAGACTGCCTCAGTCCTTCTCTTCCCTTCTCTTCTTCCCTGCCGCAACACTCCCGTTCCCCATCTCTCTCATACGCACGCGACATCTCGTGCTCCTCATCTGCCACGATGACGCTGCATCAGTATGACTACATCTTCGCTATCGGCACCTTGTTTGCCATGCTGGATGCCTACAACAACGGTGCCAGTAAGTTTGTGCTGTCTCTCTGAATTCTCTGCCATTCTAATCATCACCCCCCCCCAATAGACGATGTTGCCAACTCCTGGGCCACCAGTGTCTCCTCCCGTTCCATCTCCTACCGCCAGGCCATGATCTTCGGCACCATCTTCGAGATGCTGGGCGCCATCACCGTCGGTGCCCGCACCGCCGATACCATCAAGAACGGGATCATCCCCAACTCCGCCTTCCAGGGCAATGCCGGTGTGCAGATGCTGGCCTTCACCTGCGCCCTCGCTGCTGCCTCCTCGTGGGTCATGTGGTGCACGCGACACTCCGCCCACGTCTCCTCCACCTACTCCCTCATCTCCGCCGTCGCAGGGGTCGGTGTGGCCACTGTCGGCGCGTCGCATGTACAATGGGGATGGAACGGCGGCAAGGGCATGGGGGCCATCCTGGCGGGTCTAGGCATGGCGCCCGTGATCTCGGGCTGCTTCGCCTCGATCATCTTCACCCTCATCAAGGTGGTGGTGCACAAGCGCCGCAACCCGATCCCCTGGTCGGTGTACACCTCCCCCTTCTGGTTTCTTCTCGCGGCCACCCTGTGCACCCTCTCCATCGTTTACAAGGGCTCTCCCAATCTTGGCCTGAGCAAGAAGCCCGGCTGGTACATCGGGGCCGTGACGATGGGCACCGGTGGCGGCGTGGCTGTGCTGTCCGCCCTCTTCTTTCTCCCGTTCGTGCACGCGCGCGTCATCAAGAAGGACCCGAACGTCAAGTGGTGGATGTTCCTCTACGGGCCCCTGTTGCTGCAACGCCCTGCCCCCGCCAACGCCGAGTCCGCCAAGGTCCCCAACTACGCTGTCATCCAGGAGGACGAATTCGCGACGCCCCCCGGCTCCCCCGAGACCCTCATGGGGACCGACGCCGACGCCCCCACTACTTCTGATCAGGGTGGTGGTGAGAAGAACCTTGTAGCCGCCGAAGCCCACCAGCTCACCTACAAGGAGCTCACGGCGCAGTCGGACGCACGCCTTCGGGCCCGGCTGCTGCAGAAGCGCGGCCCGCTGGGCTGGGCGATGCGCACGCTGCGCGACAACCCGATGGGGCCCGGCCAGCTGTACGAGTTCCGCAACATGGCGACCATGGCCAAGCGTCTCCCCGCGATGGTCGTGGTGGGTCTGCTGTACGGGCTGCACTACGACATCCACGCGGCCCAGAGCGGCATCACCGGCACCCCCGAGGGCGACCGCATGCAGCGGGTCTACGACCACGCCACCAAGTACCCCAATGAGGTCGAACACACCTACTCGTTCGTGCAGGTGCTGACGGCGTGTACCGCCTCGTTCGCCCACGGCGCCAACGACATCGGGAACTCGGTGGGTCCGTGGGCGGTTATCTACTCGTCTTGGAGCACGGGGAATGCCGCCCAGTCGAAGGCCCCGGTGCCCGTGTGGCAGCTGGCGGTCTTGTCGGCGTGTATTTCGATCGGGTTGGTTACTTATGGGTATAATATCATGAAGGGTGAGTTAACCTCCCAGAAACCCCCCTCCCCTTCCATCCCCCGTCTTGCTTGCGAATCTGATGCTTCATGGGCAACAAAATCACCTACCACTCTCCCAGCCGAGGCTGCTCCATGGAGCTCGGCGCCGCCCTCACCGTCCTCGTCTTCTCGCAGTACTCGCTCCCCGTCTCGACATCCATGTGCATCACCGGCGCCACCGTCGGCGTCGGGCTGTGCAACGGCACTTGGCGCGCAGTGAATTGGCAGCGGGTGGGCCTGTTGCTGACGGCGTGGATTCTGACGCTGCCAATTGCGGGTACGCTGGGTGGATGTTTGATGGGGTTGTTTATTAATGCCCCTCATTTTGCTTCTTAGGGTGATTAGACTTGTCTTTTTTTCTTTTGTGTTGTCTTTCGGTGCTTTGTTGCAGTGATACCTGGGATAGTTTGGGATGGGCGGAGTGGCGGGTAGTAGATTTGTACTTTAATAATGCAAAAGATATCGGCGCACTGGGTACTAATTCAAGCACGGTGCGGTGACGACGCTGCGCTGTGTAATTCTTCTCCCAGGATGCAAGGCTGTAAAACTATCTCATCGCGCACTGGTCCGGACCTCAATATTGGGAGCTACTGGTTCATCACTCCTTCGAGTTCGTAGTACAAGGTAATTCCGTCTAGAAACTAGCCCGAATCTCAGTGCGGGAGCTGCAGGGTAATGCATGGCGGGGGCTGTGCATGCTGTGCATGCTGTGTATGCTGTGTATGCCTTTCCCTGCAGACGGGATCACAATATCTCGTACGACGCGGCTAGGTAAATAGATTCAAAATTGGGCTGCTTTTGCGTGGATAATGCATTGTTACTGTGGTGAAACTCGCCGTTACTGACATTCAACCTACCTTGTACAGTACTGCGCATGTTGGATTTCACATCATGGAACGGTTGGGCAGTTCGCGGTAATAGCTGGAGTGTCTGCGTGTAGCGTGGATGCGATACGTTGTTGGAGTCGGTCTGACGGTGGATTTGACTCTCTTGGAAGGGAAGGTTCTGGCATATGTTTAGTCAGCACAGTCAACGTCTAGAGGGGGGGTTCATACTCAGAGTCAAGTGAGTCCAGTGTTTCATAACCCATGATCGAATTCAGAAGCGAAGTGGAGAACGATGTTGCTGAATGAGGGTAAGCCGATCACTGGACTTGTAGCCCGGACCATAATCTCTCACGTTTACTGCTGTTCAATACTACCACCAAGCCACCTCATGTTCATGTCACAGTCAGATCTCTTCTCTCGATCACTGTGTATCAAACTTCACTTCTTTCATACCAATGCTTAGACATCTGAGATCTCCAATGTCGCGGCATGTCTTATTCGCGATTATAGCATTGAGCAGGTGGATCCGGACAGGCCGTGGAAAATTCGAGACTCATTTGACGGCCGTGCCGTATGGCTGGCCTTGCTGGTTACGGCGGCGGGAAAGAGACTGAAGGGGAAATAGTGTGGAATGCATGAACAGAAACTGAGCAGTTATGGGTCAATCCACACGATATCGGGGCTAATGAGGCCTCCAAGGAGACACGGGTAATTCTATGCAGCCCTCGGGCTTGCGAGGCCTAGCAGATAGCTATTGGTGATTTTATGCAGACTCTAGAGTCTACCAGGAGGGAGCCTTAGGGGGTGGGTAATGCGCAAGCCCCCTTAGCTGCTCCGTACAAAGGTCTGGATCGATGGAAAGACCCTGGATATAGACTGCCCTGGGCCTTCGACTGATTTTCTTTCACCGGAAGACCAGGAACTCCTTTGGATGTAGACTTTCACTGTTTTTTAGTCTTTTTTTTTTTTCCGAGCCATATCTGGTATGAAGACCATTGTCCGAGTGCACGTTCGTGTCGATTATTCAACAACACCACCCAAGCCTGAATGATTTCTTGTTTCGACACTTTTGCTCTATAATGTCAACAAGGAAAGCCTTTTTCATCACAAGGGGCTGTGGTTTAGTGGTATAATATTCCCTTAGCATGGGAGAGGTCCGGGGTTCGATTCCCCGCAGCTCCATTTTTTGCTCTTTCGTTTTGCTGGTATTATCATTACTCGGGCAGTGAGTGACCCACGGGTTGTGGGGCTAGACGTACTTCGTAGTTCGTATATATCTCACAAGTATAACCGAGGGGTAAGAGTGAAGCCCGGCATTGACGGGTCGATCGCTTCAACTACAAAGTCCTTAGCCGATAGCAGGCGAATGATATAAGGCGTCTTTTGCCCTGGAACCCGACGCCGCAGGCGGGTTCCGTTCCATGACGAGAGTCAAGTCGAAACCGCGGCGCGGGCGAAGATCAACGGTATGGGTAGCTCACATGTTGACCGGCGTGTTGGAGTCCTCCGCTGCTACGTATTCATCTAGTAGGGCGCCGATGATGGACATGAAAGTTATAGAAGAGACATCATTCCTTGCAACCAACGACGTGTTAATCCAAGACAAAAGATCATGGCTGCCGGACCTCAAGCATGGGAGCCTCCGTCGAAAACTTCGTCTGCCGAATCCTAGAAAGAGACCATATCTGAGACCGAGAATGACAACTTGCCTTGTGTTTGCTCTATTGCTACGGTCGACGCCAGGACATCCCTATGGGCGTTCGATAAACCTAAGATCATGATCTTCGATCTCTTCCCGTCGAGTCCTAAGGTAATATATCAGTGTGATAGACTCTTTGATGATACCCAGCTGGGTAGCAAGCTAAGTCAGTTTACAGGGGTAAGCCACAATTGTACTCTTACAATGAGAGAGGTCTCAGGTGTCTTGCTAGGAACGCTGCAATACGGGTGAATCCTGGTTCTGAGTTTCATGTCATTGATACCCCGACTCACCCGCTGGAGGTGGCTCTAGACCGAGAATATGGTAGCAGGAGAAGTAGGGATGCCGCCGTCTACGCATACTAGTTATGGTGGCGTTTCCGCAATAAAAAAAAAAAAAAAAAAAAAAAAAAAAAAACGCCATGCCATATCCTACGAGGGGTGAAAAAGAAGGTAAGAAAGGAAGTACGAACAAGTGAGACCAACGCTGGAAGGAATTGAGGAGGCAAGTTTGTAATAGAGGAAGCGCGAGTTGCGACCAATAGGCAAAGAAGGGATAAGTGACCCTTCAATCCTTTGATTGGCATGTATCTTTCTTTGTTCTCTGTTTGCCGACCCGCTCAAAAGATAGATTTTAAGGTTTGGTTTCCCACGCCTGCAAGGGGGGGTATATGATATGTGCCACCGGCCGAATCTGGACAATGGTCAAGTGGGTCACGTGTCATCTGAGTATACGAACGTGGGGACAGCCCTGCACAGCCTGGAACACAATCTCTGGGGTAGTTAAGTGTGGTTCGGTCCTACTTCGATTTTCCACGTTATGCATTTTTTGAAGTGTATGCACGGGAGGGGAAAGGGGGCAAGAGAGGGGGATGTTCAGAGAGACATAGGGCTATACGAAAAGGGAAAAATACACAACTTATAACCCGGAAGATCTTCAAGTGTCTCATAACAGTCCTCTTGAGCGACCTAGTCATCCAGTTTGGCTATACCTGAATCATACACAGCGCCATTCTGAAACACTCACCTTACAAAAGTTGTTGACATCTCGCGTCCGGATCGGAGACTTGCATAGCTCGGGGCCTTAAACTTTGAGACATCGGCACTCCTAGAATGATGCCGTGAGACTTCCTGGTTATGATATGTCCTGATACCTCTCACTCTAATGATTCATGTTACATTCCCGATATCAAAGCTGTGTGGAATGAACTGAGCCCCTTACTATATGTTATGGATGGACTCAAGGTCATCTCTCCAGCTTACAGCCATTCCGGACACTTACGCAGGCTGGTAGTTCAATGTATATAATGCTGGTGATATTATTCACCAAGACCTTTGCCAGTCTTAGGTCAATTTCTTCTTTTCATGTCCGCAAACATGATTTATCGTCTCCTTTCACGCGACTCATCGAGTGAAAAGTCACCCGATCCAGAAACCGGCCACCAGATGAGCAACCGATTATCCTTTGTTACATACTACCTTCTACACCCGAGCACCCAAATTACCATCCTGCTGATGATTCTCTTCCTGAGTCTGTTGAATCTGCCCATGTCAATCAAGCAACTTGATCGAAGCTCATGTGTCGCCAAATCCGACGCGGAAGACACATTCGCCACAACGTTCACACAAGATAAAGCGTTCCAGTCACTTGATCATGCGTATGATCACTTATGGGCAGACCTATCGCTCAATAAGTCTACGGGTGGTCTCATATACCTGTCCAAGGGTGGGAATAAGTGGGATCAAGGTGGCATTAGCATGTGAGTCAAGCTCCTTATTTACTTGAAGTAACTTTCGACCGAAGCGATATTGAGCGCCCCGCTGATAATCTTTTGGCAGGTTCCATCAGTTACACTGCCTCACGATGATGCGCCAAGCCCTGCAGTCTGCAAGTGAGGGTCAGGATATCGGTAAAGACTGGCATGACGATGGCCACTGGCCACACTGTATGGATTACTTGGTCAAGGTGAGTGATTCTCGATAGCTTTATGTTTCCATCGTCTTTCGACAAAACTAATACTGTGTCCCCCAACAGGCTATCCTATGTTGGGCTGATGGTTCAATTGAAAGACCAGTACAGGGGGAAAACGGCGGCGAATTTATAGATGGGTCCAACGTTATAAGGCAGTGTAGACCCGCACAGCCACTCTATGACCTATTTGCAGAACAAGCGGTTTGAAATGAATATGCGTAACGACATTCCGATCGATTGGGTTGAAGGTTGCCTTGAGTGAAAGCTCTAGCTGATGAGAGTCGAATCTTACCTCGAAGCCCTTGTAGCTGGTTTCCAAACCGTCTGCAGCCGTAGAACATTTTCCAAGGGGCCATCAAGGATGAGCTGGTCGCCGAGGTCTCTGCATCGCCGCAGTCGCGCCACGACCGATAATTGGAAACGCGAACCGTTCTACGGGGTGTGTAGGAGTGGGTTTGTCGGCGGCCAGAAGGACTTCGGTGTTTGTAGCGGACTGTAGGTTAGAGGGGCCTTTGTTTTGGTGGCACAGCCATACTTTCGGGGTTCTCGTCGTGGATAGCGAGGCATATCCCGGTGGTGACGAAACCAAAGGAATCAGCGCGACTGTCATTCTCGAAGATGTGTCTTTTATCTTACATAGGGGTCACTAGGAGTCGGTCCCTCGAGTCCCTCCTTGTATGGTTCGACGGAGTTGTAGGCTAATCTAAGATGCGGTGTCCGGAGTCCGAAGTGCTGCAAATAGGATGATTGACTGGGCAAGCTTGTCGAGACATATATATAGTAGGTAGTACCCAAGCCGTCCTATATCCACCGGAATACGCAGGTAAATTTACGCCAAGGACCCAAAAAAAACACCCAAGCCATTCTTAGTGCTCATCTCCACTCGGCATTTGCTTTAGCGAACCCATGTACTTACTGATAGATTCGATCTGCTCACAAACCCTCAAGACCCTATGTCAGTTAGACAGTGCTATGATACAGGTTTGATACTCATATGTAAGCCATTTCTGCCGAGTACCCAGCACATACGACCACAGGGTGTGGAAAATAGGGCTTCCCGTCCGCTCAGCCGTACTCAAGCCACACGCCGGGAGGTTAGTAGTTGGGTGGGTG